CGAACGACAAAAGTTATCATCCGATCTGTATGAAATTGATATGTATTATTTGAATTAGTAAAACGAAAAAGTCTGTCGAATTTCAATAATTTCTGTAGATTACTTCCTGAGTTACAGCCCTTGTTTTAGTTTTTAGAACCTTGTGAACCCTCAAACGACGAAAATTATAATGTCATCTGTATGAAGTTGTCTATTAAATGCCCCCTAATTACCTACAAAAGAACAAATATACGACAACTCTTGTCGACCGCTCGGACGATTTAGCTGCTGTGGGCGTATGTTTAGTTGCCTGGCAACCTATCTTTATATAATGTAGGCCCTATTTAGCTCAGGAATCCATAGCCCTAAAGCTAATTCAAGTATTCAATAGAATAACTTACCTCTATGACTGGTTGTGTTTCGTAGAGCTTAAACAAGATATCAGCTGCTGCAAAATTTCTAGAGCCTATCTTACTAAGAGACACTGCAGGTTCGGTTCCAACATCTTCCTTCTGTATCTTCATCTGACATCTTAAAGTAAAAAAAGAGAGAAATGGGGATTAACACTCACACAAAACAAACCAACATTTTTGGACTGACACCCAGGAGGTTTGACTCAATGAAAGATCTTATGAGCTTGGACCACTCAACCACCCCTAAAAACAAAAGAAGAGTAACAAGCAAACTGAACATTTCAAAATTTTGATCAATGGGACAAGACTAGATCTTAAAGCTACAATTTCATATTTGTTAAGTTATATTTTTAAAATTTATTAAAATAAAGCCTTAAAATAGATGGTATCCATACACAGTCCTACCTTGTTAAAGAATAATCCTATTAATCCTATAATTCACTATTGCCAGCTGCGAAATTGGCAAAATTATCATTTTCGAATTCCAACATTTGAAGATAGCTAATGCATGGAGGCAATAGGAAAACAAGGGAGGTAATTGTGTTATTATTTCCTGTGTCAATGATTTTTAAGGGTGGGAAATAATGCCCATAGTCGTATAATAGTGAGTTGATAACCTATTGAGCAAAAGACATAGAAATAATTATGTTTTGACTTTCATAGAAAATATGAAATTCTGGCTTGAAGGCTAAGGCCAGGAAACACAGCCTAGGTCTTACAGTTAAAGCCGGAAGACGCAAGACTACAGTAGGTCTTAAGAGATTCAAGACTAGGTCTTAAGAGACACAAGACTAGGCCTTACAGTTGAGGCCAGAAGATACAAGACTAAGCCTTACAGTTGAGACCGGAAGACACAAGACTAGGCCTTAAGATTGTGGCCGGGAGACCAGACTAGGCCTTAAGGCAACTTACCTGAATACACGATCATCATTGTCAAAAAACTCCCATTCCAACAACATATTGTTGACAAAACATGAATGTTGTAAAATATAGAAACCTTGAACTTTACGATCTACTATCCAACTGACGTCCTCAAAGACAACGATATCCTTGGCTGGTAGTGTTGATATAGGTTTTCGGGTCCATTGTAAGCGATGAAGATTCGAACAGTTATCTTCCAAAATGCAGTTGCCCTTGACACGAAAGTCGATAACATCTGTTGCTGCTTGGTCGTGTGGTTGAAGTTTACTGTGTTGGGGGAGGATGAACTCGGGGTCACAGTTCGTGAAACCTATCGGGCTTTAGAGTAAGCGTCTGCTTGGGCATCTGTTCGGTTCTCTGCTTCACCAATCATGATGAGATGACCAGCTAGATAGAGGTTACAGAAAATTTTCTCCTTTTCTATTTCTGTGTTCATGCTACGACGGTACAGACAAATGGGCGTCAATTTTTCATCGTTGAAAATTCTATCCAAGACAGTAATGATGGATGCAGGATGCGTGGCACTGCTAAGTTCGTTCATTTTGACAAACTGTTCACGGAGATCAAATGCCCTAGGATTTGGTGCTGCCTTTACCAAAGTGCTCTGAACCTGTGCTTCTGCTTCTGTTATGACAGACTGTTCGTCACCATCTAAGATGTTGCCATGTTCAACATTCATGGTGGTCAGTCGTTCAACCACCATATTATAACACAATGACTTAGCAGTTTTTTTGGAAACTGAAACACCTGCACCTTGTAGTATGTTGTCAATAAAGTACATTCCCTTATGATAAACTTTCCCTGATTCAGCTTTACAACTCTCTACATCATATCGACAACGGACTCGACATTTAGCCACAGAGGCCGCCAACTCCATTTTGCTGACTGAATTGGTTGAAGCATATTTAGGATTGGTTAGAATATCTTGGATCTGTTTCAAAATAGATGGTGGGGGTAACTCTGCAATTGTTTCTTTCTCCATCTTAGCAACGGTCGAGTTGAAATTCTCCAGTTTCTCCTTGATAACTTTTGGGGTCATATCATCCTGGTTCAAAATTTCAGTGACAGGAAGGGTACGATAAAGTTCCAACGCCTTCTTGAAACATGACAGTTTGATTTCTTTCTTGTTGATGCCGATAGCTCTGGCTAGGAACACACCACCCAGATTAAGTCGGCCAGTGAAAAAGGATCCGTTCTTTCCTTGTACCATGCCATCGATCAAAAAATCTGGTCTAATTCCAACTTTACAACTCATCAGAGAATTCTCAAACAACTAAAATGAAATAAAATAGGATTTAATGGGAAAGAGAGGAAAATGGGCTTTATTGTTCACTCGACACTAGGTCATTTCGGGACTAACATATAGTTCATTTTATTTCATTAGGGGTCTTTAGCAGTGGAAGGAAACCCTGAGGACATGGAGAAAACGCACGAGGTTGAACAGACGACCCTACTCCTTGTCACGTACAAGCGGGTAATGACGCATTAACGCTTCGACCACCCAAACTCGCCCAACTGGTCTTATGTAGATGGGCAAATAAAAGAATTTTATACGTAATACATGCTTGAATAAAAATAAAAATAAAGCAGAATCTGTGTTTTTAATGAGATTATTGTGAAAAATATTAAACATGCATTATGCAAGAGCTAAACCTGTCAATTTCAGGTCTTTCTTTAGGCCTGAAATCTTATCTAAATTATTAATTAGACATTAATTAACTTATCCAGACCATAATAAACTCCCGATGTCAAGGCTAGCCTTCGATGTCGACTGGATTACAATTCTATATGCTGCTATCGCTCATTGATAATTAAATCACAACAATAGACAATCGAGACTATTAGTTTCGAGGCTAGGCGAAACTTTCATCCGCTTAGTTTTCGGTTCATAGTGGACCAATTTGACTGACATTTTCAGCAAATTCCCTTTACATTATGTAGTTTTTAACTATTATAGTGAGAACTGCTAACTCGTTATCTTATCTCCATCTCCCATAATGTATCTTTAATAAATAAAACCTCACCATAATTTCATTGATTACTTTTTTTTCACTTCGTAAAAACATTGAAAGTCGTCGAATTTTTTCTGCTAGCGGCAATTTTGTGGCATCGATTGGTTCTGGGTTGGGTGTTTTGTGTACAGCGGCAGCAGGCAGACCTTTGTTATCAATGGGGCGTGTCTGGCAGCCTGGTAATGTTTCCCATTTCTTCTCTGTAAATAAACCATTAAAAAATGTAGTTTGTTAAAGCTGCATTTAGTAACTGTATTGAATAAACCATGACTAATATACCGGTGTATTAAATACAAGTTTTTTCACAGTTCATTTCTGACGACGTCTTGAAAAGTGTTCTCTTGTATTTATCAAGCCACAAACAAAATAAACTTCTAAATAACTTGTATTCTGAATATTGTTTAGTGCCCAGGTTCACTTTGCTCATTTCTGTTGATCAGCGGCTGGGGAGGGGGGGGGGGGAATAGGTTTTACATTTAGATTCAGAACGAACATGATTCTTCTACAGCCATCCTTTTTACAGTGGTTACAACTTAAACATACAGGTTTCAAGTTTAACTGACTACCATGACTAGAGAATAGAATAACGTGATTTATCAACGAATTAACAGAATTTTAAAACAAAATTAAAAGCTTTTGAGCAGTAGTACGGTAAAAATTATGTGTGTCAAAAAGATAAGCACCACCGTTTAAAATGAGGTCTGTTTGATATTTAACCATCAACAATAAATTCAGATGGTTTTTATTTGGAACCATGTAATATCCATCACAAAATACTTCCAGCATAAGTCTTGCCACTCCAAGAAGAATAGTGTCAGGTTCCTTTGGTACCATGGTACTAATCAAACAAGAGGTGTTGAGGACGTGATCCAAGTGAGAGAGGGGGGGGGGGTTGGATGGCTGAATGGTTAGCGTGCGCGCGCTGTATCATAAAGTCTGTCATTGAGTCAACTGGCGTGGTTTCGAATCCCCGGTTGTACGTGACAAGGAGTAGGGTCGCCTGTCCAACCTCGTGGGTTTCCTCCCACAGCTAAAGATCCCTACGCGCAAGCGAATTATGGAAATAAAATTGAACCATATGTTAGTCGAGTGGACGTTAAACCCCATTTCTCTCTCTCTCTCCAAGTGAGAGAGGGATACACATGACGATGGTTATCACTACTCTTGTCTGTAATCCTCATCCTTTTCCTGACCAGATCATCTAATGGACTCCTATATTTTTCGAAATCCTCAATTAAAAAATATCTATTACTTAAATGACCAAATATTCCTGTCTTGTTTTACTTTAAGGTGGTCCTTAACCTTTTGTCAGTTGTATTTATTTTTATAACTTACTTGCACCACCGGCACTGTTTGCGGGAGTTCCAACACCTCCTATAGAATTCAACTCATTGTTAAAAATATAATTTGCGGGTCACGGAAAGATAACTCTGTTTGGAAACATGGTTTGGTGTAGAGGAGTAACCGAAGTTGGCCGAGTGAAATCTGCAGCCGGTTGCCGAGTGAAAAATAGAAAGTAACTCATTGAAGATCCAGTATTGTGCGTTTTTGACTGCAAACTCTATGAAAACCTCGACTGAGAAATACAAGCGGTGAAGACTGAAATTTATACCCATAAATTATTGTTATGGGTTGCTCTAACTATGTGCTGCCAAGTTAACATAGGTGATGGTTAGGATCAGAATTATTGATAAAAGAATATAATGGCTGTAAATGCTTAAGACAAAATATAAACAGGCTTCATACGGTGGGAAAAAAAACAACAACAAAAAAAAAACAACAAAAAACAGATTATTCGAGAACGGTAAATATTTCATAGTGAGCAATTCCCCCTGAACCGCGTCCTTTTAAAGGGAAGTAACTCGCCAAAGACGCCAGGAGCCGGGTGTTTTTCTTACTTTTACCTGGTAAAATTTGTTGTTGTTATTTGTGAAATATTATATTTTTAGTCTTTGTAGAAATATACACTCGTCTTAAACGATACGCATTAACGTTTGGTCAGTAGCATTGCATCATTTAATTCCATGATAATCATTCGATAGATAGATTCCATATTCCATGTGCCGTGATCTGCATTCGCCATTCTCATTCTGCATTCATGATTCACTGGGCCCTATAACTAAACTAGGCTACTTTACTTTGAACTTCACACACTATCCTGTGTATAACCACGCGGGTCGTTGTTGTTTTATGAATAGTGGTAAGCGAGTTTGGTGATTTATTTATCTCGTTTAAAACTGATTTTGCAAATTGTATGTTATTCAACCAGTTTTTAAACCTTACTTGAAATAACAAGATGTGAAGATAGCCATCGGCTTAAAAACTGGTTGAATAACATACAATTTGCAAAATCAAGGCCCAATTTGAAACACTTTGTTAAAATTAATGGCTGTATTTCAGTCATCTATGCAGTCAGTTTTTAATTCATTAAATCGCCATTTAAAATTTACGAAAAAAACCCCATTGGATTGGAAATGGTCATATATAATATAGGTTTCTGTGTATTGTTTCATTATAGTATAGACTATGGTAATTGGTATGTAAGTAAGAATGATAGTACCCGGTACTATTATGCCACACATATATTTATCTTACAACATTTTTACGTATCATGCCATATCGCAGATAGCATGACATTTCGGCCCTGCGACCTTACAGGCTCAACACAAACAATGTTTTGGACACAACACAATCAAAGTTTCAAACTTGGTCTGACAACATTGTGTAAATAGTAGAGACTATAAAAAATTTCAAATTGATTGTATAATATATATAGCTCATAATTTTCGTTATGACTCATGAGAAAGAATGTCAAAAAATTTATAATAATATGGGTGATAATCGAGATACAATTTTCGAAAACGTTAAAAATTAATATAGTGTAGTGAGCAAACAGGAGCAAGTACGCTTTATGCCTCTTTAAAACTTTTATCTTTTTAGGAAAGTTATCATTATGCCTCACGGTAATCGTCATGGGAGACAAGGATTTAAGGGTGGCAGAAGAAGTGGAGGGGGAGGAGGTGGTGGAGGATATCGAAATGACAGAAAGGGTGGATTTGGGGGTAGAGATTATGAAGATAGATTTAACAGAGGAGGAGGTAACTGGGATGATGGAGGGTTTGGGGGTGGAGGTTTTGGAGGGAGAAGTATGGGAGGCAAGAGACATGTAATGGAGGAAAATTGGAACATGATGAACCAAGAGCCTAGAAGACCAACTTTACCAAAGGGAAATCCAGACTATTGGGAATATAAAGGTAAAATTTTAGGTTTATTAAGGGCAAATGTAAATTCTGAAATTCCATCAGTAGAGTGAACTTTGGATTTGATGATAGTATGGTTATAGTTTCAATGACCATCTAATCACTGGCAATACTTATTGATTTAAAAAAACACAAAAAAAACACAGGCAATTTAGAATCAACATGTGTTCACAAACTAAAAATAAAATTGCTTGTACAATCAGAATAATTAAGATCACATATCTTTTCAGACACTGCCAGTGACAATGAAGAGTGTTCAGAAGTCGAACCCAAAAGACCAAGATTAGAAGTCGAAGATGGTCTTCTACCAGGTGCTGAAAATGTAACATGTGTTATGCCAGTTCCTAAACCTCCTGTTCAAAGTGAAGAGGACAAAAAACCGAAACCACTTTTAGATAGTCCAATGTTTGATGAATATTATGAATACTTTGATGGTGGTCCAGTTTTACCTACTGCTCTAAACCCAAAACCACTTGACCAAAAATCTGATGCTCCTGGACCAAGAGATGAATTTTGGGATACTGATATAAGAAATGGGATGTCACTTGAGGATATGAGATATAGAATCATCCCAGGGGAGCCAAAATATTTTGAAGGTCCCGGTCCTAGGTCAACCGAATTAATAAGAATAGGACAAGATGGTCGCAGAGTTTCGCCAGAAGAAAAGATGTTTGTTTTTGTTCAAATTCTTCTCAGAACTCCATTTAAGAAATCGGCAGTAGAGGTAATGGAGATAGCACGTGGTAAAATGAACAAGAAGCAGGCAATATGTTTGAATTTTCAAATAACTCCAGAGGACGACGACAGTGACAATTATCAGTGTCAGTTCAGCGCAGCAGGATTTAAGATTACAACCACAGAAGGCTCAACTAAAGAAGAAGCCAAAACTTCAGCTGCAGAACAGGGTCTTTATATTCTGATGACCAAAACCTTTAATGAAATATGTCCAAGTAATTACTATCAAACCCTAGATGACGGCAACTACGAGACCAAAGTTAGGACAAAAGACGACCCAAAAGAAACCAAAGCTGCAGTTGAAAACAAAGATGACCAGACTACTGATGAAACCAAGGCATCCATAAAGACAGACGAAAAAGAAGAAAAGGACGAGAAAGAAGATAAAGAGATGGAAGAAGAAGGAGAAAAAGATGAGAATACAGAGAAAGATGAAAATGAAGAAAATACAGAGAAAGATGAGAATGAAGAAAATAAAGAGAAAGATGAGAATACAGAGAAAAATGAAAATGAAGAAAATAAAGTAACAGATGAGAATGAAGAAAAGGATGAGAAAGAAGAAAAGGGTGAAAATGATGAAAATAAAGGAAAAGAAGGAAAGGATAATAAAAGGACATCGGAGCATAAGAGACATGAACAAAGAGGAAAGAAAAGCCCAACTTGGAGAAGTCCCAAACTTATTATTCGACTACAGATTATGAAGAAAATCATGGAAGAAACACTAGCTAGAAATTGCTATTCTGATATGGAGGCTGTTGCTTATACATGTGAAGTGGCACTTTGCATTGTTTGCTATAAAAGATATCGCTTCTCGGGTGGATCAGATCCAATGAAATGTGATATGTATGCAGATGAGATGTATCTTGGAACTGGCAGTGGATCAAACTTTGAAGAAGCCCTGTTTGAAGTTTATATGTCAGCTAGAGACAATCTAATCAGAACATCGGTTCACTCGCTTCTAATGAACAATAAACGATTATCAGAACTTGATAGAAATGATCCCAAGATTCTCGATATTATTTACAGAGGCCATTATCAAGAAATTGGATCTAATCGAGGAAGTTTGAAAACTTTTGAGGTCTATCCACCAGACTTAGATAAATCAACTGATGAAGTTATCATCCTGCAGTCTGAAGATAAACACACAACACCATTCCGTATATTAAAAAGTAGTATAACACAGTCTGGGTTATTGATCGAATGGGTACTCTCAGCAAAAGATGACCATTCTGCTTGCAGGTAATAAAACTTCTTAAATGAGCTGATCCACCTGTTTATTTGATTTAACAATAGATAGATAACAATGAAAGCATGAAAAAGAAATGTTATAGGGTTTAATGTCCTCCGATTTGGTTAATATACAGGCATACGTCATACAGTGTGCTATGAGGGAAATTTTGCCCAGACAGTGGCGATACAGCCTACTCTTATATCAAATTCCAACTGCCAGAGGAATCTATTACATGTACATGGGTCCTCGTTTTTTAGTCCCATCCGATCGACTATACGTTGTTCTTTGCCATGCCCTCAGTCCTGCACCATTGACAGAAGAACCCCACCAGAAAATCCAGATGAACTTTCTCGGCCAACACAGGGATCAAACACAGGACCTCTAGGTGGCTCCTAACAATAAAAGCTACTAGAATCAACTTTTATAAACTTATATCACAGAGGTCTCCGTTCAAATGCCAAACTACATGAAAGACTGCTTTTGTGAAATCACTGATAAGAGTCAAAACTAACAGTAGAAATATGATTTTAATTAACAGTTGTGATAGCATAATTTGACCGATTTACTAAAATAATCAATAATTTTATCCACCCACATTTTAATGTAGTTGTATATTGCCATCACTCCTGTCCGTCCATCCATTTGTCAGTCATTTCCATTTTTGCTAGCTCAGTAGAGGCTATAATAATAGATAACCCTTAGGTACGGGTACATTTTTTTCAATTAAAAGGCTTCAATTATGTTTGATTTTCCTAAACTTTGTATTGTTCGTGATGTCTATCTCAAAGAAGCCTTTTGATTTTCAACATGTTTCATAAGAATAACCTGCAGAGTTATGCCTCTTGTTACAAAATATTTTTAACACTTTATAAGCTGTAATTACTAACCTATCCTGTTTATATTGTTTGTCTTTCCATTCTATTTACTTTCTCAATGTTTTACGTACGATAATAACTTATTACCCTTTGTTAGAAATCTTTTTAGCAACTGACATGATCCATTTGACTTGGCTTCTGGTGGGCTTATGTTCTGTCACCAATGCATTCTTAATTAGGGCTCGATTTAAGTTGATATGAGTAGGTTTTATCAATATCATCATTTTATTAGAATCAGATGGACCATCGTCTTTAATGGGTGCCTAAATGTTGCTGTAAAGCCTAATTAAATATTTTACTTCTGCCTTCCTTTTCTTTAATTAGGAAAAAAGGGTTTCAGATTGAAGCATTTCATTAATATTTGGCTTATTTACTTCTTTGATTTTGAAGGAACTAAATTTTGACTAGCATGTTCATGAATTCTGTTGTAAACTTCCATTACATGCTATAAAGGAATAATCCTATTAAATTTTAGCAGTTTGTGACAATTAAATTCGCACTTTGCAGATCTTAGTTGGTGTGCAATAAAAAAAAAAATATTTGAATTGATGTTACAGTTACATTGCAGATGTTTAAATTAGATACCGGTACTATTCACTTTGATTTCTTATCTTGATGTGCCTGTTTTGTTTACTTCAATAGGTGCTTAGTCTACCTACAAGGGAAAAGAATTGTAGATGTAAGAGGGCCAACCAAGTTCAAGGCAAAGAATGCAGCATCTGAAATGATATTGAAAGGATTTAATGCTACACATTCAGTGATCAGAGTAATTATCATCTTATATCTTTGTGCAAAAAATTTGTAATACTAATAATAGTACTATAACCCCATATAAAGCTTGAGTTCTAGTAGTTACTCTAGTAACGAAATATACAAGAGTCCTAGTACCTGGACTCTATCCGTCCAGGTACTAGGACTCTCATATATTTTGTTACTAAAGTAACTAGAGTTCTAGTTGACATAATATAACCCTATGGGTTTTCCAAAAGAAATTTTGGGCTTTGAGCTGTTAAGAATCCAAGTCACAGATTTGTGTTACTGTTAGCAACAGTAACCATGGGGGCAGTAAAGTATTCTTTGAATGAAACACACCTCACCTCAATAAGACCAAAATATCATGTGTTAGTCTCATAATGATCAGATTATAAAATACTGATACAGTATGGGATCTTCCGCATAATGCTAATAATGCTACATGTACTATAAGCATTTCAGAAGGAAAATTCTGGTTGTTCTGTATTTTGAACCAACCCTCAAACCCAGACAGGACATAAATCATATCTATTGAATTCCGATCATTGAATCACATTTATAACAAAATATTTTATTTTTCTGTTTTTCCAGTGTTCTCCCATGGAATTCTCAGAACCAACATTGTCAATGGAAAACCTAAAACAGCAAGCCAGAGAGTTGTGTGATGAACAGAATATTATCACTGATGAAGAACTAACACCATGGATGCATAAAGTTTTAGAAAAACTTATAGATGAAAAGTTGGAAGGAGATACTTTAGATCTAATTATACTGTGTGAAGATATTGGTGGTAAATTAAGAAAGTTCATCAGAAGTTATGCAGACTCCAAGAAATATCTAGCCAGGGAGCGTCCATCTGATACAAGAAAAAATCTTATTATACAAAAGAGACTGTTTACAGCCAAGGAAATGGTAGATATTCTGGAATTAAATAACTACGAAAGTGGTAAATTTAAATTGATTCAGAAGCGAGATGGGGATATACTAACAAAATATTGGACTGAGGATGGAAGTATGAAACTTGATGTCCCTGAATCCATTAATATTTCTGATATTCAACAAGAGGAAGAAATGCCATTAGATGATAGGCGTGCAAGTAAAGGGCACTCAGAAACAGAGTAAAAACTTTTTATTATAAAATTTTAATGATACATTTTTCACTGGATTTGTGTGTCTACAAGACTTGCAAAGATTTACAGACTTTTCTTTTCATCTGCTAGCTAACAATATTTTTTTTCTCACAAAATTCATATACCAGAAACTTGGATTACAAAAATAGTTTTAACACTGGGTTAAGAAAATAGTTTTAACATTGGGTCAAGAAAATAGTTTTAACATTGGGTTAAGAAAATAGTTTTATACAATGTTATTTTTTTGTCAATCATTTATTATTTCAAAATGAATACGAAGTACAGTGATCATTGAAAGACATTGTAGCGAATTTAAAAATATATGACTAATGTATGCCATTCTTGAATATATATAAATTGTGTCTACTAACAGTACCCAGATTTATGTGAAGAGCTTTTAGATAAATAGATAATCTCCAGCGAGTCTTTTTTGATATAAAAAAATATGGACTTGTGATAATATTAGAAATGAAGAGAAGTAGATTTTATTTATCACCCAATCCTTTCTTACATGCATAAATAAATATAATTCTTTGCTATAGATTTGACTTTTACTGAACCTGATTACATTACGGCGTAGTGATACATCATTTTTTGACAGCAATTCAACCATTGCAGTCCTTTATATTGACCCAGTGTTTCCATGAAAGTCAATTAAATAAAAAATAGTTCCTTTTAATAAGAAAGAAGTTATTTTTATTAAAAATTGAACTGTTCTTTGAAAATAAAAAAAGTAGTTCCATTTTGATTGACCAATCAAATTCATGTAAAGCGATGTCTCCTAAGGAGCTATATCGTAGTAGATTATGAAATTTATCAGACAAGCAACATCTACTGTAGAATGTATTATTGGGTGATAATTAAAGATAATTATCAAATGTTTAGGGACTACTGTCAAAATATTGTTTATTCAGCAGACTTGAATTAGGTAGAAAGACATATAAATCAAAGTTCATTAAATTCAAGGATATTTTAAAATAATGCATACCCTACATGTGTATTTTGTAGTCAAATGAATTCATTCTCATCATTGTAAAATAAAACTTCAGCCAGATAAATTGTGTCAATTTTTATACAGCCACATTACAGTGTGGGCATATTATGCTGTCAACCTGTCCATTAGTCTGAGTTTTTAACACAATACTGACAACAGTTTTTCAGCAGTGTTCCGAGACCTTCCATTCTGGAGTTAAACACCTTTCGCCTAATACCTTGTGAGCACGATCAAGGCTACATGAACTTGATTGAAATTTGATTTCTTGAAGGCATCTACATGTATATCAGACTTGGTCAACTCCCGCCCTTTACTTTTGAATAAGCTGCTGTTTATAGTTACTTTTTTATACCCCTAAATTTTCATATGGACGTATATTGTCGTTGCTCCTGTCAGGGCGTCCACAATTTGTTTTTGGACACTCCACTCTACAGGTCACAATTTTTATTCAATTCTGATGAAACTTAAAATATAGTTCTATCTCCCAAAGATAGCATTTTGAAAAATGAACCCCAAATATGCGATTTGGTGGCATATCTGATTATAATCTCTGTCAAATAATATATCTCATAAATCGATTAATTTAGGCCAAAACCCCGACCTGCAAGTAATTTACAACCATCAACCTGTGAAATTATCATATCATCATATTATTAATTAACATATCATTGTATCGTCGAGAGAATTTAACTGGTTATAAAATGGGACTAGTAAATATAAAAATGTCAAGGAATGTTTTTAAACGCCAGCCTCAGGAAATCGCCTCGCACCCATATTCAGCCAGCAGACCAACTATCATCAAATTTTGCTGTGGCCTGAATATTTTTGGAGTTACGAACCATCGGCAAGGAATGTTTTTAAACGCCAGCCTCAGGAAATCGTCTCGCACCCATATTCAGCCAGCAGACCAACTATCATCAAATTTTGCTGTGGCCTGAATATTTTTGGAGTTACGAACCATCGGCAGACATTTCTGGCGTATCCCCACAAACAGGGTGCAGGTGACTTAATAATTAGTAAATTTGCGGGCGAAATTTTCGGATGAAATTCGGAATCCCCATTCCAGACTCCAGTGATGGCCCGTTAAAGCCACCGGCCACATACAACATGATCATCATCGCTCCATGGCCGGTCCAATACCCCCTCCCCCCCATATAATGTTCAACAGAAAAAGGTTTTTGTAGAAGAATTGGACAAAATTATTTTTTTCATTTTTGTCCGACCGGCCCTTCGGGCGATCGCCCCCTGTATGGCCCTTGATTGTAGGAAAAATCATGTTTTTAGCTTGTGGTCCGAGGTAACAATTTTTATCCGATTTAAAAATACGTTTGAATATATCACCGTTACACCTAATGATGGCAGAGTTCGAATTTCATGAAAATCGGACCAAAACTGCCGGACAAAATGGCCGCCTCTTGTACGCAAATAAAGATATGGCATATCAAGGTTCCTGTCGATATTCGCGCATATCGGATCATAACATCCTGAATTATGGCCCTTGATTGTACAAAAATGGCGTTTTTAGCTTGTAACAATTTTTATCCGATTTAAAAAAAACACGTTTATATCACCGTTAAACCCTAATGATGGTTAAGTTCGAATTTCGTGAAAATCGGGACCAAAACTGCCGGAAGTTTTGATCCGATTTTGATGAAACTTGAAATATATCTTTATAACCCAAACATCTTAGTTCCTGTCGATATTCGCGAATATCGGACCATAACTTCCTGAATTATGGCCCTTGATTGTACGAAAAATCGCTTTTTGTTTAGCTTGTTCTCTATCAATCTCTTGCAAAATGTGGATGTATCCTCCCTGGCAGCCGCTGGTTTATCAGGACATAGTTGCTGTGTGGACGTATTTCCACGCTTTCAGCGGCTATAGGTTAGGGTTAGGGTTAAAAGGTGGTGTGATTTTTTGCTGACAGTTTGGGCATAATCAAAATTGTGTGTGCATCCTTTTATAATTTGATAGAAAAACGATTACTGATAAATACATGAAACTAAGGCACTGTTTACCCTATATTTTGTCATGTTGTCTAAAAGCCAGTGACTTTTGTTTTAAATGCAAGTAAATACTGACATTTTTATGCATTTGCTGATTATTACCAGATGTTCACCCTGCTTGATATTACTATATATTATTAATCAAATTTCAACAGCTTCCATTAATTACATCTAAGAGTTATGGCCCTTGTTCACTTGCCACATAGCTTATCCAACTTACTTCAAAGTTATTTAAATTAGTCGAACCGATGAAACGCTATTGAATTCTAAGTATATGTAAAGTACGTGTACTTCTGGCTATGGTCCCTGTGAACTTCGCAGAATCTTGTGAATGTTCCAGTAGCAAAAGTTATCTGATCTGCTTGAAATCAGTATTATGCATTGTTTAGATCTGTGAAATGGGTTTTTAACTTCCCAACCTTTTTGCGCCAACCACGATAGACAAAAATCAGCGTTAACTGTAAAACGTTCTTTTACTTGCATGACAACATGGACATGGGACTCCAGGTTGTTTTTTTTTAAATCCCATCTGAACGACTAGATATTGTTCCTTACCAGGCCTTTCATCCAGCACAACAAACAAGGGGAACCACTGGAAAATGACAGATCAAAGCCCATACCTCTTTGTTAGTGAATCGGTGCCTTTCTCCGTTTGTTATTTATCCCATTGGATCTTGTCAAAGATTTTTTATAAAGGTTTTGCTTTTTAAGACGACTATTCTGGTTAAAATAGCATAATTATCGGTCAAGATGGAAACCAGCAGTTGCGATGCATGATAAATCCACATTTTGGAAAAGATGAACAGAACAAGCTAAAACAAGCCATCAGTGAGGATGATGTCCCCCGTCACCCCCCCCCCCCCAAAAAAACAGTTGACACATTAACTAATTGCACATTATCTATTTTCAAATATATCGAGTAATCAACTATACACTAAGTTTCATCACTCTCCATCAGTTAGAATCAAAGTTGCGATGCATGATAAATCCATATTTTGGACAAGATGAACAGAACAAGCTAAAACAAGCCAACAGTGAGGATGATGTCCCCCGTCACCCCCCCCCCCCCAAAAAAAAACAAAAAAAAAACAAAACAGTTGACACATTAACTAATTGCACATTATCTTTTTTCAAATATATCGAGTAATCAAACTGATTATCTATGCTTAGTCTAAGCATAAAATGTTCACTATGCACTAAGTTTCATCACTCTCCATCAGTTAGAATCAAAGTTATAGTTATCTTGTCCCAAAGCATCGACCAAAGAAATTGCTTAGCTTTAATGGGAAATATGAATAAAATTATTGAACTCCGTCAAGACATTCGCCTATAATGAACATCTATACCTCAATTGTTATGTTCCAAAGTCTTGACCAATCTAATAGGTTATCACTACTTAGCATAAGCAGAAAATTCTCATCATCGAACTTAGTAAATGTATTGATATAATGAATCTATACTCAGAATTTCATCGCTCTCACCCAATTAGAACCAAAGTTATCGTGTTACAAATTGCTCATCTCTGCTTAGCCTAAGCAGAAAATTATCATCATCGAACTTAGCCAATGTATTGATATAATGAATCTATACTCAGAATTTCATCGCTCTCACCCAATTAGATCCAAAGTTATCGTGCTCCAAAGTCTCAACCAATCAAATTGCTCATCTCTGCTTAGCCGAAGTGGAAAATGCACATGAACAAACTATGTCAAGGCTTACTCTGTGTAGACACCTACACCAATTTTGAACATTCTACCTCAATTAGAGAGTTATTGTGTTCCGAAATCTCGATCTATCAGAAGTCTCTACTTTGCCTAAGCACAAAATTGTCGAGCTCCAAAGTCTCGACCAATCAAATTGCTCATCGCTTTGCTTACCCCGAGCTGAAAATGCTATCATAATCAAACTTAGTCAAGGTATTTTTGCGATGAAACTTTACACCTTGTTTTGTCACTCTCACTTAATTAGAACTAAAGTTATCGTGTCCCAAAGCATCAACCAATCAAACTGAATATCTCTGCTTACCCTGAGCAGACAATGCTCATCTTCGAACTCCATCAAGGCATTCACCCAATCAACGCCTACACCAAGTTTAAACTTTGAACGAGAGTTATTGTGTTTCAAAGTCTCGACCAATGAAATTGCTTATCGCTCTACTTACCCGGAGCAGAAAATGCTCATTATCGAACTTTGTCAAGGTATTGATGTAATAAAACTATACACCATATTTCATCACTCTCACTTAATTAGAACTAAAGTTATCGTGCCCCAAAGCATCAACTAATCAAATTGAATATCTCTGCTCTCCTGAAGCAGAAAATGCTCATCTTCGAACTCCAAGGTATTGAGTTTGAACATTCTCTCGATTAGAAGGAAAGTTATTGATCCCAAGGAGTTTGACGGGCATTAGCTATTTATATCAACGTAGATTTATGAGGTTTTGGACCCATAGTCCCTTTCAGGGAGCATTAATACGCGCTCATGTCCTTATATACTCTTCAAAAGATAGGTTGCCAGGCAACGAAACATACGCCCACAGCAGCTAAATCCTCCGTGCAGTCAACAGGAGTTGTCGCATATTTTTACTTTTGTCGGTAATGAAACATTTATAATACACTAAAATCTGATGAAGAGCAACAACTCATGAAGTAATTATCAGAAAATCATTAGAATTTGTTTGTTTTTTTTTATAAAGTTCTGCCCCATGCTAACGTTTTGTATACAAAACTTTTAATATCATGGATTTAGCTGTTCAAGTCATAAAAATTCATTGAAAATCAATATACTTATAATTGTTCGTCTCAAGATCTTAAACTCTGTGTATCAATCTGAAGTCAATCGGATGATAAATTTAGTCTTTAGAGCGTCACAAAGTGATTAAGGGCTATAAATTTGGCAGTAATTATCGGAAATCGTTGAAAATCAATAGGATTCTTCGTCTCGTGACCTTAAACACTGTGTATAAAGTTAAGGTCAATCGGACATTAACTTTGGCCTCTAGAGCGTCCACAAGATTTCTTGAAGTGATCAAGGATCATAACTCGGGCAGTAATTATCGGAAATTGCTGAAAATCAATAGGATTCTTCGTCTCGTGACCTTAAAACCCTGTGTATAAATTTAAAGACAATCGAATATTAACTTTGGCATCTAGAGCGTCCACAAGATTTTTTGAAGTGATTAAGGGCCATAACTCTGGCAGTAATTATCAGAAATCGCTGAAATCAATAGGATTCTTCGTCGCATGACCTCAAACACTGTGTATAAATTTAAAGTCAATCGGATATTAACTTTAGCCTTTAGAGCATCCACAATATTTTTTCAAAGTGATCAAGGGCTATAACTCTGGCAGTAATTATCGGAAATTGCTGAAAATTAATAGGTTTCTTCGTCTCATGACCTTAAACACTGTGTATAAATTTAAAGTCAATCAGATATTAACTTTAGCCTCTAGAGCGTCCACAAGCAATTGTGGACGCCGAACCGACGACAATATACGACGACATTTCAATTTAAAGTCAATCGGATATTAACTTTGGCCTCTAGAGCGTCCACAAGATTTTTCAAAGTGATCAAGGGCCATAACTCTGGCAGTAATTATCGGAAATCGCTGAAAATCAATAGGCCTCTTCGTCTCATGACCTTAAACACTGTGTATAAATTTAAAGTCAATTGGATATTAACTTTGGCCTTTAGAGCGTCCACAAGATTTTTTGAAGTGATCAAGGGCCATAACTCTGGCAGTAATTATCGGAAATCGCTGAAAATCAATAGGCCTCTTCGTCTCATGACCTTAAACACTGTGTATAAATTTAAAGTCAATTGGATATTAACTTTGGCCTTTAGAGCGTCTACAAGATTTTTTGAAGTGATCAAGGGCCATAACTCTGGCAGTAATTATCGGAAATCGCTGAAAATCAAAAGGCTTCTTCGTCTCATGACCTTAAACACTGTGTATAAATTTAAGGTCAATCGGATTTTTTGAAGTGATCAAGGGCCATAACTCTGGCAGTAATTATCGGAAATCGCTTCTTCGTCTCATGACCTTAAACACTGTGTATAAATTTAAGGTCAATCGGATATTAAAATTGGCCTTAAGAGCGTCCACAAGATCTTTCAAGGTGATCAAGGACCATAACTCTGGCAGTAATTATCGGAAATCGCTGAAAATCAATAGACTTCTTCATCTCAAGACCTTAAACAATGTGTATAAATTTAAAGTCAATCAGATATTAACTTTAGCCTCTAGAGCGTCCACAAGCAATTGTGGGCGCCGGACCCACGACAATATACGACCACATTTAGAAACAATACAAAATTGCGGAAATGCACTGCTGTTTTTATTAGAGGTAACCAGTGTATGTTAATAACGGCCCCCCATGTCACTAGCAGAGAAACCGTCAAAAGTGATAATGGCTGTTTTTGATTTTTGTCTTAATGAGTAATTGCTCCACCAATCCTCAGACATTCAGTAATTTATCGTGGCATGCTTCTAATCAATTGTCCAATCACAATTTGGGGCAATCTGACCCACTCCCCTTGCAGTGCCACTGCCAATTCTTGCGGTGTTGTCAGTTGACGAACACGTCTCTCGATGAAAATAAACTAACACGCACGCCAAAGCAAAGATACGCTAAACAGTAAATCTTATGCAAGAAATGATAGGAATGCGAACATGGATACATAAACCAGCAAGCGGCAGTTTTCATCAACCCTTCCTTGAAGTGTCAAATTTAACAATGAACCCCTCCCACGTGTATGGCGCTATTGCGTGTCGCATGTGCAGCTCAGTGGTTCTGTTGGGGCGATAAGTTCTTCATCTGTGAACATACTCTCAAAACATGTCAAGTGTCCAGGACTATTTATCATATCACAACCTGCATAGGTATTTGCATTTCAATATCCCCTAGTTTTTTGAGATTTAGTTAGATTGTAGAAATTGTGATAGTCGAAATTCAGTGGAGAAAATCGATAGTTGAAAATGTTAAGATGAAAAAGTTACAGTGAATTTACAAAGGCAAAAAGTAGAAAGGGAAAAAACAAAAATAGATTTTTTACATTGTTAATTTTTGTTTTAATATTAGTTATAGTGATTTTCAAGGTGTTCAAATATCCATAAAATGTATTATCTTATATACACAAGTGAAAAAATCTCAAAAATGGCCATTTTTACTACGATAATGTTGCAATTTTAACCATGATATTTTCTGTGAATATGACGCTTCGGCACCATAAGTTACATGTAATGGTTTTGTGAAGCTAAAACTTCCACCCTCAAGAGATTCACTTGACAAACTGCTGGGTGGAACAGGACATGTTATCCCTCGACTTTTTAGCAGTCAAATGTTGATATCAAACACCCTACTATGAATATCTGCTGTAGAAAGCCCTCTGCACTCCACCCATGACCATAAGATTAGACTAGGTAAGATTAGTGTAACTTGATTTCTTCTCAGTATTTCCACCTCTCGCAAGAACACACAGGGCCACATGCAAGGTAAACAAAACATAACAGGAATTGATTTTATTCACATTTCCTCATGCAACTACAGATCTAACAAATGAAGCATGATATTATTGATATACCTTGTGATGTGATTTCCTATAAATGATATATGAAAAATGTTCACCGAAAAAAAATGACATGATTGACTAATAACTATTTGTTTTTACAAATAAATTCAAATAAAAAGATAACAACACAATGATAAAAACAACATTAAGTAAAAATTACATTTCATGATCGTAATGAGAGCTGGCAATTGGACAAACCTCACTGTAACAGATGAAGATCTTTAAATAATAATTTGAAAATGGCCTCTTATTGTTTTAATTACTTCTATGAAGCATTAGTAGAATAACAAATAAAGAATCCACAAAAATATAAAATATGTAGTACAGTGTTTTTAAAGGGCAGATTTTATTCTGTCACCATTTGTTCATCGGTTGATTCCTCTTTCTTTTCAGCTGCTGCCTTGGCTGCAGCCTTTTCAGCCTCTTTCTGTGCCTTTTCAGCTTCTTTCTTTGCCTTCTCTTCATCAGCTTTAGCCTGTTCTTCAGCATTTAAAAATCGTTTAGCCGACTTCTGTTCTGGTGTTCGGATTTGATAAAGTTTGTAACGTCCAAACGCACCATCATTCTCCAGTAGAATTTTCAATATATTTTCAGCATGGTGTGTCTTTCTTTGAAACAGTACCTAAAATGAAAGAAAATATTTTGTTAATAATAGTAATAGTGACTGTTCAATGTTTTGGTTTTTTTTTTTTAGATGCGTTACAAATCTTTCAGAATCTTTGACTATGGATTTTTTTTGAAACAGCCAGTTGCATTAAGGGGGTGGACAGTAGAAAATTTCAGTTTTTTTAATAATTGAGGTAAAGTCACCATTCTTACACATCTAAGAACACATCCATTGAGTATTACAAAAACGGCCGAAAAATTTTCCTGGGGGTACCTGTTGCTATGGAAACGGCGGCCATCTTGGATTTCTGCGTATAATTTTAGTCATCCAGTTTCTCAGAAACTATTTAACAGAATGTTTTAAAATTAAGCAGAGAGGTTACTGACATGTTCCTTTGTGCAATAGGCAAGTTTCATTACAAAATAATAATTAGAAAGCAAGTTATACACATTTTAATGTTAACTTCAAAATTCTTTCACGTGTCACAGTTGCTATGGCAACAATATATCGGGAACTATTTTGCAGATTTCAATAAAATTCTCCTATTGCACAAAGTTATTATATAGGAAGTTATATTCCAAGTTTCAAGAAAATCTGACGATAACTTTCAGAGATATAGCATGACTAAAATTGGTAACTCTAGAAAAAAACTGTTTTGAGAAATCAACAACTGAAGTTGAAGTATTTCAGTAGAACAACTTACGCCGATCTTTTCAATTCATTTATTTAATATTAATAAACTGACTTTTAATATATATATTTTCTAATGTATTTCTTATCAATATACAGTATTTTCTTATTTTATTTCTTGTGTGTAAATTTACAACCGAACATTGACATAGGAATAGATGTTATTCAAAACAACCATAACTATATAATCACTGACAGCAGGCCTACCTGGTAATGGTATTGCAACCATACCACTACTAGGTCTAGCAGACGAATATTCATCTTCATTTTGTTTATTATGAGTGTCTGTCATACTTATTTAGTCATCTAACAATTTCAAACGCATTTTATTTGAAAATCTTTGAAAATATTGATAAACAGTGACGTACGGTTCAGTAATATAGCAACCAGGATTGATTTGGGACATGAGCTTAGTGCGCATGCCTATTGACCTGACCTAGAGGATTGCCCGCTTCTGATTGGACACTTCACCATTGACCTATGTGACCGACCAATCAAATAACGTATTCTCAAAATAACCTCATTAGGTATGCAAAACTTGTTCTTGCTTGCTATTTTTATCTCAATACAGAAGAAAGGTTTCAAGACACCCCCATAAAACGTCATTTCCTTTCAATAGGGGGGATCCCAAGCTTTCTAACAGTATCCAACATGGCGACAGTTTACCGGTCGGAAGCCGAGTATTTCACGTATGAAATGCCTATTGTTTTTAGATTTATATCAATAGTTTTAGCGGAATTAGGGCAAAATAAAAAAGGGTGGGATCATTCAGAACCAAATTTTGTAGAAATAAAGAAGAATTTTGTAAAAAAAATGACTGGTATGTGTTCCTAAATAGTGTTACTCGCAGATGATCATAAAACCTCAAAAACGATTTTATTGTTAAAATTCACCAAATGAAGTGCGAACGACGGCCTTAAGGATTCCAATTGAGGTGGGAATGATTTTTTGGTGCCATCGTTGAAAAATTAAGTTGTGGTTCGTAGGTATTAATGTCACAGCTACTGAAAAGGTTATCCCTTGAGCGGCAAGATGGGATCAGAGAAAGGTGTAAACCATAATCTCTTATAAATTGAAGCAAAACAGTTAAATATATATGGCAAATCAATTAAGTATACACCTGCAACAATTAATTTTTTTCAGGCAGTTCACAAACTAATCGGAAAATAACTTTGACAGTAATTATCAGAAAAATTGAAAATTCTGGGTCTTGTAACCATGAACACTTATCATTTTCAACCAGATGATAATTTCACCCTGGTGAAAAAATACGATCACATTTCAATATGGGCATACAATAAAACCTGTCCCATTGAAATATGGACAATATGAAACCAAGACAAGATGCCAATGTTCAGAGATATTTACAATTACCTGTACATTTTTGTTGGTATATGGAACAGAATGAATTCCCATGGGATAGGCCTTCTTGCGAATCCATCTCTGCTCACGTTCAGGGAAATCAGATGCCATTATCATCTCTTCCAGGGTGTCTTCTTTAAAGAAGTTCTTCAGTTCATTTTCTAGAGTTAGGTTTATCCATTCTTCCATTTCAAGCTGTTGTTTCTTTTCATCAGATAATTCTTCTGCTGCAGCATCAGTTTCCATGGTTTCCTCCTGTTTATTACTGAATCTCTGTGGATCTTCCATCTTTAGTTTAATAGCTTTCTGCTGAACTTCTTCATAAGTTATTGATGTCTTGGTGTAATCGCGACTTGTATACTGCAAAAATCAAAATATGTTAAAAATCAATATTCTTCTTCATCCAATTACCTTCAACACTGTGTATAAATTTAAAGTCAATTGGATATTAACTTTAGCCTCAAGTGCAGCCACAAGATTTATCCAAGTGATCAAGGGCCATAACTCTGGCAGTAATTATCGGCTTCTTCGTCTCATGACCTTAAACACTGTGTATAAATTTAAAGTCAATCAGATATTAACTTTAGCCGCTAAAGCAATTGTGGACACCAGACGGACGGATGAACCGACAAGATACGACCACATTTCAATGTGGGCGTATAAAAACTTACTTTGATAACTGTCTGTGTATTTGAGAAACGTTGAAGGGCATGGTTGGCAGCACCATTCTTTGCTTTGATCTTATTCTGTGCTTTAACATCTGCTATCATTCTCTTCTGTAGGAAAATCTGACACCTAAAGAGTAAAGAATAACATTCTAAATACATATATTAGTAATGAATACAAAACAGTTCACATTCTGCAAAAATCTGTTAATTGTTTATTATAATGCAACTTTACAAAAGAAATATTGATTGTACATGCATGTTCAGTAAATTGAAATATGTATTCATGACAAAAATCATTGATATATTACCTTTGTGGTGCATCGTCATGACGTCCAGAAACACACCATTCTAAAGCCATTCCATTCTGTGTAGCACTGGTTTCTAGTATCTTAAAGAAAGCTTGGTTTTTCTGCTCCTCATGTTCCAAAACAATAACATCAAATGTACCCTTTTCTTCATTTGGTGGATACAACTGCCATGACTTGAGATTACCACTGTTGGAGCCGATCTCGTGGAACGGTCCTCGATAAACTATATCCAAGATGAGAGGATCGTCTTTATTCAGTTCAGATAATCGTTTTTGATCCTTGATGATAACATGTACTGGAGTGTTGAGTAAATAATCTCGAGACTTGATGTAGGCATTTTTACCAGCTTCTCTAGAATCGGACCCTTCACCTTTACTCAAATACATCTCATCAGCATAAATTTCACAGGTAACAGGATCTGTCTCTGTTGAAGCTTCAGATTGCTTGTAGTAAACTAGCGTTAGGGTCATACCACATGATGCTGCGGCCATATTCATATCAGCAATACTATAGACTTTCTTACCCTTGGGAAGGCTCTGTTTCATGTGCTTCAAACGTTCCTTCAATCTGGGACTGAAATATTTAAAGGACATTTTAGATCTGCGGCCTAACGGAGTTTTCTTTTTGTCTTCAGATTTAGGTTTGTCAGCTTCAGTGCTACTTTCTGTTGATTTTTCACCGTCCACTGCTTCTCCTTTTGTTTCTTCAGTGGCCTCTTTAGCAGAAGTATCATCTGATGTCTCCATATTAGTTTCAGAATCTTCCTCTTTCTTCTCTTCGGCAGGTCGAAGTTCATCATTACTCATCAAACAAATCTCACATACAGTTTTTGTCATCAGTTTGTAATAGGCAATATCAAACAAAAGTTTTCTAAGAAGATTACGTGTATTTCGTCTACCTTTGGCTAAAAAGAAAGCTCCAAGATGCAGTTCTCCTTCAACTTGGGTTTCGCCATCTTCGCATTTAACATCATCCATTTTACACTGTAACCTCAGATCGATACCACTTTCATTTAAAGATCGCTGTATAGTGTTGATACTACCCCCTTGTGGTGGAAAAAACAACATAAATTCAATAAACTTTTGCAGATTTTCTTCCGGGCTGGCCCATTCTTGGGGATAATCATACTCGGGGCCCATCATAGGTGGGCGACCCCATCCAGGTGGTGGTGGTGGTGGGCCTCTAAATCCAAATCTCATTCCTGGGTCTGGACCATAGTCGAATGCAGGTGGCCCCATCCTTGGTCGCTTAGGTTGCCACTGACCTTGAAACTCCATTGGTCTTTTCCCTACAAAATATGTTCAATTATATATCCAAAATTTTAATTAGATTGTTTTTCATTCATGGTCCAATTTACTAAAAGTAAAAGCAAATTACAACCATAACTTTTAAAAATAAAAAATAAAGATTAACTTCCCGAAAAAATAGAAATGGTCATATAAAACATACCATGAAATCTTGGTCCTCCTGAAACATAGAACAATAGAAAGATTACAATTTAAAAAGAGATTAGTTTTAAAGGAAATCTTATGACTAAATAATTACTCATGACAACAGTAGCGTAAATGGAGTCATTGTTTGCAGTTGGTGATGTAGAAAGATTTCAGAGCTCTTTATTGATGTTTTGGTCTGCTGGACATAATCTTGTAATTATAGATCCCATGTTATATAACATCTGATCTTGCATAACAAAAGAAGAAGTGCTTACAAGGTGTAACTAATTTTGGGAAACACTCCACATTCCAAAAGAATAAACACAAACCAATTTCAACAATCTTATTAGATAATTGTCAAGAAATTTAAAATATCTATTCAATATTGTTATTTGAAAACTGCCACGGGTATTACTCAAAATTCAAGATGGAATAATTGTTATTCACCTCTTCCTCTTCCGCCCCATCCTCTTCCTGCCATCCTTACTGTTATAAATGACCTACAAGAACACAAAGAAACAATGAAAGGCTGACCTGTCTTGCAGAGGATAGAGCAAGATGGTGGAGAAGTGTTCAACTTAACTGTACCTTTGTTTAAATATTTATAATTAATCAAGCCACATAATACTCAAGAAAATAATTAGCATCAATCTTACAAACACGCATATCTTACTTTCACATCAAGATTAAAACTCATAGATCTACATGTATACCAAGAAACACACTCATTTAAATGTTCTTCTCATGAAACTTATGATATATTTACATATCTTGAATAAATTTCTATTAAATATTGATATCTACTAATATATCAATGATATAATAACATGATCTTGAAAACATTTCACAAGCATTAAATGAATGAGTGATAATAATGAATATTTAGTAATAATAAATGAACAATTACTTTAACTTTGTCTCTTAAAAGAGAAATATATTGTGGGACTATTTCAAAGTATTTAAGGATTTCTTGTCAAACAACTTCTCCAAAAAATTAAATTAATAAAAAAAAATCATAATGCAAACGAAAGATGTTGTGAAGGAGTTTACCCTCTTGCTTTCTGTGGAATTTACCTTCAGGAATCAAGATTTTATTTGTTGCTTAGTCTCCAAAATATCTCAAGTTTCTCGTATGGCAGAATGATCACAAGGCACAGTGCCTATTTAATTGATCGTCACAAACGAGTCAAAGTGTTAATTTAACACTTTTTTCTGTTAATTAATGGTCCAAGTAGTTGGCTTCACACCTAAAATTCAATCAGAAATAATAAACAGTGCAAAAAGTATCAGCAAAGTACACTATAGATCTATCAAGTTTACATTTTATTCAATGATTTTCATTCAAGTTTAAATCAAATAAACTATTCAAATATATAATTAATTTTATCAATATTTCAATACCTGGAGTACCGGTACTGTTGTCCTCAAATTGCTGGAGGAATGGAGACAAAATAAACACAGTTTCCTTGAATTTACTAGTTTTGTTAATATGCAGTACAATTTAAACTTGTCAGTAATTGTTGAAATAATTTGGGTATTGGGCCTATGTCGGCTATACTATGTAGTTACTTACTAGTCGTAGTTGTACATTGAATTGATTAATACTAATCGAGTGCAGTAATACAGTTGAGTTAATAGCCTAAAGTAAATGGCATTTCTGGCTTTCTTAAAACATTTAAGCATGAAATTTGCAAGACAAGTGAAACAATAATTAATCGGAGACAATCTAGGCGAATAATCTGTAACAACGTAGTCATACGAAAACGCTGTGCAAATTTACTGACTTCTCTTGTCGCCATTTTTCATAATTTATCTGATCCTTTTCGACGTTGGAAATGGAATGCGATAGAAATCCCCATTACGCTAATCAGCCCTAACAATCAAAACTGCACACGGCAAAAAACGGCCGTTTTATACATGCGAATATATGGGAATGTCGTAAAAGAGATTTGATTATACCTGTTGTATCATTTTTTCTTGTTCTTCCTGGTGAATTTAGCTCTTTTTCTGCCCCAGCTTGTCCGCTTACCTCAACCCACGCACTGACCCAAAAAAACGACAACGAGGCTGATACTCTCGTCAAATATTTATCCCAAGTGAAATTGACCTACATAATTCTTTATAACAATTTTATCTTCTGTCGTGATCTGTTAGGTAGCGTACGACAAAAAGCTCTAAATTTCTCGCCCATTTCGCAATTGTCAAACGATGTTTTTTTTTCGTTCAACAAATCGGTCAGAGGCGCGTGTCTGATTTTTGCACACAATGATCTGCCTGGGGTACTGAATTCTATGGAATTAGTAAAAGACTATGGCACACTGATCAGCAGTGAATTTTCGCTAGGCCGCTACAATCACAATAAGGATGACATCGATGCGACTTAATGAGTCCCAATATTAACTTTTTTCTTCCGTCAAATTAAATTCTAAAACATTTTTTTTCATTTATTAGAAAAATAAATAAAGACGTTTGAATTGTTAGTAGGTAATAATCATGTCCTATTTAGTGTAAATGGGTATTAAAATAAGTAAAATTCACCATTTAGCGCGAATCAGTAACGTCTTATGTAAACAATGCACGCGCTATTGAGCCAATGATTGACGCCGCGCGATGTGACGTCACGGGTCGAAACAGTCATCTGTTACAGAGATATTAGAAGATCTCTGTGAAACAGATTGACTATATGGATGGTCAGGCGAGAGAGCTTGAAAGAGAGCAATGAGGTTTAACGTCCACTCGAGACAAACTAGGTAATTTCGGGACTAACATATGGTTCAATTTTCTAAGAGGTCCACAACCTTGATCAGATGTTCACAAGGACCGGCCATTTTGTCCAACAGTTTTGTCGGATTTTCATGAAATTCCAAATCAACCATCATTAGGGAGTAAGATCGAGATATACTAAAACGTTTTTTTTTTAAATCAGATAAAAATTGTGACATCTAGAGGGACCACAAGTTAAAAGCCCGATTTTTCGTACAATCAGGGGCCATATTTCAGGATACGATCGAAAGGAACCAAGATCTTTGGGATATAAACATGCATTCCAAGTTTCATCCAAATCGGATGAAAATTGTGACTTCTAGAGGGTCCACAACCTTGATATACCATATTTTACACTATGGGTCGGCCATTTAGTCCCGCAGTTTTGGTCCGATTTTCACGAAATTCGAACTCAACCATCACCAAGGCGTAACGGTGATATACTAAAACGTTTTCTATTTAAATCGGATTAAAATTGTGACCTCTAGAGGGAAGACAAGCTAAAAATGCGATTTTTCGTACAATAAGGGGTAATAATTCAGGAAGTTACGATCCGATATGCGCGAATATCGAAAGGAAACAAGATATTTTGGTTATAAACATGCATTTCAAGTTTCATCAAAATCGGATCAAAATTGTGACCTCTAGAGTGTTCACAAGCTATAAACGTGATTTTTCGTACAATCAGGGGCCATAATCCATAAAATTTCGATCCGATACATGCCAATATCGAAAGGAATCGAGATCTTTGGGAGATAGACCTGTATATTTCAAGTTTCGTCAAAATCGGATAAGAATTGTGCCCTGTAAAGTGTCCACAAACAAATTGCGGACGGACGGACGGACAGACAGGGGCGACGACAATATACGTCCACATGAAAATGTGGGCGTATAAAAAAAGGTTAAGAACTATTCATGTTTGGGAAAAATCGATGTATTCCTTATTCCTACAAAGTTTCAACTTAAGACATCAAATAGTGATGGAGATACGCCATCTTGAATATCGAAAAAATGATGAAGAAAACTTTCGCAAATCTTTGATGCTAACATGCCGAATGTCAAAGAGAGAGAGAGAGAGAGAGAGAGAGAGAGAGAGAGAGGGGGTGTTAACGTCCACTCGACACAAACTAGGTCATTTCGGGACTAACATATGGTTTAATTTTATTTCAATAATTCGCTTGCGCGTAGGGGTCTTCAGCAGATGATCCGTTGAGAAATAAACGAGATGTGGACAATCTGAGATTATATTTTGTCCCATACGTAAAACTCAAAAATGACCCAATTTATATTTAAAAAATAGACCCACGGAGGTCAATCACATCTACGTTGGCAGAATGTTTGCAACATGTACAGTTTTGGCTGCACAAACTGACTACCCCCCGCCCCCCAAAATAATAAAAAAAACACTTCGGTCGAAACACGTAATTAGGTTTTTCCAATGGGGGCTTTTTAGAGCCTCATTACAAATCTTGCAGTCAGATCAGTGTAGTTAGGTTTCTGTAAGTGTTTTTATTACTTGCTTTAATGCATCAATATTATAGTATTGTTAATGATATCTGCTACATATAGAGATATTTGTTTTGGATTAAAACTTTATCAACTATACTACTGTTATGTAGTTTAATATGTTTATTATCCCAGACAATTTGTTTTTCAAGTGAAACTTTGCTGTCAATATATTTAGTATAACGCAAAGCCATTAAAAACGCAAAGCCTAACAGTGATGCAGGACGGAGGGCCTGACAAGGACAGCTATCTAGTCATTCGGTTGGGACAAAAAACCGAGGTCCCGTGTACAAATTGGCATGCACGTAAAAGATCCCTTGACAGTTGGAATTCGATATAAGAGTAGACCGTAGGGCCGCTGCCCGGGTAAAATTTCCCTCATAGCACACTGTATGGCGTACGCCCGTCTTCATTAGCCCAGTTTAGGAGCAAAACAGTAGGACGTTAAACCCCATTTCATTTCATTTCTACGGTCAGTCATCTTGTTTGAAGCAGAAACAGGTTTAAGGTTGGTAAGCAAGCCGTATACCTTGCCTGGGACTTGTGCTTAGATTGACATATTTAAGAACGGTGAGATCGGCTGCAAAGGCAATGCTTTTTATTGATTTACATGTATTTCCAAATTCTGATCCCTTTTTTCGAGAGGAAAGTAGGGGGGCGGGTGTATAACCCTTATTTAAAATTGCACATTTTATATCTTTGTATAGTGTTTTTAATCCATCGTATGAAGTTGTTTTTAAATCAAAAAGATTGTAGTACTTTATATACAAGAATTTATGATCAATGGAATCAAATGCTTTTTTAAAATATATGTTTCTAAAAGAAATCCAATAATGTTTCTTTGTTTAGCTAGTTCAATACAATCATCAATTATCCTGATATTTTCACGAATATGACGACCTGGCACAACGGCAGTTTGATTTGGCTGGATAAGTTTAATTAAAAAGGATTTCAATCTATTAGATCTATATAGTGTTATTGGTGTAAACTATCTTATTATTTTTAACAGTGTATTAATATACTCTTCAAAAGATGTAGGGGACATTAAGAAACAATACAAAACTGCGGAAATGCATTGCTGTTTTTATTAGAGGTAACCATTGTATGTTAATAACAGGCCAATTGCCTACACATGAACATAAACAGTTCACATGGACGGCTTATCTGACGGGCCCATTTCACTGGCAAAGAGATACACTGTCAAAGGTGAAAATGGACGTTTTTGATTTTTGTCTTAAGTTAGGATGCTCTTCCCCCAGAAAATTTTGGAAAATAGGGTTTGAACCTGAGGAGAGGAACTATGAAAATGACGGAAAATTCCAATTTTGAGGCCGAATTTGCGATATTGGCGTATTATACTATTCTGATATGAACATTATAAAATTTTAAAGGAAGGAATACGACTTTAGAATAATTTATGAGAAAAACGAATAGTTCGGAATCGGGTTAGAGTGCGACGACTTATTTGAATTTTGAAGATTATCACGCCTGGTCCGGGCTTGAATCAATCTCATCTCCATCGTGAATTTGACCTGGAAATTTTTCAGATATTTCTTCGGGCGTTGGTTTCTTGATTGGGCGCATATGATTCAATTTAATTTCAATAATTCGCTTGGGCGTAGGGTTCTTTAGCAGTGGGAGGATACCGGAGGACACGGAGAAAACCTACCAGGTTGGACAGGCGACCCTACTCCTTGTCACGTACAACCAGGGAATCGGTCCTCACAAAGAATGTGAAACAGTTTGATCAATTCCAATAAATGAATGAACTACTGGTCCAGTATACCATCCTCCACGTAAAACGGGGAACCACGCTAGAAAAACTCCGTCTTGTCGACTTCCCGGAACATAGGGCCTACACTATTACATATCCACCAAGCAGACTAGAAAAAAAGTCGAAACTATACACGCGCCCACTCGAGCTAGCTTTATATTTCGCTACTATTTAACCCCTCGCACGAGGTCCGATCGAGAGACCACCACTTGACTCAATGACATACCTTATGATCTAAACATGTTAGTTTGTTTGACGTCTTCGGTATATCCCACGGATTTTAACGGGGCGGTAGGCTATATTTATTACTACGACTACTAAAAATAAGTTTTAAACTAAAGAGACAAAACGATCCACACCCGATTTGCAGTCTCGGTTTGTAGTTTGCAAGTTGACCAACCCTTCAAGATACCAAGTAACTAAATAACAACAACAGAGTCCCCAATTAAATCTCATTATTTAATTTTCGCTATTTATATTTTTTCAAAGTGAATTGAAGAATGACTGACTTAGGCTTATTGAGTAGCGTAGAACCATAGATTTATAGGATATCTATGCGTAGAACGCTCTTCAGATTTTTAAAGGGAGATAATTCTCAAACGTCGCAATTTCATTGAAGACAAAATGGCCGAAAGTCCTGGGTTGGGACTGCAGTGGTCAACAATAATTAAACCATTGTTAGACGCCTCGTATTCTTCTTTTAACAAAAATGATATTCCCGAATTGACGAAAGCTATATTAAAAAGGTATTTGATCTAAATAGTTTATACTATCCATGTTCCTTGTTTTAGACATTACATTACAATCAATTCAGTCAACAACTGAACAAGACGTTTATGTCAAGAACTAAGCCTCCACTCTACTTCCTTCTTCTAGTCCATAATAATAGAGTAGGCTAGTACGCATAGTATCAAACACAATACAATTATAAATCATTGATGACTGGAAATATCTGTTATGTTTTACTTTTCGTTGAAGATCGAGTTATGGCCAGTTTAGAATCAGAACCATTATTTTGTCAGAACTCATTTCTGTAACCCAAGCATACTTTACATGGCATAGGCCTACTTGATACTGTATGTATAGGCTGGGCAGTGACTAAAATCTAAATATAAATAAATGGAAAATTAAGTTCTAGATCTACTTCTAATTTCCTGGTATAAATAATAGACAATGTCTACAAAAAATATTTGCTACATCGATTTAAATATTACCGGTGTGAGATGGTTCCTGGTGTGTGATTACCATTAGCGCATGCATGTGCATTTGTAGGAGTCATGTCACACTGTTATGGACACGGTGTGCATTGACTCCCCGTGATAGGATTTTCTTACGGTCAAATCGGTTTCTACACAATTACGAGCTACCAATATTTACAGTATTACTACCAGGAGAGGGTGTCGAGTTTCTATTGTTTGTTTATTTCGATAAAAAGTAGAAATACAAATTGACGATCTTTATTATTATTCAGTATATTCCTGTCCACAAATGCGAAAATTGAATACAAAATAATTGTCCCTTGTGAAATTTGCATCATGTTTGAACCCAAATTTACAAGGAGTATTTATACCGTTTTCTTTTCTATGCATGGAATCGCGTAATAAATATATATTTGTGTTCATGAAATGGGTGTTTTCAGATTTAGTTTCAGATTTAGATCCCATGGTTTGCTTGACAAAGGATTTGTATTTGAGTAATAAAACACATAGATGTAAGGTTGTAATTTTTTTTTAAAGAAGTACAAAATTAAAACAACAATGATACACAGAAAATCATATAAAGGCCAATATTCAATCTGCAAAATAGTTAATTATTAAAACATTGTTAAACATTAAAAGTGTAACGACTAATCACTAAAAAAACAACGGCTACACTACAAATCATCAAGGATAGATCATAGAAGTATCAATTTCAAGTTAATCAACTTAGATCCGTTGATCGTGTAACTACTGATCACTAAAACAGCTAATCACAATAACAAGTATGTTTATGTATTACAAAACTCTAACCAAATACTTGATCAGTGATCAGGAACCATCTCACTCGGTCGGAAGTAGATATAGTTTCTTTGTTAATGCAAACAACAGTTTTGGACATGCGCAAGTGCCCAGGAGCAAACACACACCGGGAGTCAATTCAAACTGTCACACCAGTACAGTAGTTAATACTGTTACTTTTTTCAAAATTACTGGGTCTAGTTTAGATAACATTTATCATGGTAACACTTGTTTATTGTCCTCAAAATATTGCTTACATTAAACACAAAAAGTCTGTCTATCAACTCTGTCATAACATTTGTCTCGCCACCCAATGTTCAAAATGTTATATCATATTGATAATCAAACTTTTGTCAAGGTTTCCCTGAGTATTACTCCGATGATGCCTACAGGTAAATGGATACCGGTAGTGAGAATCGGTACCATACTGGTGATCATTTCAAATTTTTCAACATAAACCTCTAGGCCTATTACCTGTATACAAGTAATGATTTGGACTACATAATTGTTAAGAAATCGGAATATTAAATGAAATAAATAGTATTCATGCTGGTCCAATGTATTATTACCAGATACTGTACAGTGTAAGGATAAACTTTTTACAAAACAGAGAATTTTAATGTGTCCAATCCCCCACTTTTGAAATAAAGCTTAAAAAAATACATGTAAATCAGATTTGTGTGAAATGATAAGCTTATTTACAGGGTTGTAATCATTACATTTTTAAGTAATGTCCATGTAATGAGTACCAGTAATGGAAGATTTCAAAAGTAATGAGTAATGGAAATGTAGTTAATTACATTCCAAAAATCATGTAATGGTCAATTACATTTCAATTACTTTTCAATAACATTTTATGGCACATATATATATTTCCAATATAACAAGCCCCAAATTTTATAGCACCAAAGAAGTACATTAAGTGTATCTGATACAAACCCAATTCATTATAATTTAAAAAAACAGATTTAAATCAGATTTAACAAATTATGATAAAAAAATAAGAAGGCATCAAACATTTTCTTTTATTAAATTTTTATGTAAGACCCTTTTTTAGACATCTAAAAGATGTATTGTAATCAAGGATTTATGCTAATCTGCAGGCAATTAATCAGTTAGATTAAAAGACAATTGTCATACTACACTTTAATCCTAATCTCAAGTGACAAACCAAACAATGGCCTTCAAGTATCTCATCATTTTATGGTTACTTAATATTAAACAAATTATAGGCCTATAATATATATATTTAACAGTTGTATAGAATAGTGTCAGAGTTATGCCACAAGAAAGAAATAATGTTGTGAATAGACTTTAGTGATACTATTCCACTCAGTTTATTAAATTCTCATTTGTAAACAAAAGCGACAAAGTAATTGATTTGGAAGATACATGTAATAAATTTTTATCAGATTGTTTGCAGTGAAGCTGCATGTTAGATTCGAATATTCAACCACGAAGAGAATCATATTATATCAGACATTAAGCGAAATTCATTTCAGTTTTTTTAGTAGAACAGTTAAGATAAATCTATTGTACTTTGTTGTTGATAAACGATAGACCTACTGGAAGCATAAAGATGTATTATGTAATCTGAGCTGAAACTTTCAATTGAGATTTTTCTTTTGGCCTCAAATGTTATATAAATTATTAATTAGACATTTATTCACATGACAAGCCTATCATCAACTCTCTAGTCCATCGGATGATTGGGATTTTGAATGGATTGAAACACAATCGCAATTTAATAATTTAATTTAAAAATGGTTTGTTTATTATCGTAACAATGGTAGCAACAGGCTATGCTATTCTTCAAACATTCACAACTTACCTGAAAATAAAGTAATTTGGCTGAAATTGACAATATATTCCTCTTTCATTATCTATTTTTAAATTATTATTATATATATAAGGATATATCTAAATCTTACATGATGCATCTTTAAGTATTTATTGTTTATTTTTTTCAGTGAAAAGGATATACTACACCATGATGACAGCTATGAACCATTTTATTCATCCTTTATGGCCCTGTCCTCCCATTTTCTTGGAGCAAGCACAAGTAACTGTAAGTAATCTTATCATTTTGTTTTTCAAATCTATCAATGTATTGTCTATATTACTGATCTCATACTGGTTGAATGCTCAAAGAGCAAGCTTTTTGTTTATACAGTTTAAATGATGGAATATGTTTCTAATGACAACCACCATTAACAAAAACAATCAGTTATTAATGGAGATTTATCATTAAACAATTCCCTTTCCCGATTTTCAACTGTGTGTAATAGCCAACAGTCTATCTGTGTTCTTTGTCTGTTTTGATGCCAAATTTGTGATCAAAGCCTAGATGCTGCACTATAGGAATAAAATGTATAATGCTGAACCTCAAGAATTGAAGATTGCCATTAATCACACCTTAAATTCACACTGCATGCAGGTTTACAAAGACAAGAGCGGGAGATTCCCAGATGAAAAGGAATATTTCTTGCAAACCCCTCATCAGAATTTTGTGAAATGCTCAGTTAAATGTCTAGAGTGTAACTCACTCTTTCTGCTCATACTCACACTTTAACGATGTATTAATTTCATTTTACAGAAGCAACAGCAGACTTCATTAGGACAGATTATAAGATAAAGAATCTAAATAATGCCCATTAATTTATTGTTCATTGAATTTTCCTGCGTGGTTTCCCCTTGTCAGTCAGTGATGCAGGATGGAGGTCACGACAAGAACAGCTGTCTAGTTGTTCGGTTGCTTCATAGCACATTGTATGGCGTTTGCCTGTCTTCATTAGCCCAGTCGGAGCAGAACAGTAGGACGTTAAACCCCATTTCATTTAATTTCCATTAATTTATTGAATGTCGTTTTAATTTCAGTATCAAAATCAAACATCAGTCAAGTTACGACAGCATCCAGAGTTGTCATGGAATTTTTACTTTCCAGACTACAGACAAAGACAGAAAGTTGCACAATATCAGAGGTGAAATAGAAAATAATGATTTTTTCTTTCTGTTAAACTATTATTGCTAAATGAGAAAGAATATTAAGAGTTTTTACAAAAGTGTAATAATGTGACCAAGGTTATCCTCTACACAATATAATATAAACTTATATTTTTCATACCTTATTAACAAGGTGTTTGTTAACACACATATGCTGTGTGGTCTAGTTCATTGTCCATATCAGTTTGTTATACAAGAAGTTCTTGGCCAATTGTTTTAAGAAATTGTTGACAAACATTACGCATTGTCTAATATTATAACTGGGTACATGGTGGGATGGTGGTTTGTCATGTTGATTATACAGTATACGCACCAGACTGGCTGGGTGATCATAGCAGAAATGAATGACGTTTTATTCCTTTTTTTTCAGAAATATTTGATGATATTAATTAAAGGTCTATGTAAAGGAAGTGGATGTTTACCTAAATGTGATGTTGTGACCTTTACTTCTATGTTAAAATCTGCCAAAACACCGACAGTCAGACAAATTACAGAGCAATCAAATGGTAAGAATTTTCTATGAAATAAACATTTGTGGAGCGATGTAGGTAATCCACTGTATGTTATACAGCTAGTCTGGGCATTGGAAATATTCTAAAGTCTAGATACATTTGTGAAAATGAGAATGTTTTTGTTGGTTTAATAGATAATGCAGAGAAACTCCATGACAAAAAGTCGCTTGTCCAACCTCATCTGTTTTCTCCGGGTCCTCCAGTTTCTTCCCACTGCTAAAGACACCTACGCGCAAGCGAATTATTGAAATAAAGTTGAACCATGTGTGAGTCCCAAAATGACCTAGTTTGTGTCGAGTGGATGTTAAACCCCATTTTTCTTTCTCTCTCCATGACAAAAAAAACAATAATCTGTACTAAATGTTACAAGAATACAGAATAATGCTACAGATTATTAATCAACAATGGCTTATAAAAATTCCAAGAAAGTGTATTTATGATATTTACATGTATATAGTTTTATAAATGTCGAATGTAGCCTATTAATTGTTTATTTTTATTTTAGACTCTGAAGACCAAGACCAGATAGACACAAAGAAAACCAGATTAGACAAGGGCAGTAACCTCTTTAATCAGCTTACATCTGTTTTTGATGAGATATCTGCTATTTCACACAAACCCGAACCTCCTGTAGAGGTGGTTAATGTTGATGGCAACACTATTATACATTTACCTGACTCTTCTGAAGAAATCAGTCATTTGGTTGGACAGAGAAATAGACTGGCTTTATTACAATTAAATGGAGCTGAAACTTTACTCAATGCCTGTGTAGACTTGGTATTTTTAGGAAAATATACTCAAAGATATAAAGAAGCATGTGGTGGAAAAAACTTTGCTTTACCCACAACTTTATGTGAAGCTCTTACAACCAGAAATAGGTAGGATACTAAGGGTTATCCTTTTAATATTACATGGGTAGTGTGGGGACTGATCCCCTACCAATGAAGTATGCATATAGTTATTAACCCCAATATGTAAAAATTTGGTGCAAAACATGTTGAACATTGTTTCTAGGCTCCCTTACACTACCAGGTAATTTTAATAGAACCACCATCAATTATAAATGAAGGCAGAATCATTTTGTTATTTAATATTTCAGAAAAGAATAGAGTGCTGCAGCATAACATTTCACAGAAACTCTGTTCTTTAAAGTATTTACAAGATGTCAGTGGCAGCAGGCCTGAAAATGACAGTTTTAAATGTACCTGATAAAATGTCAAGCACTAATGAAATAGTACCTGAAATTTTAAACTAAGTGCTGGAGATGTATTAATAATATCAATAAAAAAGACAAATCAGTGCTGTACAAAATGACAGGCACCAGAGGTTTTGTGTCGGACAAAGCCTGAATCTGTGCCTGGCATTTTCAGTGACAGGTGGCAGCAACAAGAGGTTGATGGACATAACTTTGAATAGTTACATTGTTATTCTACTTGCCATGTAACAGCAGTAGAAAACGTTACTGATATATAAAAAGATTATAATTGATTTCTGTTGAACTTTCACCAGTTCGTTACTGCTTAGAAAATTGCCAACCATTTTGTATTGGTTATTAATATCACTTGCTTGATAAAGACGAAATAACCAACAGTAATTGTTGTCCATATAACTATGTGTCTATATTTCTAGCTATATCTGTTTATTGAGTGATGTATCGATAGTATGGAGAGCATTTTCACTACCAATGTTAGAACCATTGACTACTGAAAGACTGGGTAAAATTATTGACGTAACATTGGGATGTTTATATGCATCAATGACTGTAGCCATCTCTAATACTATCAATAACATGGTTAAGCCCGTAGCCAGTCAGCCATCAGCCTCAAGAGATGAAGAAATAGAGGGCTATGGCATCAGTATTGTTCAAAAAAGTGTAAGTAGGAGATAAGTGAGTTATTATTTCCCTTTGAGGTATGTGATGTTATACGTAGTAAGTGTAATATTAAAAAGGCTGCTAATGATTTGAATCAATGGAGATACTCAAACTACTCAAGCCACTAAATACTTTATGACATAAATGCATTTGATTAATTTGATTAATAAAAACCATTGATGATTAGAAACCTGACATTACCAACGTCAATAACGATTGGTATGACTGGAAATCATGGGATATAGAAGATGACCCCCCTTAAAAATTTTGTCCACTGAATGATTGAGGCCTTTTTTCATTATGTTGGTTACAAAATATATCTATAAAATATAGGCATAAATTAGTAAAATTACCCAGTCAAAATACCCCCTGCCTTATAGCACAGCTAACTTGGCAAGAAACATCAACATAGCCTGGTTTTAAAATGAGCCACACAGACTTGAAAGTACCATTATTTAAAGGAGCTAAATCGTTACTATTTGGGATCTCGAAATTGACACAAATGGGTTGCAACGCATATAATAATGTAATCTGAATGTATATAGACTGATTTACATTCAATCTTTTCCATTTTTACTCTAATTTCAAATCTGTTATGTTCGGCGAAATACGCCAGAAGTCTCAATCAAATGGCAATATCGAGCGTCTGGTTATTCCAGTCTATTTCCATATAAAATATGGCGTCACCATTTGACATGACTTCTGGAATAGGTCCCTTGTTACAAATGACGCTGAAATGCATTATAGTACACGATTCATGTACCAATGGTAAAATGTTTATTTTGTCTTAAATATTGGATATCAGAAGCCCATCTTTTCCCGGTAAGATCACGACATCAATGTTGATTTAAATTGACAAATAATTTGTGTTTTCAATGTGGAATACTTTGGATGATATTAAGTTAGAGACTTAGCTACTTCAATAATAATAATAATAATGAATATTTATAATGCGCACATTCCATCCAAACAGTATTACTCATGGCACATGTTTGTTTAGCTCTTCAGTTTTATATTTGACTATATTAGGATATTAATTTTATATCTTGTATCCTTTCTATTCTTAGTGTGCATAATTATTAGTTTTAATAAATATTTCAGTTGGAAATATTAAACACTGTATCTGCTGCAGTTAAAAATTCTACAAGAGCTGGTGGAAATGTAAGTATATTAATTAAAACTCTTAAATAAATAATACATTCATTTATCTTCCCATGTACATAGTGTCAAGCTCTTACAATATATTACTGGTAAATATATGTATATGTGAAATTTTATAGAACCAAGTACAAGGATATTGCCAAGAGTGGCCATCTGTCACAGACATTGTAAGTCATAAATCGAGGCTTTGTTTCTATGCATGCCTAAAAGCCATTTACATTTTACAATGATGAAATCTCAAGTTAGAAGTAGCATTTCTTATGACATGCAATATTAAAATCTTTATTTCAGGTGGCCCAGAATTTAAATCTGTTGGCAACTTGGGTGTTATTGAAGGGATTTCAAAGTTTATTAAGTCTAACACCAGCTGTGATATTAGAAAGAAAAGACTCAATCAGAGGCAGAAGTCAAGAAAGTAGTCAAAAAACAAAGGAAAGCACAACACCATCCAGACCAAGTTCTGGCAAAAGGTAAATATTTTTGTGAGTCAAAAAGTCAAACTAAGATTCACCTATTAACATTGTTTGCACGAGTCCTAGAAAAGCCTTGCAGTTGGGTTGGGCCCATAAATTTCCTTGAAAATGAATTTGGATACTGGAAAGTACTTGAAAGTATATGAGTCTTGAAAGTCATTGATTTCTGCATCGGCTTGTCTTCACATATTATGTAAAAGAACAATAAAATTAAACCAACAAAGCCAACTTATGTAACTGATCATATATACCTCATCATTACAGTACCTTCCAAGGTTTTGGTGTTTTATCTGTTGCCCTTGGTTCCACCACAGCCTCACTATTGACAAGTTTATTAGAAGATTTACAAGTAGAAGGTTCACCTGGTCCATTAGAAGTAAGTAAAAAATAAATAAAACAAACTTGATTGCATTTAGTTATCTCTAAAAGATTGTTTTATAGTACTTTTTGTTATTCTTTTTCTGATTTTAATAAAAGGAATGTGACAGAAAATAGTTAAATCCCAATTCTCTGCTATATAAATAGAGTGCCTCATGCAGCGAACATTTTTCCTACTGAAAGTTGAATTCAACACGGTGAATGTGCACGCTTCAGTGGCTTGTCTTGGAGTGATTTCTGGCTAGTCACGCGGTGTGATAACACTCAGTGCAAGAGCCTATAAATAACCATCACACGTGAAATTCTCTACAGCTGTAAAAAAATCTGTTGTTGATGATTATGAATAGCGCAAATATTAAGCTTTTTGGTTATTACAGCAGCTTTAAAAATTACGTTCGTTTTATTTTTCAAATTGATTTATCATTACCTATACTGTTAGGAGCGTCATCTTTTGGTTTAGTACAAATACTGTCTCTGAAACACTCGGGTTTGGCAAGAACATGATACTAGCAGTAGTTTCATTTTACTTTTACAAGGTTCTTAAAACAATTGTTGAGTTGCCTTAGTGCATGTTTCTAAATTCAATTTCTTGTTCCAGCTTTTTGTTACATTTCGTGAAAAAGTAGTCTTTATTATTCCGACCTGACAACCAGGCGGAGAATTGTTGATAGACTGGTTAAGCGAGACTAATTTCAAAACCAGGGCACGTAACCTATTTTTTACTCAAAAGTGCCCGGATGTTATGGCCGACACTCGTAACCATTTTTCAGACTATTATTTATCGATGGTTAAATGGTCCTAGCTTATTAAGTACAACATGACCGTTTATTTAGTGACTATAAATATGCAAAACTGATTTAAGGCTTGGTAGATATATATATAAATATTGTGGTGTAATTGTCGAAATATTTATTTATGGTGGAACACCCTAATATAAAATGATTCCATTATTTGTTGTACATTTTCTCTTGTATTTATAATTGATGGCATACATCTTTATTGTTTTAGATGTCGTCGAAAACTGTTAAGACGAGTATGGATGTATATTCTTGTATCACTATGCCATTGACAGCCTGGAAACGAGTGAGAAAACTCACCTCTACAATTAATATAATAGATCTTTTATTTAGTCTGGTAGCAGTGTCACTTAAAAAGGTAAATTATGTAACAATCTTCTAAAAAACAATGTTCTACAATTTTGGATCATTGGTTTGAATACACATAATTTAGATATCAGTGACGCAGATATTTAAAAAATAATACAGTCAAACAATGGATAGATAGTACATGTTTTCAGCACAAATCATGCAAATTTAAACAGACAGGTTGACAGGGCATTCTTAGTCAAGGAACAAAATCTGTGTCATTATTTAAATTCAATCTGAAAACGTTCTTATTCACTCCTGACTTCGGGCTTGACATAGCAACCATGCCAATGAACAAACCTCTCTCAAAATAATGCACTATACAAATGCTTTAAATTTTATTAAAAAGCGGTATACATGTACAAAAGGCATGAAAGTGAAAAATGTCAAGGTGAATCAAACTATTATGTAACTCACTTCAAGAAAACTTGATTAAATTACAGTGGTATTAGATGTTCTGGAAAGAGTAAACATATCTTGTTACATGTGTAACAGATTTGCTACAATATTTGTAATATTTCAGGCTACCTTATTAAAGAGATTAAAACATGGATCAGATAGTTCGGAAACAAGCAGTAGTAGTACATCAGATTCTAATACTTTCTATGAAGATGAATTTAGTAGTGAAGATGAAAGTAGTGATGATGGTAAGTAAATACTGTTATATAATAACTTCTAGAAAACGTAATACGCCAGATGTTGGTATTAACATTATCTACAGCAAAGCTTCAAGAAGCTTCCAAATGATTTTTGTTTTCCTTTCATTAAGGTAGCAATATGTTTATGCAAGTCAAATTATTTATCAGCCTTGAACTGTACTGATTATTTTAGATATACCTATGAATGTAGAAATTCTGATGATTTAGACTCTGGTACATGTACAGCCCTCTCATAATCATATATGCCTTTTTTATTTCTCGATAATGTCTCTTATTACATGTATAAACAAACACCATTTTGGTTTCCAAATAATTTAAGAAATTGACAAGAGGGTAACTTTGAAGGATAGATTAGTTTGCAGTTGACTAATATAATATGGTTTTACTTCATGCGAAGATGTTTTCTAAATAATTAAGAATATTGCTTTTTTAAGAATGATATTGAGTATTGTTCAATCCTTGAATAATTTTGCTATGTTTGATATTTGAACACTTTCGCTATGGTTAATCATTGAATAATAATGCCATGTTTAATATTTGAATAGTTTCTCTGATTTTAATCCTTGAATAGTTATGTTATGTTTAATGTTTGAATAATTATGCTATGATTAATCCTTGAATAATTTTTCTGTGTTTAATATTTGAATAATTTAGCTATGGTTAATCCTTGAATAGTTATACATGTATGTGTGCAACATTTAATCTATAATAGACAATGCATATATTTTTGTACAGATGATCAAGACTCTATGTTAGGTCAGTTATTTCAAGAGACACCCCAAACTGATACAACTAGTACTAACCCACCACCACCCCTACCACCAAGAGTTGATAGTGGTTCTGATAGTAAGAGATCTAGACGTGTTAGTACTGGAGATAGTTCTTATTTAATCCCTGATAAACGGGAACCTGATGGGGTCAGTATTACTCTATTGTCTATAAACATTGTTTTTATGAAAGTATGTAATATTATGATTGAACAGAGAATTAGTTTAATGACACAATAAGAGGGTGGAATTTTTTGTATTTAGCATGTATTATAATTTGATACCCAACACATCAAACCCTTCTGGCTTTAGAGCCATAACTGTTTTGTTATGAGCATATTCATGAACCAATGGCCTGAGAAATCTCTCTCTAGCCATTGCTGTATTGCGATTGAAAACTTGTGTCTTTGACAGAGCGTGTCCATTCTCATCGTCCAATATAATCTCTCCTGAGTAAAACAAAGGGATTTTTTTATACGCCCACATGGAAATGTGGACATATAATGCCGTCACCCCTGTCGGTCCTTCGATCTGTCCGTCAGTCGTCGACAATTTCTTGTGAACGCTCTAATGCCAGAAGTTGTTATCCGATTGTTTTAAAATTGATATAAGTTGTTTACATTAGTGAGATGAAGAAGCCTATTTAATTTCAATAATTTCCATTTATTACTTATAGAGTTATGGCCCTTGTTTCACTTTGTTGAAACTTGTGAAAGTTATCCCCCGATCTTTGTGAAATTTAGATGCATTATTTAAATTAGTGAAACAAAGAATCCTATTGAATTTTAGCAATTTCTGTTTATTACGTCTAGAGTTATAGCCCTTGTTTCACTTTGTTAAACCTTGTGAACGCTCTAACTCTAACGAAAAAAGTTATCATCTGATCTGTATGAAATTTATATGCATCATTTAGATTAGTAAAACCATGGAGCCTATTGAATTTCATCAATTTACAATAAATTTCTCTTTGTTCAATCTTGTTAATGCTTGATTGATGAAAGTTATCATCCGATATGTATGAAATTTATAATATGCATCATTTGAATTTGTGAAATGGAGGCCTATTGAATTTCAGCAATTTCCATCAATTGGTTCTAGAGCTTTTTTGGTAAAAATCATGTGCTGATTTCAAGAAACTTTTAACCCTTGGCCGTTGCTGAAACTAGCTCAGTCTCCATTTTAAATTCCTTAAATGTGTCTACTTGTACAAATTATTACTGCATACCTTTAAATATTCAATATTTATCCATTTTTGTGAAGAAAATCATTAGTTATTTATTTTATAAAAAAAGCACATGTCGTATTCTATCCAGTTTGTTGAAACACAATGCGTAACATGACAGCACTTTTCTTTGATCTGCTGTGTGTGTTCCAAGAGATGATAAACAGATTCCATGTGTGCGGAGATTACCTAATGTTTATAGTGTAGCTATTTTGGATAGCCCGTCGTTTCAATCTGATTAAAATACAGATCTATTTTTTGTTTCGTTTTTTATACGCCCACATTTTCATGTGGACGTATTATGCCGTCGCCCCTGTCTGTCCGTCCACAATTGTTTGTGGACTCTCCTCAGGTCACAATTCTTATCCGATTTTGACGAAACTTAAAATATAGGTTTATCCCCAAAAGATCTCGGCTGCTTTCGATATTGGCATGTATCGGATCGAAACTTCATGGATTATGGCCCCTGATTGTACGAAAAATCACGTTTTTAGCTTGTGGACCCTATAGAGGTCACAATTTTTATCCGATTTTTTTGAAACTTGAAATATAAGTTTATAACCCAAAGATCTCAGTTCCTTTCGATATTCGCGCATATCGGACCGTAACTTCCTGAATTATAGCCCCTGATTGTACGAAAAATCGCGTTTTTAGCTTGTGGACCCTATAGAGGTCATAATTTTTATCCGATTTAAAAAACCGTATTATTATATCACCGTTACACCCTAAGGAAGGTTGAGTTCGAATTTCGTGGAAATCGGCCCAAAATTGACAGCAAAATGGCTGCCGTTCGTTCTCAAATAGCATAAAAATATGGTATATCAAGGTTGTGGACCCTATAGAGGTCACAATTTTTATCTGATTTTGTTGAAAATTGAAATGTAAGTTTATAACCCAAAGATCTCAGTTCCTTTCGATATTCGCGCATATCGGACCGTAACTTCCTGAATTATGGCCCCTGATTGTACGAAAAATCACGTTTTTAGCTTGTGGACCCTATAGAGGTCATAATTTTTATCCGATTTAAAAAATCGTATTAATATATCACTGTTACACCCTAAGGACGGCTGAGTTCGAATTTCGTGAAATTCAGCCCAAAACTGACAGACAAAATGGCCGCCCTTCGTTCTCAAATAGCGTAAAAATATGGTATATCAAGGTTGTGGACCTAATAGAGGTCACAATTTTTATCCGATTTTGTTGAAACTTGAAATGTAAGTTTATAACCCAAAGATCTCAGTTCCTTTCGATATTCGCGCATATCGGACCATAACTTTCTGAATTATGCCCCCTGATTGTACAAAAAATCGCGTTTTTAGCTTGTGGACCCTATAGAGGTCATAATTTTTATCCGATTTAAAAAATCGTATTATTATATCACCGTTACAACCTAAGGACGGCTGAGTTCGAATTTCGTGAAATTCAGCCCAAAACTGACAGACAAAATGGCCGCCCTTCGTTCTCAAATAGCGTAAAAAATATGGTATATCAAGGTTGTGGACCTAATAGAGGTCACAATTTTTATCCGATTTTGTTGAAACTTGAAATGTAAGTTTATAACCTAAAGATCTCGGTTCCTTTCGATATTTGCGCATATCGGACCATAACTTTCTGAATTATGGCCCCTGATTGTACGAAAAATCGCGTTTTTAGCTTGTGGACCCTAAAGAGGTCATAATTTTTATCCGATTTAAAAAAACTTATTATTATATCACCGTTACACCCTAAGGACGACTGAGTTCGAATTTCTTGAAAATCGGCCCAAAATTGACAGACAAAATGGCTGCCGTTCGTTCTCAAATAGCGTAAAAATATGGTATATCAAGGTTGTTGACCCTATAGAGGTCACAATTTTTACCTGATTTTGTTGAAACTTGAAATGTAAGTTTATAACACAAAGATCTCAGTTCCTTTCGATATTTGTGCATATTGAATTGTAATTTCCTGAATTATGGCCCTTGAAGATCTGACCAGTTGTATTTGGAGGTCTCATCAGGGATCGTATGAGCGGCTTTTGACCCTATGACATCAGACATTGATTAATCAATCAGCGTTGACATTTCTAGTGGCTTACCCACAGACCCGTGCATTGCACGCCAAGAAGTCGCTGTAGCCGATGGTTTCATTGGCTAATCCCTCACGCTATCCAGAACAACGTTATATAACAACTCTTCCAGATCCTAGTACAGAGACAAATAAAATCTCTGCAATATTCTGTTGTGCACTAGTTAATTGAGCGTAATGTAGCTGCATTTGTCACCAGACACTTTACGGTAACATATTTAAAACTCTGGTTAATCCCGATGGATTTTGTTGCGTACTGGTTTTGATCGGACTGTTAACCAGTCATAATTTGGGATATTAATTTGGCAGTGTTTGAGTGGGATTAAATCTAATCAAACGAAAGACTGTGAGGAGTATGAGTTATGAGAGGATATGGATACTATTGGTTTTACCGAAATCAAATGCTGATATTTACCATGTTTTTTTAGAACAGATATTGGCAAAATGGCTGAGTATTGGCCAATACAGATTTCTAACAATGGGCAACTTATAATCGGAACATCACTATATCTTTAGAAATCTTTTAATAGATGGGAATCATATTGTTTTATATATTGTTAATATTGTGATTTTCAGTTTGTAAGCTTGGCAACCAGTATATTAAATTTCAGTAACACATACATGATAAATTCAACTGATGAACAAGTTAGAAAACTCTTCAGGTAAGTCATGTATTTTTGTGTTAAAAGTTTTATAAATTGCATTGATAGATGAGGCTACATGAAAGTCTTGAATAATTGTTGTGTTATTTTTTTGTTCTGGGTTGATACCACCAGACACTCATCATTAATTATCAACACAACACTCAGTATAATCTGTTGACGACTATGTATACAACTCTATAACTCTAATCCTGAGATTATGTGGCTTCTATATACGTGAACATTATTCTGTACTGGCCGTACAATTTCATAGTTACATAGGGGAGGTCGAACGTAGCCATGTTTAAAATCGGGTTTTGAAAAAAAAGCTATTTTTCCGGCATGCAAAATGACCGATGCATCATTTCTAGTTACGGTCATTTTCCATAGCCCTCAGTCCCGACCGGCATATACGGTCGAAGTGGAACCTATGGTTGATATTATTGATCATTTATTACAGAAAATCACTGAATGAAGAACATGCCAGTAGTTTGGCTACTTTAATAAAGGAATTAGATAAAGAATGTACTAAATCAGGCACAGGTAAATCATTTCTAATGCTAGGTTTTTCACTTTAAATGTTTTTTTTGTGTATTAATTGTATTAACAAGTAAACTAAAGAATAAATTATTTGTAACAAAGCAGTTATTGAGTCGAACTATTGAATAATACCTGAAATTATATATTATTACAGAGTTAAGTTGAAGGAAAACCCTATTAATTCATACTATCTAATATTAAAATGCACAAACCCCCAAATTCTACTTGAATTAGCAAATTACTATGCAGGATGTGACATCCTCAAGGTAACTGTCAGTTACTATTTATCATCAAAGCCATGTGATCTTGCTATAATAACTACTCTCTATTATTGCAGGAGATTAGTTATAGCAAAAGCATAAATACTATAGTGAATGTTTGAATATACAATAAGAAAGTACTTTGATTATAAAAAGTACTTTGATTATAAATAATGACTGATATACCCTATTGATATCTTTTCATGGTTATTTAAAGTCAAAATGATTTGTATTTGAATAATTTTAGAATTAGATAATGAATAAAATATAAACAAATGGCGAAGCCTGGAAATCTCCTTTAATATCCTAGGAGAACATTCAACTATATTAAAACTGAAAATTACCGGGAAAAACTTGCTGTTTGTTGCAAATTATAATTGTGAACTCAAGAAACATTGATTTTAAAAATGATTAGTATGGTTATTTACAGATAAAGTATTTGATGGTATATCAGTGGCTCTAGCTAAGTTCAATCATAGTTTGATAGCTACAGAATGTCTGTCTGAAAACCTACAGGTAAGACTATTTACATCAAAGGCTCAGAATAAGAATAAGATATTGTTGAATTTGGCCTAATCACTTGTATTTTGCGAAGTCTGAAAAGTTTTTTAAAATGAGTATGTCTGTTCATTCATCATATTGTTTGGAACACAATAACTCTTCTAATTGAGGTAGAATGTTCAAACTTTTTGTAGATATTCATTAAAAAAATGCCTTTGTTTCATTATATCAATAACTTGACTAAGTTTGATGATGAGCATTTTATGCTTAAGTTAGGCAGAATGGTAAGTAATTTTATAGCTCAATGCTTGTGAATTTGTCACTGACTCTGTCACATAAAACTTGTAAATGCTCTGCTGGTCAGACTTTTTTAGATTTTTATACGCTCACATTTTCATGTGGACGTATAGTGTCGTTGCCCCCGTGGACACCCTACAGGTCACAATTTTTATCCTTTTATCCGATTTTGACGAAACTTGAAATATAGGTCTATCTTCCAAAGATCTCGGTTCTTTTTGATATTGGCATGTATCACTATCAGACCATAACATCATGGATTATGGCCCCTGATTGTACGAAAAATCACGTTTTTAGATTGTGGACACTCTAGAGGTCACAATTTTGATCCGATTTTGATGAAACTTGAAATCCATGTTTATAACCCAAAGATCTTGGTTTCTTTCGATATTCGTGCATATCCGATTGTAACTTCCTGAAATATCGCCCTTGATTGTACTATAGAGGTCACAATTTTTATCACACTTATACACTAATGATGGTTGAGTTCGAAATTCGTGAAAATCAGAAAAAACTGATGGACATAATGGCCGCCTTTTGTACGCAAATAGTGTAAAAATATGGTATATCAAGGTTGTGGGCCCTCTAGAGGCCACAGGTTTTATCCAGTTTGGATGAAACTTTAAATATATGTTTTTATCATAAAGATCTTGGTTCGTTTTGATAATCACACATATCCGAACGTAACTTCCTGGATTATGGCCCCTGATTGGTCGAAAAATTGCATTTTTAGAGGTTACAATTTTTTTTCACATTTTAAAAACCGTTTAGATATATCACCATTCCACCATAATGAAGGTTGAATTGGAATTTCTGGAAAATTGGAATGAAACTGCCCGACAAAATGGCCGTTCTTTGTATGCAAATTGTGTATAAGTATGTAATACAAAGGTTATGGACCCTCTAGAGGTCACAATTTTTATCTGATTTTGATAAAACTTAAAACATATCTATATATTCCAAAACTCTGAGTCCTTTTTAATATTTGCGCATTTCAGACCATTTTAAAAACCGTTTAGATATATTACCATTCCACCATAATGAAGGTTGAATTGGAATTTCTGGAAAATTGGAATGAAACTGCCCGACAAAATGGCCGTTCTTTGTATGCAAATTGTGTATAAGTATGTAATACAAAGGTTATGGACCCGCTAGAGGTCACAATTTTTATCTGATTTTGATAAAACTTAAAACATATCTATATATTCCAAAACTCTGAGTCCTTTTTAATATTTGCGCATTTCAGACCATAACTTTCTGGATTATGATGGCTCCTGTTTATTCAAAAAATCATTTTTGTTTTTAGCTTGTTCTCTATCCATTTCTTGCAAAATGTAAGCGTATCCTGCCTGGCAGCCGCTGGTTTTATTAAATTTGACTTTCCTGTCAATTTGTTGCCTGTTTTATGACAAGAAACGTGTTTTTGTTATAGGATGTTTTGTTAATTCAACTTGGGATCAGTCCATCATCAGTTGACCCATGGCCATTAACTGTATATCCACGTACATTAGCTGTACTAGCAGAAATACTACTATTAAAGCAACAGAAAGAAAGAGAAACAAAATCTATAACATCAAACAGTGATCGAGCCGTTGTTGAAATATGGAACAGATTTTTGTCTACATTGAAAAATGCTGTTTGTAACTTTGATAATAAAAGTGAACAATTTGATGGTATGTAAATAAATCACACTTTGTGAATAAAACATCTTAGTTTGTTAGAGCCTTCACGTTTTGCAAGGTGTACCTTTTTTTGTCCTTAAATTTATTCATGTTTAGAATATTTCTTTGCTTTATTGGAAAGAGTTTTGTTTGTGTGACCAACTGTTGGGTTCCAAGACCAAAGCGCCTGAAACCCCAGACCAAACTACCTCAGAATACTCCGGCACTCTGTGAAATCCGACATCAGTTTCATGTCCTGATTTATTTCCTTATTATTTTAGCCAAAAAATCTTTGAGTAATCCGTACTCTGATTATTCCGAATTACGTCATCAATCAGCCGTCGCGTCACATGATTTCCATTGAATCAACACTGTATAATCCGGCCTTTAATCGTTGGGTGTGAAGCCACAAAAGATTAACAAGCAATCACCAATCAATTATCGGTGAGATTAAAACTCGCTCGCATAGGTCTTTGTTGATTACTTTGACTTTGATAATTTTATAATCGCTTGTAAGGCAGTTGTAACAAATACTCAAGAATACCCACAAATTATTCACAGTCGTAAAAATATTCCTAGTGCCTGTTGGAAACATTCGTTGCGCATGCAGATTGAACCTGAATACCTAAGTTTGTTCACCCTACGGATCTATCCGAACCGTGTGACGACGACCTGTACATAGAACGACAGATTATCAATGAACACGTGACATCAAAGAAAAGTGTGCGATCAACTGAAGACGATGAAGAAGATAAATTAACGACAGACTTGACCTATTCAAAATGCCTACACATGTTAAATGAAATAAAAATTAATGTAATAAAATTTTGAATGTACAGAAAGGTTTATCATTTTTAAAGGGAATAATGTTCTGGGGATTCGAAGCTACATTATAATAATACTTCCGGTTTTCGACTGTACCTCGCCAAATTAGTGGTCATGCCAAAAACCAGGTCTTCTTACACTTTCTAGGATTTAATCATTTAATCTTGTGTATTTAGCATTAAATTCTTTAACATTCATTCAATATCAAAATTTTGTTCGAAAAATTGTAAAAATCATTTAAAATCACCAAAAATCATCTAATTTGTACTTGTGTCCAGTTTAAATTTTGATAATGTGTGTCCAATTTACAAGCATTTAGATTTAATTTCCTGACCACTGTTCAAAAATTAAACATTATACATCAATAATCAATTGGGTTGTTTATTTTTGAACAGTGATAGAGAAATTAAACACTTGTAAATTGGTCACTCATTATCAAAATTGTAGTCAGCTTATCAAACCCAAGACCAAACTACCTTGCCAAACTAGGGGTCATGTCAAAAGCCTCTTTCTCTGACACCTGTAGTTATCACTTATGTGTGACGTTATGTATTTTGAACAATGATAATGTAATAATTATGTATTTTGAACATTGATAACATAATAATTATGTATTTCAAACAATGATAAACATAATTTATGTATTTTGTACGTCTTTCACAGATTTAAATGTAGAACATATGCAGCTGTTACTATTCCTGTTTCACAGTTTACCACTAATGCAGAAGAAACAACTATTATTAAACATTGCTCAAACTGTTATTAGTGTAGCTGAAAAAGATAAAGTGTAAGTTATTGAAGTAAATATAAAGTGTAAGTTATGAATTAAATGAAAATAATCAGCTATTAGTAACAAATATATTAAAATATCAGTAAAACCACCAAAATATCAGTTCTTAGCAGATTAATGGGCATTATAGAGGAACTGTGTGAGACAAAAGAATAAGAAATTGAATGTATATTTTAATTTCAGTAAATTAGAAGAAACTGTTCCCCTACCATTGAGTAGATTAATGTTAATATTTGAATATATGTTACATTATTTCTATGATCCACCAACAACTCTGATGGAACAGGTTAGTATTTAGAATGTTTTTTCTCATTACACTACTTGATTTGAACTGAAATGTAAATAATGTTTCCAACCTAGTCTAGTAACTGCCCAACAAAATACAACACAATTACAATACACACTGCTGGTTTCAACGCCATGTATGAAAAACAGAGAATTTGTAAACTAGATGTGTGTTTCAGTAGATTTTAATTGTTTGTTCTGTTTGTAGGTACAGTGGAATCTGTTTACAGTACATACTATACCCCCTGGTACTGATAGAGATGGTTGTAACTTATCTAAAGCTACACAGTTCTTTCCTTGTCGAGAAGTTGAAGACAACTTTCGTAAAAATCTCACACCACAAGAACTAAATGATGGTAGGTAGGATTTTTGAAGTATAGTTTAATGTATCTATGATTTGTGAAGATGTTTTAGTTTAGTTGAGGAGAACCATCAGGATATTTCAGGCCATGCTCTCAATTCTCAGGGGAAACCCTACGGGACTTGTCATATAGAATTAGAAAACAAGTTGACAGAAGCTCTTCTATATGAACAATATTCTAGTATTGCACAGATAATGAAAATAATTGCATATTCATCTCAAAATGATCTAATGAGTAAAACATTGTCTTACTTTCTAATTGTTAGAGATAACCTCTCTATTATCAAAACATGATTCCAGATATGTTTGTATATTTCAGTTGGATTATTAAAACCAAGATTCTACAACCTTGGACCTGGTGATATAAACAACCAAGAAGCCCCTAAAATAGATGGATTTGTAAGTAGTGTTAATGTGTATATCCTCTTTTATTAACTGTTAGCTGATCCAAGTCGACTTTTGTTGACACCTATAATAACGTTACTGTTAAGTACTAGTGTTGAAACTTGTATCCGAATATCCTTTCATGGATATAATCTCGCAGATATTCAGATACTTTAACTATTCATGCTATCCGATGTTTTTTTTTCATAACTGTTTGTGTTATTTTGAAACGACCCCTCTTGTCGCTACTTTCTTATATAGGGTTAAATGAGCAATAATTTCCTGCAAATAAGGCTTGAAACTTATCAACAGATCTAAAGCTTTTAGTCTTTCTACCCACAACTGTTTTAGTACTTTTAAATAATCGTAAGCAGCACAGTTCAAATATTAGATGAATGCCATGGCCCATGGCGAGCTCCCAGTTAGGCACTTTGCCGATTATTAGAGCTGTAGCTATTCAGCGTGTTCGCGCAAAGTTACACGGTATAAATGTGGTCTTTGTTTATTTCATCTGCTAAATTTAGTTAGCCATGACTGGCTAAATCTTATGTTAGTATTCCAGCCACCTTGGTACCATCGAAGCGTGTGTTATCACTAAAGATCAAATCTGGATCCTGTCACGGTCGATCATCTAATATTCTTAATTGAGATTTTGAAAAATAAAAAGCTGTAACTAGTTTTAGACAGTAATCAATTAAAACTTGTTGTTTGAACAGTTTATGTGTGTTTCCGTCATATGGTGCCATTTATTATGGTTTGTTATATAAAACTTTTTGTTTCTAACAAAATATAAAAGGATTGATCATTTCAAAAAAATTGGTTCAGATAAATAAAGTTTTAGAAAACTTATGAAATGATTTTTCTTGTTATTTAGACAATGTTTTAAAATAAAACTGTTCTGGGTATAAAAGTTTGACGAAAGCCTTCTCCCCCTCCGCATGCGGGCATATTTATTTTTCAAGACGATGGCATTCAGGTTATTAGTGACAATGAAAATATAGGCTATTAAAAACATTAACATTGCCAAAAGGATGTCTGATAAATCAAATCCTCTATTTGAATAATTATTTATGGTTTATTAGCCTTTATACGTACCACACTCCGTACAAAAGACGAATTTGCATGCTCTAAAACGCCAAAATTAAGTTTTAAATTACACACGAATAGTCTGAATATAGTCTGAATATGTTCGGATAGTACAGATGGGTAGCTGAATACCAAAATATGCCCAGAGTTTCAACACTATTAAGTACCCATGGTGAGTTTTATCGACAAAACCAGTTTGCCGAATGCAACGTTCCTAGTGTAATGAGAGTTACTTCCCTTATAAACAGGGAATTTGGGCACATTATTATTATATTCAAGTTGTGCTATTATTATAATACAAAGCATTTACAGTATCTAGTCATATGAAGGATCGATAAATTGAATGCCATGATAAAATGTGATGATAATATGAATTCTTCATTTTTTTTCATTTTTTTTTTGTCACAGGCTTGTAGTTTCCTATTAAGTAATTCGGATGTGTTAGATTATAATCAGTTATATGATGCTTGTATAACATTACTACTAGCTGGTTCAAGATGTGATAAAGTTAAAGACAAACTTACATTTTTGGTAAATTGCTTTCTAATATATAAACACCTGGTTAAAACTAGATTCCCTTAAACATTATTTTTATGGGGGAAAATCCCCACCAAGAGACAATTCACTGAAACAACTCAACAAAACATTGATCAAACAGTATGAATACAATGAGATAATGTAGATTTATAGAAAAAAAAATAATGAACTACGTGCCTGCAGAAAATTAGATTTTTTGAAAGAAAAGTCTAAAGATATGAATCAGAAAATCTATGTTGGAAGAAGCCTGATTTTTCTAATATAATGTTCTTATTTTAATGATTTTCTCATACAATTTCTTCCAGGATGGATCGGCCATGCACTACCATTTCTTATTAATGTGGCGTCTGCTTGCCAGTTTACCCCCCTCTATTAAATATTTAAAATTATTAGAAGAAAGTTCACTACAAATAGGAAATGGACATATTCTACACAATTTACGTTGGGCACCAAGATTAGGAAATAAAAGTTTCATAGGTTGGATCACTGTAAGTATAAATATATTGATTTATATAAGTAGAGCTGTTCAATTATTTTCTATCATTTTCTTATGCAGGGTTTGGTAGGTTGGCCAAATCATCTAAGGCATGCGCATTAGATCATAAGGTCTGTCAGTGTGTCAAGTGGCGTGGTTTTCGATCCCCAGCTTTTACATGATAAGGAGTAGGGTCGCCTTTTCAACCTTATGTGTTTTCTCTGGTTCCCCTCCACAGCTTAAAACACACACGCACAAGCGAATTACGGAAATAAAATTGAACCATATATTAGTCTCGAAATGACCTAGTTTGTGTTAAGTGGTTGCTCAACTGCTCTCTCTCTCTCTCTCTCTCTCTCTCTCTCTCTCTCTCTCTCTTTTACCAGCCAAATCATTGTTTTATTGTTTGATTTGGCGATCGTTCGGATGGTGCGAAAAACTGAGGTCCCGTTTACACATTGGCATGCACGTAAAAGATCCCTTGACAGTTGGAATTCGATATAGTATGGTGTATGCCCATCTGCATTAGCCCAGATCGGAGCAGAACAGTAGGACGTTAAACCCCATTTCATTTCATTTGTTTTAATGCTGGTTTTCTTGTGAACATATATTTTTATTTATTTATTTATAGGACTGTGTAGTTAAACAAGGACATACAACTGTACAAGCTGATAAGTTAATATCTAATGCTAATAAAGCAGCTAATACTATCAACTATGATGTTAGACTTGGTATGAACTTTATCAAAGAACAGGTAGGAATGACAAGATCAGACATCACTAAATCAATTTTTATACGCCCACATTTTCATGTGGACGTAGTATGCCGTTGCCCCTGTCTTATCCATTTTTGACGAAACTTGAAATATAGTTTATCTCCAAAAGATATTTTGGCATTGGCATGTATCGGATAGAAAATTCATGGATTATGGCCCCTGTTTGTACCAAAAATCACGTTTTTAACTTGTGGACCCTATAGTGGTCACAATTTTTATCCGATTTTGTTGAAACTTGAAATGTAAGTTTATAACCCAAAGATCTCGGTTCCTTTCGATATTCGCGCATATCGGACCGTAACTTCCTGAATTATGGCCCCTGATTGTATGAAAAATCGCGTTTTTAGCATGTGGACCCTATAGAGGTCATAATTTTTATCCGATTTAAAAAAACATATTATTATATCACCGTTACACCCTAAGGACGGCTGAGTTTGAATTTCGTGAAAATCGGCCCAAAATTGACACACAAAATGGCCACCGTTTGTTCTCAAATAGCGTAAAAATATGGTATATCAAGGTTGTGGACCCTATAGAGGTCACAATTTTTATCCAATTTTCTTGAAAGTTGAAATGTAAGTTTATAACCCAAAGATCTCGGTTCCTTTCGATATTTGCGCATATTGAATTGTAATTTCCTGAATTATGGCCCTTGATTGTAGGAAAAATCACTTTCTTTTTAGCTTGTTCTCTATCCATTTCTCGAAAATGTGGGCATGTCCTGCCTGGCAGCCGCTGGTATCTACACTCTGTGGACTAATAAAGTTATCATCCAATTTTTTTTAATTGTATATGTCTTGTTGACATTAGAGAGATGAGAAGCCTTGTCTCATTTTGTAGAATCTTGTGAAATTTTTGTTAATTACTTCAAGAGTTGTATTCCTTGTGAAAGCTTTAACAGCAACATTTAACATCCAATATGATATGTATGAGCCTTATTCAAATTGGTGAAACCAAAGAGTATTCAGTTTTAATAATTCCATTAATTACTTCAAGCTTATCTTTTCTATATCCAATAAAAGTAATCAAAAATTAGATGTCAGTGATAATGATGTCATTTGTTGGACACTGGTGATATGATACTTCCTTTGATAAAGTTGTTTAAAATGTACATATGCACAAACTGTTTGATTTGATGATATATTTGGACTTAAAGCATATTCAAACTAATTAATCCATCAAAAATTTGCTTTAAATCCCTCTCAAAACTTCGTTTTCGCGGGGAGATACCTCAAGCTAAAAACAAACTGTTGTTAGATGCCATGTCTGTCTCCTCAATTCATTGATGGAGGGTCCATTTTTCAGAATGTGTTTTTCATTACTTACTGTCCATTTATCATACATATTGAGGCCTAAGTAAATTCTTAATTATTTTCTGTCAACTTCTTTTTCCGCCATTTAATTGCAGAGTCTTTTGTACGTTGACACCCCTCAGTGTTCCCAAAACCGCCTAACCATTTGATCAAAAAATGATAACTGCTCCCTCAGTCAAAATGGCACACAATAAGCTGGCAGACAACAGTCAGGTTGCCAGTTACTGATACTCTGACATTTTTGCCTAGTGCTTGCCCCATGGTTGTTTTTTGGGTAATCCAGTATTTTTCTAGTAAGATTGTGTGTCTATACTTTCCATATACCAAATTTGCCATACTTTAATTGGAAATAATCACCCGAATTTGGGACAATGTATCTTTAATCTTAATACAAATTTATTTTGACTGTCATTATTTACAATTATTTCAGAACCCAGAAATGTTTAATTCAATGTTATCTCTTTATATGTTAAAATTCTCTTGTCTTATAAATTAATTTTAAATATCTACTATTTATTATTGGTGTTTTATATTTGACTATTTGTATTGTTCACAGTTAAAACAGTTACCTGAAGTTGACAAGAAAGATATATTGGAAAATAATAAACTACCTGGACTCTCATCAATATTAATGTTAGATGCTATTATAGCTAAAATGCAGGTGGCATTAGATAATACATTTAGTAAGGTAAGTTTGATGATTTATTTCCGGTATCAATACAACTCTAAGAGTTCTGTGCTTAAGGGGCATTAGATAATACATTTAGTAAGGTAAGTTTGATGATTTATTTCCGGTATCAATACAACTCTAAGAGTTCTGTGCTTAAGGGGATCTTCAAATAGTACTGTTATTAACTTTACATAGGTCATCCTGTATTAATAGATTAAAAAAAATTACTCAAAAGAAATAGCTAATTGATGATGAATTAATAATTTTAAATGAGCCTTTTTAGATTTTACGAATTATTTGTTATTTATTACAGTCTGAAAGTGATTTACATAAAGTGATGGATATAGCCCAAGATCTGATACCAGCTACATTTAAATTGATTGAAGCTTATTATGTTTATGTGAGGTAAATATTCTCTATTTGATTATAATAATAATAATTGCTGGCAGATGAATCGGATGATTAGTTGTCATTTTTGGGGATAGTCATCAAAGTTAGTTTTTCAAAAACAGAACATCTTATTTGAAAAGTTGACATAATATTTGTTGTACTTTCTGTATTTAAACAACTTGATTTGTGATTAATAAAAAATCTAGCATATTTGCTTAGGCTTCTGAAATCCAAGTTTAAATTATTGCTTTTTTTAGCTATGAATTATAAATAGTGACCTGGAATGGGATATGCTTACTGTACTAGATCATCCAATATCACATTGTTATCATTGCTTAGAATAATTGTTGTACTTATTTATTGATAACTTTTATTTTCAGATCATGTGTATTAGATGAAATTGCCGGTGTGGACTCCGCTAATTTGACTAAATACAAACTGAAGGCTTTTGGCACTGTGATGAGTATTGGATCAAATAGAAATTCAAAGGTTTTAGCATTAGGTAGCAGTTTAATGACTATGACACCAAGTCCTGTTCGCACTACCATTGAAAAATGGAACAATAACAGTGGCAATGAATTTCCAGCCATGCAGGCATGGGTAAGTAGTCTGAACAAAAATACACATTAAAAATTAAAGAGAAGAATGTTGACGTATGAATGCAGCAATAGTTATTTATTTCTGGAGAGTGGGATTTGAAAAATGAATATCCATGGATATTCTTCTCAAAATGCTCTTACAGTTATTTCCTAAGTTTTGATATTTTATAATTAACATTGGACATATTTATAAGAGGCTGTTTATCAAGATCCAGAAGATCCAAAAATCCAATTGATTTCACCTAATGCCTAGATATCGTTTTATTTTTCCTTCCTCTTATTGTTTTCTCAATGTGATTTGATATTATTTCAGAGAAATCCAGCTAATTACGGTAATGATATTCTACCATGTGAAAGTTATATGGATGCTATACATAGTGCTCATATGGTCTCTTTATCAGGTCAGTATATAAAACATATATAGGGAAGGGAGAGAAACATTATGGAGCTTTTCCTGCAGAATCTTAGACCAATCCCCAGTCTCTCTTGGCCATGAGTCCTTGTGTCTTCCAATCTCACCTTCCTCAATTTAGGTATCAGTATTGCATAGTCAAATAAATGAAGCATAAAAAAAAAATCGATTTTTCAAGGGACTCAAGAATAACTGAGTATGTTCTAGATACAGGCTTAATGAAATTTATGTCTTTGTAGAAGAATTGGACCAAATAAAAATTGAATTTGAAGTAAAATGATATTTGTTGTATTTCAGGACAATCAAGTTTTTGTATAAATGCTTCAATACGACATCTACTGCAGTCTTTAGTTAGGTTTGCCAATGATCTGGTTGAGTAAGTAGCAGTGTATTATGATTCATATTCTTTTCATGATCAGATTGATCAAGATTGATCATGTTCATCAAACATTATAGTCATATAGGGTGGGATACGGCATGTAGCTTGTGCAAAATTAATAATTTGACTCAGAAAGGAATTATAAAGATTAACCAATTTTCCCTTTGACAACCACTTTTGTCTGTGTTTTTAATTCTTAATCTGATTTTATTTCCTAATATATTTTTTGGGCAAGTTGTAAAGTTTAGAATGTGATAAATAATTAGATATCCTTTAAAAAATACCCATACTTGAACAAATATAATTAAATATTAATGTTATTGGTTTGTAAATTTACAGATGGTGTCCAGACAGTGCTAGTAGTCGGGAGTTAGTGAGAGTTATGTTTCCTTTATTATATGATGTGACGACAGAATACCTAGCAGAAATGGTAAATTCTTTTATTTATTGATATATACGATGATGATATTAGTTTTGTAAAGAAGCAGATAGATACATTCCATGAATTAATTTGAGTACTAAAACATTAACTGAAACAGCTATATTTCCATGTGTAAACCTCAGATGTATTGATATTTTTTCACAGTAATGCCCAAACCAATTCTTATTTGAAGTAATTATAGCATCTATGGGTCAATGTTGGTATCAAAACTATTACATGGTTACCTTCATGTGTTAAAGGGGGATTATCCATCTGTTTCTATGTTTTAGCAATAGATGAATACTGACAATATCTTCAAATTAAACTTTACCAAAATTCTAGACTCCCTCGTTTGAGATCCTCCTTAAATTAAAGACCTCGCTGATGCCAGTAAATCATCCATATTAAAAGTAGAATAAAGTAGCTGTCATAGTCATCTATGTCTATCTATTATAAAATTATAGAGAAATGATAACCATGTCATTTAATCTAATGACAAGTTTTATTTATTTGTCAATAGTTTTGGTATTATGTTTCAGGTATCTTTCTCTCTAGAGAAGTTTTTAGGACCTGTAGAAGAAGAGAAGTTTGGTTTAAATATGTATCAGCATGTTATTGGTGTATGTAATGATTTAATAGAGAATTATTCTGATACTGACAGGTTAGTTATACAAAGTATTTTATATTCTCTAATGTTTTTACTTTTGGTAACAATATCGGTTTATGGTTGAGCATAAAATGTACAAATCTGGAGAATATTTCAGTTTTTCATAGATTTTAGGTTTATTCATTAAATTATTACAAAAAATGTTAAACTTCAAATTGAACATGGAATATACATAACTGTACATTCTCAAGTGCTGGGAAATATCTTACTTTTCATAGATTTGTAGGTGTAGGTTATTCATTAAAATATTGCAAAAAATGTTTCACCATATCTATAAAAATTAACCCATTTCATGTTTTGTGTTATTTCAGTGGACTAGATGAAAATATTCTACTTGAATGTTTGAAGTTTATGGAAAGTAATATTGAGAAATCACCAGGAAAGAAGGCTATTGAAATGTGCTATAGCTCAACATCAGGTAATTATAGCTTCTGTTGTCACACTTTAACATATTAATAATTTCCTTTCAACTAAAGATGGAAGTAAATGTCAATTAGAAAATCTCTGCACAGTAGTAGCCCTAATATGGTACTTTCATTAAGCATTAAAAGAGCTTACCTGTTATAAAGGATTCAAAGTATGTATGAATCTGGCAACGTGTCACAAAATATTTTCCTTTTATTGTAAAAACATGTTTTGGGTTTTGACATATGTCCGTGTTTTAACATCCCAGATCTCATTCTACAACCTTAACATAAAGCTAAAATGAAATCATCTTTAATCATGTTAAAATATTGAAAATGATCAGCAAAATCTTATTGCCACTTTATATATTTTATATATTTAATTGACTATTTTAACAAAGAAATTTATGTTGATTTTGCAGATTTAACTACTGTATTCCTGACTATTGCAAGAACCAATTTATCTCCCAAGTTTGCAACTGAAGTACTAAAATTTTTCAATAAAATCTATCGACTAGGTAATGTAATATGAATTATATTTGATATAATTGACGAGTTGTCACAGCTATTTTAGTGACGTACCTATACACAGTCTGATATATATTATCAATAATTTCTCGTTTTAACAGTTTTAAAATCATATTGTTACTATCCAGCAGAAGTGGTTTTATAAACTGTGGGAATAGTTTCAGTCATAATATTTTTCTTGTATTGGTCATACAGATCAGTTTATATGATATGTTTGCCTTAATTATGAGTGGTATGGCTCATAGAACTCTTTGAGTATTTGATTGGGTCTGCCCAAGTTGAGTCCAGAGTCCTCATGAAATTTCTGTCAGTTGGTAAAGTTTTTGCATATTTTTCATTACAGATTTTAACAAGAAATTGTTTTCTAAAACATGACAATCCTAAGCGTTATTTCCATATTATTACTCAATTTTTAAGTCTTTTGCACATAACAGCTATTCATATAATCTATTTTTTGTATTTTATCATTAAATTCTTTGAAGCAAGTCTGGATCAAAGTGAAAAAATTAATCAATACATTAAGGGGTAATTATATGTCATGTTGTCAGATTAATCTTTTCATTCAAGAGTATGGCAAAAGATTTCATGAAATGTGTTGAAATGTCTTCTTTTATTACAGCTGAGAGAAATCCTAATGATAAAAGTTATGGAGCATTGTGTAACTGTTTTCTAAGTTTAAACACAGCCGATCAAACTTTACTTCATTCATTGCTGAAGAAAATCTTTACCAATCCTTCTTCAGAGGTAAGTAATCAAACAGTGACTTTAAATAGAAAAACTTTCTTATAACATATAAATCTCATCATTTTAGGGGATGCTCTATTGACTTACAGAATTGAATTTGAATCCCACAAACAGTGACTAACATGCAGACAACCGCCACTTCTGAAACATGCCACACTAAAACTCAGGTATCATGTAGTTGTGCTGTTTTAGCAGGAGTTTAATGTTTAGTTTCAAATCATTGTTTGAAAATTGTTAAAATCTGTTGAGAATCATCAAAAACTCCTGCTAAAACAGCGCAACTACATGATACCTGACTGAGTTGTAGTGCCAGCAGTGAATATTTAGATCATAATTTACTTACACCATATCTATTATCGAGACTGACTCAATTCTGTGTCATTCAATTGCAATTCTGTAAGTTTGGAAGTTCTGAACTCACTATTAGGCATCACCATAGACAAAACCAGTCCTTATATAAACACGGCACTATTTAAATACTCATACATAGAACTGTTTTAATACTAATACATAAGATCAGGTCAGGCTTATTTTCAGTGGCTCAGTGAATAATACACTGGCTCACTAGCCAGGAGATCTTGGATGCTCCCATTGTTGACAGTGGTGCAGGATGGATTGCCTGGCAAGGAACAGCGTCCATTCGTTTGGATGCTATGAAAAAAATGAGATCCCATTGGCGTGCACGTAAAAGAACCCTTGACAGTTGGAATTCGAAACAAGAGTAGGCCATAGTGCTGCTGTCTAGGCCAAACTTCCCTCATAGCACACTGTATGCAGAAAAGTAGAACATTAAACCCGATTTCATTTAATTGTCATGTTTTCAGTTCCCGTTATTAAATGTTATATCGTTATATTGTGTAAATATTTAATGCATAAATAGTGATAGAAAAGAAAAATACAAATACACAGAACTGTTTTGATTCTAATGCATATAGCTGTTTTAATACTTATTCACTGTGCCAGTGATTTGTAATAAAACTAGTTAATGATTTATATTTTAGGAAAGCGATGAAGAGAGTAATGTTAAAGAAAATCGTCAGCTCCTTCAAACTTTATCTATGTACCTAGTCAAAGATAAAAGGTAGGACTCTATTTTCTTAATATATTTCAAACTTTCAAAGAAGTATTTTAAAAAACAATATTTTAAAACATCAAAATCACCTTACAACTATGCATCAATTTAAATTTTGTATTGAAAGATCTTTGAAATTGGTATGTGTGACATATGCTTTTATCTAAGAAATGACAGACATAATTAGCCTTGATGTTAGTACACATCACAATTTTTATTTTAATAGCAACTAAAAACAAAAAAATGGATGCCTTTGTGCTGGAAAGTCAAATTAATCAAAAATATTTTTTGGGATGTTCCATGCTGTATCTCAAATAGTGGGAAGAGAGGTGTCCATTTTAGCTATAGAGTTACTCACAAATAGATAATTTTTATTATAACACAACACATTTATATGTATAACAATTACTCTTGTAGTTTACTAGTTTTTATTATTTTTGTTAACAGACCTGCAAGTGATACTGTAGCAGATACGATATTAAATGCTCTGTTACCGATGTGTGAACCTCTACTCACCAAATCTGATAAACTAAATACCTTCTCAGACTTAATGGCTGTCATGCATACATTAGCTGGTACTGGACAGGGCAGAGGTCATCTGAAATTATTTAAAGAAGCAACCAAGTGGCTGGATATATGGTGAGACAATTATTTATAGTATAAAAAGAAACAAGAAAAATATTATATATCATAATCTTAGATTTTTAGTAATGTTGGTAGTTAACTTTTGGTGATTGAAGTACATACATTGAAGTGAAAGTATATCAGTAGATCCACCTGTGGCAATCATCACTTACAAAAGCATTCAATGTTATTTACTAACTAAATAATCTGTTTTTAATATTTAAATATCCCCATAATGTACATTGACAAGAATATATCTTAGCTGAACATTTTCAATGCCATCCAGACATTATTCCAAATAATAAGTACCCCCGTAATGATGATACTGATGTATGATTATTTAATTTTTATAGCAAGGTATATTTATCAAAGAAAGATGTTCTTGAAAAAGTTTTGAAAAATGATTCATCAGAAGAAGGAATACTGGAAACATTATGTTGTATATTAAGCTACGTGGGTCAAATACTATCAGCTTTAAAAAAGTCTTCTGACAGGTAATTTATAGAATTTTGTGATGAAATATTGATGTTGTTATGAATAATTATTGAAATATGACAATAATATCTTATTAATATAAACAAAATGGACTGTAGCAATCAGTATATATTATATTTACTATTTACAATAATTAATTGAATTTTACTGATAAATGATATAATTATCTATTTAACAGAATTGGAGCTACCACACCACCTCTTGATGGAGATCAAATACTCTTACAGGTAAGTTTTAATATTTCATTAGGGAAGTGACTTAATGATTGTGAGGAGTGAAGTGAGTAGTATCTAAACATAAATTGGAGTAATCACTGTAGATTAAAACTTAACCTAAGATCTTTTCTCCTAGCCAGCACAGGTTTGGAGGTGAAAGTTATCTTGTTCACACTTTAGCAGTGAAAATTGCGATATGATGATGTTGATCCAAGTATGTAAATGACTGGATTATCCAGACTAATAATGCATTCAAATAATTGCAAATGGATAATTAGTTAGAACTATAACAGTTGTTAATTGTTTGTACATTAATTAGAATGTGTATATATTTATAAAGGAGAGAGATAATGATTGGGATGATGAGATGACTCAAGATGATAATGAATCGGCAGGAGAAGATTCTGTAAGTAAAAACTAGGTTGCATATAACATTTATTTGGGTTTAACCTAGTTGATTAATTTATGATATGCCATGTCGGATGTCTGGACCAATCAGTGAATGAGTTACACTGCCCTGACTTGTTGTTTACGTTTTTAAACTCGTTTGAACTCAGTCACATTTATAAACTAGAGATGTAACGCTTCACAACGATGCCAAGTATTACCTGATTGTCCCACAGCAAGCGAAGAAAAATAATTAATTCGCTGAGAATTTTAAGGAAAAAGAAAAATTTATGAATACAGTACTCTCATAAAAGGTCCAAATAAAGGTTTTTTTAAATATGTTTTATTGTTATTTTGATCTTTTAGGTTGATAGATAGTATATTTATAGACTCATTTTTGTGAAAATCTCAATTTCAACCAAAATTAATAGTTTCACTTGTTTTGTCTGTAGCTCAATATCAGAATCTGTGCATTCCGACTCATTTAGCCTCACAGGTCACATATTTCTACTTGTTCCAAAAATAAACATGGGGTGAATAAAATTGTGACAAAATCAAAAGTTACAACTGTTGTGATTGGTACTAGATGGTAACAAATTTACTTGGAACATGGCTTGTTGCTCAAGATTCTTGTGCTTACTTGATTGACACCTTTTGAGGGATTCAGAAAATTTAATTATTGAACATGCAATCTGATTGGTTTATTTGTTATTTTGCAGGATGAAGAGACATTAAACAACAAATTATGTACCTTTACTGTAACACAGAAAGAATTTATGAATCAACATTGGTATGTATATTTATAGAAATCCAATTCTTTCTATTGATATTTGATGTTTTTATCAAAATATAATAATGAAAACTAGATAGAGGTTTTTTTTCCATCCAAATAGAAAACACATCGGCAGCATGGATGAAATTTTTATACGCCTACATTTCATGTGGACGTATATTGTTTGTGGACACTCTACAGGTCACAATTTTTATCTGATTTTGACGAAACTTGAAATATAGGTCTATCTCCCAAAGATCTTGGTTCCTTTCAATATTGGCATGTATCGGACCATAACTTCATGGATTATGGCCCCTGATTGTACTACAAATCACGTTTTTAGCTTGTGGACACTCTAGAGGTCACAATTTTGATCTGAATTTGATGAAACTTGAAATGCATGTTTATAACCCAAAGATCTTGGTTCCTTTCGATATTGGCATGGATTATGGCCCCTGATTGTACAAAAAATCACGTTTTTACCTTGTGGTTCCTCTAGAGGTCACAATTTTTATCTGATTTAAAAAAATATTTTAATATATCACCGTTACACCCTAATGATGGTTGAGTTCGAATTTCGTGAAAATATATGTCTATCTCCAAAAGATCTCGGTTCCTTTCGATATTGGCATATATTGGATCGAAACTTCATGGATTATGGCCCCTGATTGTACGAAAAATCACGGTTTGAGCTTGTGGACCCTCTAGAGGTCACAATTTTCATCCGATTTTGATGAAACTTGGAATTCATGTTTATATCCCAAATATCTTGGTTCCTTTCGATATTCGCGCATATCGGATCATAATTTTCTGAATTATGGCCCTGATTGTAAGGAACATCGCGTTATGAGATTGTGGTCCCAATACAGGTCACAATTTTTATCTCGTTTAAAAAAAAAAACGTGTGAATATATCACAGTTATGCACTAATGATGGTTGAGTTTGAATTTCGTGAAAATCGGACTAAAACTGATGGACATAATGGCCCCCCCCCCCCCCATGTACGCAAATAGTGTAAAAATATGGTATATCAAGGTTGTGGATCCTCTAGAGGCCATAGTTTTTATCTAATTTGGATGAAACTTTAAATATATGTTTTTATCATAAAGGTCTTGGTTCCTTTTGATAATCACACATATCTGAACGTAACGTCCTGGATTATGGCCCCTGATTGGTCGAAAAATCTCATATTTAGCTTGTGGATTCTCTAGAGGTCACAATATTTTTTCCGATTTATAAACCATTTAGATATATCACCATTCCACCCTAATGAAGGTTGAATTGGAATTTCGGGAAAATTGAAACGAAACTGCCTGACAAAATGGCCGCTCTTTGTACGCAAATTGTGTATAAGTATGTAATATAAAGGTTATGAACTCTCTAGAGGTCACAATTTTTATCCGACTTTGATGAAACTTAAAACATATCTTTATATTCCAAAAATCTTAGTCCCTGTCGATATTTGCGCATTTCAGACCATAACTTTCTTGATTATGGCACCTGATTGTACAAAAACTTGTTTTTGTTTTTAGCTTGTTCTCTATCCATTTCTTGCAAAATCTGGGCATATCCTGCCTGGCAGCCGTTGGTATTATTATACTTCTGACATCTGAATACTATGGCATTCTGTGAAATCTGTCATCATTTTCATGTCCCAATTTATTTCCTTATTACTTCAACCAAAAGAGTTTAACAGTCCGGATTCTGAATATTCCGAATTACGAAATCAGTCAGCAGTCCCGTCACACAATTTGCGTTGAATTAACATTGGATAATCCGGCCTTCAATCAGTGGGTGTTAACCGACAAGCAATCACCAATCAATTATCTGTGAGCATAAAACATGTGTCGGTCTCTGTAGATTACCTTGATAATTTTATAATCTCTTGGATGTAATCTGCTGGATGTCCAGCAGCAAATTATAGCAGATTTTGAGAAAGTTCCACAACCTACATGGAAGGAATTAGCCGTTAAGTATTTAATTGGCCGTACTATAGTATCAGACATTTTAAAGTGAAAAGATGAATTCAAACAGAAGTTTGCCGATAACTTTAACGGCAGTAAGAAACGATTTTACTCAAACGTTAAGTTTGAAGACATCAAAAGTAAAGAATGAAGCATGAGTGGTTTAAGGGCGTGGACAAAAACAACCTGTCAGTCAATTGGTTGGCCAATCGTAAGGCTTGGATGACAAGTGCTTTTTATTTGGGTTGATGTATCTTCTGATGATGATATACCGCTTGCAAAACTAATCGAATCCTTGGTACTTTTTTAATGTACAGAAAGCGTTCCCATATTTTAAGTTCTGGGTATTCAAGGGTGCATTATAATAATACTTCCAGTATATGAAGGTACAATGATACTTCCGGTATATGAAGGTACAATGATACTTATGGTATATGAAGGTATAATGATAATTATACTTCCAGTAATGAGGCAATTGAATATTCCGACATGCTGTGTAATCCGACATATTGTATCGATCCTGTACGATGTCGGGATTGACAGAGTCCACTGTATATGTGAAATGACTTTATTAAGGTTTATTATTATATTTATCATTGTCATAGATGAAATTTTATTACTGTATATATGTGACATGACTTTATTAATGTTTATAATTATAGGTATCATTGTCATACATGTAAAATGGTAGATGGTGTTGGTGTGTGTACTATATGTGCCCGGGTTTGTCACAAAGATCACGATCTCACTTATGCTAAATTTGGTTCTTTTTTCTGTGATTGTGGAGCTAAAGATGATGGAACTTGTAAGGTACGCTATCTTGTAGTGTTGAAAGAATTAAAGTTAAAGTTATTTTTAATTCCTTATGCATACATGTAATGTAGAGAGTAGACTCTTTTACCCATGTTAATAATAAACACAATTCCCATTCAGGGCCCATTTTCAGGAGAGCTTACTCAACATGTAGTATAAAAAATCTCTGCTTGTAAAGCTTATCGGAAGCCAGGTTGAAGGGTGTACAATATTGATAGGTTCATGTTAAAAAGAACATCAAAGTTGTTATGCATGTTAAATGTTTAGTTTATGTAAATTTTTCAGGCATTGGTTAAAAGAACACACCAAAGTGGATTGGATTGTTCTTCTAATGTAGCGGCTCAGTCACCTTTCTCTATGGAAACCCTCCATCCTAGTTCACTACGTCGCCGTCTGTCTTCACCCAATCCAGAAAATAAACCAGATGAGACAAAGTCAGCAGAGGAAGTTAACAAGACACGAGAAGCTCTCTGTCAAAAAATAGAAAACCTCCGAGATGAATTTATAAATCATGTGGTAAATTTCAGTTCAGACCCCCCCAAAAAATTAATACCTGTGGTTATGGTTATTTGGCCCCCCAAAAGAGGGTCGGTTGGTCGTAAAATCTTTTTATTATTTTTATAGTGGGGTTTGTATTTCCTAGCATTTCTAGCTTAATTACTGAGTAAGGTTTTTGAAAATTATACTGAAATGTCAGTGTTGGAATTTGTCCACAGAAAACCACACCAAGACCAAGTTATAGGGCCTGGGAAATGATGAAAAAAAGATTAGGGTCGTCAATTTAGGGTAACTGTAAACACAGGTATTTTTTATTTTGGCCTAATGATTAACTTTTCATTATTGATGGAATTGGGTCAGCTTACATAATTTGATTCCATTTATGATAATTCATGAACATAATCCCACATCAAAAGTGTTTGTCTTGCCATCAACTTTTTGTGTTTTATGGTTCACGTTGAATAGACAGTACAGGTAAACTTCCCAACAAAACAGAAGAAGAAATTATTCACAAATACTCCACAGTTCGTATAAAAGGAAATGTCAAAGTTCTCTACAGTCTCATAAAAGTGTCAGAATTAACCTAGCTGTCAAGCTGAATACAAAAATGTTAGCATGTTACTTTTATATTACAGGAATCATCTAATACAGTACATGCTGTTTTAGATATGTTAGAGAGAATTTTACCGCCATTAACAGAAAACTATCAAGATGTATCACCAATAGGAAGTACAGCTAGAGCCCAGAAAGCTTTACAAAATCTACATGATATAGCTAATAAAACACTTATATCAACTGATCAACTTATGGTATGCATACACTGAGTGGACTGTTATTTACAAAAATGCTTTATAACTGTAGTACTATCCTTATGTACATATAGTGAAACGATTTATGAAATGATTAAAAACAATGATAATACTTTTCATCCAGGCATATTATGTCATTTATCACTTGAAAAAAATATATGATGTAATTAGACTAACATACTAAAGAATACAATATATCAAGTTTAGTTCATCTACCACACTAAGGGCAATAAATTGTCAGTACTATTAAAAACAGTTCACATTTACTAATAATAGGTTATGTATTATATTTATTTCAGACTGTCACTCTAGGATCTCAAGAAGGAGCTTTTGAAAATGTTAGAATGAACTACAGTGGTGATCAGGGTCAAACCATGCGTCAGTTAATCACAGCCCATATGTTACGTCGGGTTGCTATGTGTGTTTTATCATCCCCACATGGTAAACGTCAACATCTAGCAGTTAGCCATGAGAAGGGTAAAATCACCATATTACAACTTTCGGCACTGTTAAAACAAGCGGACTCGAGCAAGAAAAAGTTGACTCTCACGGTAAGTCTTCCCTTGATAATTATCAATAGTACAATACAGTTTTTCTTATTAAATTATGCAATAGAATATTTTTCTAAAATCAACTTTTGGATATTTCAGTTCTGCTGTTGTATCACTGTTGAGGATGATTCAAAGTATATTTACAATGATTGAAGTCATGTTCATCATAAAAAATATGTAATGGTATGTTATTTTTATTGAGTATTTTATGTATTGTAGAGATTGTATTCAGCACCTATACCATTTACTGTACTATCTATAACTGGTAATCCTTGTAATGAAGATTTTCTGGCAGTTTGTGGTTTAAAAGATTGTCATGTTTTAACTTTTACTGGTGTTGGTACAGTCGGAGATCATCTAGTATTACATCCTTCATTAGCTACAGGAAACTTTATTATAAAGGTAAGTATTATTATTAATACAACACTTATATATAGTGTCAACTTTTACAAGATAACATCCTTTATTAGTTGCAGGAAACATTATTTATATGATTATCAAACAACCAACAAATAAATCCCGTTTTTAGATTGCCTGAATCTATCAAAAAGTTCTGTAAAAATATACAAATAAGTAAATACTTTTATTTTTGATGCGTTAATATATTTGTAGGCTCTCTGGTTACCAGGTTCACAGACTGAATTAGCGATTGTAACAGCCGATTTTGTAAAGGTATGTCTATTTATAGTAACCAGTAATCATATTGTTCAATATAAATACAAAAATACTCTATGACAAATACTACAAATAGATATTTTTGATGTAACCTAGTCATTTGGAAAATCCAAAAGATGGGAATTTGAGTCTTTCATTTGTTTAAATTGTTTTTTATTATTTCAGATATATGATTTAGGAGTAGATGCGTTAAGCCCTCAGTATTATTTTCTGCTACCGAGTGGTAAAGTCCGAGATGCATCCTTTATATTTTCTGAAGAAGGTCGTTATATGGTATTGATGTCATCATCAGGCTATATATATACACAGATAATGGAAGATGCTAGTAGTGCCGTACATGGTCCATTTTATATAACTAATGTATTAGAGGTTAAACATCCTGATTTAAAGGTCAGTTAGAATTTTGGTACAACTAAAAAAATCTTTTATTTTTCTGTAAAGATTCAAGCAAAGTGGAGAATAGTTTGTGAGTTAGCATGGAAAGTTGTCAACTTTATTCAAATTTAAACATACATTATGCAAGAGCTAAATCTGCTTATTGCAGGTCTTCCCGTAGGCCTGGAATGTTATCTAAATTATTAATTAGACATTAATTAACTTATCCAGACCGTAATCAACGCTCTATGCCATCGCTAGCCTGCGATATTTAGCAGATTGGAATAAATTTTTTGAAAAATAATTAAACGTAAAAATGGATAATCGAAACTTTGAATTTTTATCCTACGAACTTTAGTAACGATGATCGAGTCTATCCTAAAATTCAAAAGCTGATATCTCGGTTCATAGTGGAGCAATTTGACTGAAATTTTCAGCATATTCTATTTACGTTATCTATTGTTTAACTATTATAGCGAGAACTGTCAACTCTTTATCTAATCTCCCATAATGCCCCTTTAATTGCAGCTTGTATCCTTTGATTATTCTGTGTCAACAACACCACTAATAATATAAAAAGCTGTTTTACTAAATATTGTATATTAAAGATGTAAATAATAAATATTGTATATTATTTTATGGCAGGAAGTAGTATCAAACCAGGTAGCTGGTGGTGGTGTATCAGTTTACTATTCACATGCTTTACAATTACTCTTCTTTAGTTATACACAAGGTATGTATATAGTTACTACTCTTCTTTAGCTATGCACAAATTACATGTAATTATACAAATACTAGATTTTAGTTATATTCCAGCTAATTATACAAATACTACACACGGTAATTATTAAAATTACTACACTTTAGTTATACACAAGATAAATTATACAAATAATACACTTTGGTTATACACTAGATAATTATACAAATACTACGCTTTAGTTATTTATACACAAGGTAATTATACAAATACTACACTTTAGTTATACACTAGATACTTATATAAATACTACACCTTAGTTATACACTAGATAATTATACAAATACAACTCTTTAATTAAAAATCTCAAATGATTTATCGATCTGCTGGATTTCAAAATATAATTAAGAAAGAAATATTTGGGTTATTTCGTTGAGCATACCTTTTCTTGAAATTAATTAGAAGTTTTGTACCTGCATTTTAAATGATGTGTTTGAAAAAATAGTCAATATTTAACTCTATAAATTTGGACATGTGCACACGCATACCGTACCAAATTATCATAATTGTAGTCTTGGTCAAGGACCAATGATCCCAGGCACTAAAGAGCATTAACAATATAGATCTGGTTAACAGAAACTACTTGGTAGTGAATGCATTTTCTGTTTTTGAATGATGGCTCAATATTTATAATCCTTTCTCTTCTGAAGGAAAGAGTTTTGTTGCACCAGTTGCTAAAGATTTTAGTCAGGTGATAAATATATCACCTATTCCATTTAAAAGGTAAGTATAATACACATTGATTTTTTTTTTTTTTAAGCAGAAGATCAAAAGTAACTAGTGGCAACTTACGTCAGGTTTCCGATAGACAATCATGGTTTCAGATTCTGTGTGATGAATTTAAACTTTAAATGTGTCCCCTGCACTTAATTATAGGTCATATTTCAGTTTTACCATTGTATCTAGATTTTTTTTAGTTTCAAAAAGTAAATTTTATAAGTTTTTTCACAAAATGGATATGTAATTAACAAATGACACCTTCTATATATGTTGTATTATATACTCTACAGTAGTAATGGTGGAGGAAAAGGAGGCAATAACCATCAACCTCTAGTACAATGGTCTGAAGTTCCTGGACATACAGGGCTATTATATTGTATGGCCCAAACATCCAATAACCCTGTTGTACTCATGGTGAAACCAGAATCTATATCCATGCAAGAAATTAAAGTTCTTCCTGCTAAAGCTAAGGTTTGTTATTTGACTTGTGTAAGACCAAAAATTATAGGATTTTTCAATGTTAAGTTATTATGTATTTTATAACTTTTGAAGTGTTTTAATCTCTGCAAATCACTATTGATTTTGTACATTGCACATAGGTTATTTTGTTCTTTATTTATTTTACAGATACAGGATGTAGTGGCTATACGTCATATTGCCTCAAACTCTGATCAGGTAAAACTTGAATCTTTGTATTTTGATAATTTTTTTATTAAAATCATCATTAGATATGTATAGAAATAAAGAGTTTAGATGAATGTGGTAACACTCAAACCAGTCCAGTATTTTTTTTCTGAACTGAATTTATGAATGAATTTAAAATAATTACCAGTTATGTCTTTTCTTTTTCCAGCAAAGAACGACAATGATATTACTATGTGAAGATGGTAGTTTAAGAATTTATATGGCGAATGTTGATAATACCAACTATTGGTTATCACCATATTTACAACCACAGAGTCCCATAGCCATATTAAAACCTGCAAAAAAGAAAAAGGTGGCTAAATCAGGACGTCCATCAGCTATCGTCAATTTCCCTGTCGATTTCTTTGAACATTGTCAACAATCTAATGATGTTGAGGTTAGTACAAATAATACACAATTAATATTAAATTCTATTGTGAATTTCAATTTTACACCTTACTGATTGAAATGGCTATAAGAATCTGTCTATACATAGTTGTACAAGTAAAATATAGCAGAAATTAGTTGTTCAAATAGTGTCCAACCTTATTACATTGCATGTGCCAAATATTATCCTTGCAACTTAGTTGTCTTATATGATTTCAAAATATTAAATTAAGAAAAAAATGTTAACATTGAGAGAAACATTATTTACCTTAATTATAATTATGATTTTGATTTAATATTTGTTTTTGTCAATTGCATTAGTTATTGAGGGCAGCAGAGAATTACAGTTTCTTTTTTTTATACTAGATCATTATTATCACAAGATGCAATGTGTCACTTGAAGTGGTCCAGTGCACCCCTCCTGCTATAAATCAAGTAATTAATGTTTCAGAAATGAGACCTGTCTCCAGTTGCATTAATTTTGATACAAATTTCTGTTCTGTAGCAAATCCAAATAAAGTATTGCGGAAGTACTCTGTAAAAACAGAACTAACTGTTAGATATAAATATTGCTATTTCTTGTAGTTTGGAGGAAATGATGTTCTGCAGATTTATAATGTTCAACAAGTTAAACATAGGTTAAATACAACTGGAATGTATATAGCTAGTACTAAACCTGCTGGTTTTACTATAGAAATAACCAATAGCAATAATACTAATGTCATGGTGGGAGCTAGAGTACTAGTTGGAACACAAACACCTGAAAGATCACCATCTTTTATTGAAGTTTTTGGTAGAAATATTCAGGTATGTTATTACAATTTTCTTTCTCGTGTTTCTGTTTTGTTGCTAAAAATACCTAAACCTAACAACAGTACATGAATACAACACAAACTGTCAGAGAATATGGTGCAGCATGTATAAAAATAATATAGCAAGTGCCAAAATTAAACTAATTGTCAATTGAAGCCTTCCTTGCTATTACTTAGTGAAAATGCAAACAATCAGTGCAGGGTCATGTATCTATTGCCTAAGCTATTTAGGGGATCGAGGGGGCTAAGTGGGTATGATGCTGGCTCACTAGCCTGGAGGTCGGGTGTTCGATCCCTGCATTGGCCGAGAAAGTGCATCCAGATTTTCCGGCGTGGTTTCCCCTTGTCAGTGATGCAGGACGGAGGGCCTGACAAGGACAGCTGTCTAGTAGTTCAGATGGGACGAAAAACTGAGGTCCTGTGTACACATTGGTAGTAGTCGGAATTCGATATAATTGTAGGCTGTAGCGCCGCTGCCCGGTCAATATTACCCTCATTGCACACTGTATGGCTTATGCCCGTCTTCATTAGCCCAGTTTAGGAGCAGAACAGTAGGACGTTAAACCCAATTTCATTTCATTTCATTTTGCTATCCATGTATATACGTGTATATTCCTGCTGATAATTGTTGTTTGTATTAGCCCTGTAGATACACCATTGCACATACAATTAAAAGATTACTAAATTTGATATTGATTTATATATTTTTTTTATCTATTATAAATTTCAGGTGAACTCGACACGACCACGCTGGTTTGATATGCCATTTACAAGAGAGGAATCCCTTACTGCTGATAAAAAAATGAACATCACATGTAAGTTACATGTTTGATTTAAATTCTATTTATTGTGGAAACTGTTTACTGCTAAAGTGAAATTCTGCATTGACTTTGGGCACAACTGTCTAAATAACGCTTTTCAGAATTTAGGTTGTGATCAGACTTGGGAAATTGCAAAACTGACGTACATATTGTCCTGAAGAAAACATTAATCTTTAAATGATCAGACTATTTCATTCATAATTAAGTAAAAAGGCATTATGGAAGATTAGATAAAGAGCTGGCAGTTCTCATTTTAATAGTTAAAAACTAGATAATGTATAGGGAATATGCTGAAAATTTCAGTCAAATTGCTCCACTCTGAACCGAGATCCAAATCCCGTGAAAATCCGACACATAAGATGGCATCGAGAGTTGATTAAGGTCTTTTCATGTTAATAAATGTCTAATTAATAGTTGATATAACATTTCAGGCCCAAAGATATACATGCAATAGGCAGATTTAGCTCTTGCATAATGTATATTTAATAGTGCTGTAAAGATTCGCCAGGCCACGATACGATGCGCATCACGATTCATGGCCTACGGTACGATTAATATCGTGATATAGGAAATAAATTTAAAATATGCTGTTAAATTTTGAAAGTCTTTTACTGTAAAAATTTGAACGCCTGCTTTTATGATTTACTTTAAATGTGGTGTTCTCTCGGTCAACTGAACGGATTTCATTGCTGTCATGTTTAATGGGAAATCCTAAAAAATTCCTGTACTTTACTTGTGACTTATATGGGGGATTTCGATCTCAATATTGCTTTTGTCGATCATGTGGCTTGAATTTTGTGAATTCATTTTGAAAAAATTTCAGTTGACTGGCTCGTATTGCCACAACAATTTCTGCCAATGAAAAGCTTTCTCGTTGTCATGTCAGTCATAGATTACAGAACAGCAAAGGAAATAACGTTACGAAGATTTTAATATATACATTGAAAATATGTGCTGATCAATGTATGCAGTATGTACAAATCGCCATTCTTATACAATAATATTATAGCAAATCGCGTTATATATATATATATATAAGATATAAATATAAAACAATATAAAAACATACAATATTGTATGTTTTTATCTCATATTATTCAAGTGTGTAATTTGAACGTAACTTAATTTCCAGCACGACTTGCTTAACCAGACTGATATTTTAATCTTGACGAAATAGCTATAAGCCACTTCAAGCATTTATTTACGTATTTAAAGGAATGTCAGTCCATTTTTGTGAAATTATTATTTGGATAACGAATCGCGATACGGACATTGATTGTATCGTGCATCATGGATTTTTAAAACATCGTGGTTCATCGATTCATCGATGAATCATTGCAGCTCTAACGTTTAAGTAAGAGTTTCAACGTACTGAAGGTGTCACTGACTTGTTAAGGCTTAAACAGTGTCATCACTGAAACAGGTGTGGGCTCCCCATTTACAATTCATTTGAATCAGAATATATACACCCTTTACTCGATAGTGTGGTGTTATGCTATATCTTCATGTTACAGTTGGAGCAAGTATAGATCCAGCAGGATTTACAATGGTAGACTCTATCAAGATTTATACCAAAACTAAAGAAGTATTTGGTTGGCCAGAAGAACCAGATGAGTTTCCTGAAGGTAGTACACCAGTAAAAACACCAACAACTGCTATAACTGTTACTAATCCTACTACAGATACACTACCTACAGAACCATTACCTATAACTACAGCTGACAAGTAAGTCTTTATATTCATGGCCAAATGGTTAGCACGTGCGTGCTGTATCATAATGTCTGTCATAAATCAACTGGTGTGGTTTCGATTCCCCGGTTGTACGTGACCAAGAGTATAGGGTAGCCTGTCCAACCTCGTGGGTTTTCTCCAGGTCCTCCGGTTTCCTCCCACTGCTAAAGACCCCTACGCCCAAGCAAATTATTGAAATAAAATTGAACCATATGTTAGTCCCGAAAAGACCTAGTTTGTGTCGAGTGGACGTTAAACCCCATTTCTCTCTCTCACACAACAAAATGTGTTTTACTTATAAAGGGTATGCATAAATTAATCATAAACAACAAATGCTGTCCAGTTTAGTTGGGTATACTTTGAATTTTATTTGACTTCCATTTCCCATGATTGTTACTACAAACAAGCTGTGCATTTGCTATAATAGTCTTTGATATGAATGCTTTCTTGGGTGTATTCACTTTCACGTTCAGCCACATGTTTACAGACAAGCAATTATGAAGTAAGCATAGGATTTTTTTACCCTGATAACTTTACAGGCAGTCTGAATTTGCTAATTAAAGCATAAGTAAGGTATACTACTGGTTCTGCATTGTAGAAGCTATTTTAGAAGATAATGTATAAATATAAAGAATTTGCAATAGCTGGACTTCACTTTTAATAATCATATATTCATAAAAATAGAACTTATTAAACCTTTTGCATGATGATTCAATTTTAATGTAAGATATTAATTTTTAACAGGTTACTTGGAAGTGCTTTAGAGGTACTAGATGGAGCATTTGCCACTACCAAGACAGTGGAAGAAAAGGTAAGTATTTTTATAATAATCTATTTGTATAACATTGTACCTCCAGTTTCACTGTTCAAGATATTAGTATTGAAATAAAGTTTTCAAAATCATATTACTACCTAAATGTAGGTAATGTCTATCGTAACATGATCTGTCTGTTTAACTTTATTTTATTTATGACTTTTCATTATTTAGGATCCAAGCAGAGAAAAGGCTTTAGAAGTAGCTACAAGTTTGTTGACATTACCAACGCCCAACACAGTTCAACAAAACACTAAATCATTATTATCTTCATTATTCTCTAATAAACAAAATTATCATAATCATAAGGTTAGTATGGTTATCAGGTTTATATTTGTAAAGTGTAAGAAACGTAATGAAATGTGGTTTAGCGTCCTACTTTTCCACAACTACCGGGCTAATGAAGACAAGCAGATGCCATACAGTTTTTTATGACGAAAATCTTGTCAGGACAGCGACACTGCTTTCTACTCTTTATTTTGATTTCCAACTGTCAAGGGTTCTTTTGCATGCACACAAATCTGTACACAGGACCATAGATTTTCATATCATCCAAACAATTAGACATTGTTCCTTGTCAGGCCCTCCATATTATACAACTGACAAGGGGAAACCATGTAAATATGTCATGGTTTAAATGCCCATTGAAATAGATTTATTCCTTTTATTTTGAATAGGATCAAGCCCAACTAGTGCATGTAATGCAGAAATTAAGTAAAGAAGGAACAGATATGGATGTAGAATCATTTCAGAGATTAGTTGTAACAGCTCAATCTGTAGCTGTATCTCGAGCTGGAAATCTGATTAAATTTGCTGAGAAAGGAGATAAACTAACTGGTGAAAGTGAGTATTTAATTAACTTGCCAAAAAGAATTTGAAGGATTTCATGATGTATTTAAAAAAGTATTCTGTGAATATTAGGAATTAAATGCCTGAATTGAAATAGATTACTTAGTTTAAATGATTTATTCTGTTACTCTATTTCTCATTATTGATTTATAGAAACATCCAATTTGAAAGAAAAAAAATTCAGTTTTTTTCAAAACAATTCTAAATTACAGTAAAGAGTATGATAATATTGTGCTGCAAAATAATTGTGAACGATCTTTGATGTACCATATTAAATGTGTGAAGATGTAACTATTTAAAGTCAACATGGAGTCCAATTAGCTAACCATCAATGCCATATTTCATCAAAGGGGCCTCAGTGATTATGTGGTAAAGACACTAGATTCATCACCAGAATTGCCCATGTTTGAATCCTGTGAATAACCTTTCAGTTTTGCTGGCCCAATCTGCCTTTGTCACAACAGATATTGATAGTGTATATCTAGTCATTCCGGTTTAAAAAAGAAATTCCACGTACAAATTGGTATTGTATGTATAAGACTAGTCGGTAATGCCACTATCCAGGCAAAATTCTCTTATTCACATTGCAAATGTAAGCAGAGAATTTTGGAAGTAAAGTTTTGTATTAATGTCCTTGAATCAGTAGTTATATTTATATTTTAGATTTAGAAGTGACAGATCTAGACAGTGAGAAAGAAGAGAAACTTGGTCGTGTATTAAACATTGAACAAACAGAAAAACATCATTTTACATCACGATTAATAGAAGCTTTCTGGAAACTACACGCTGCTAAACCAGCGAATCCTATGTTAGCACCAGTCTGTCTACCAGGTAATTATTATCATACATTTAAACATTATTGGTAATTATTGTAGGTAATTATTATGACACATCTAAACAATATGTCTTCAACAAAATATAGATAAATTATTGATGTCTTGGGAGCAACGATTGCTCAGTATGTAAGACACTTACTAACCAGATCTCAGGTTTGGTCCTGATGCTGGCCTAAAAAGTACTTAGGGAATTTCCTGGGCTGATTGGACGGCCCAGAAAAGCACTATCGATAGTGGTGGGTTACTATCGATTATCGCTCTTCGTTTATTTTTCTTGCGTTTGAAATGTCAATGTTTTCTTTCAGTTAATCATAATACACCGCTCACTTTAATTACTATCAAGTATCAATGTAACACATAACAAAATTGTGACTGCTTATTGAACAGCCGTTTTCATAAATTCACTCTCATTGAAACGTTACTTTAGTTTTGAAGAAATTATTGTTGAATATCGCTAAATCGGAGATACCAGGATGCGTAAATAAAGTTAGAGTTATTTCCCTTTGAAAGCTTCAGAATTCGTCTGCCATATTGATATTTTCGCGCGCACGTACGCAATGTTTTGAATCGGAAAAAGTTCATTTTGGTCCCTTAACATAATTATTTACGATATTTCTTCATTCGGAACCACGGCTGCATTATTTTAATAATAAACAACATCAATTTACATGTACGTATATATACGTGATATAACAAGTTTTATTAATGTTTTCCAAATAAATCTCCTTAGACAGGAGCAAACGATCTTTCGCAACTTCGTATGGTTTTGAACTTTGAACTTACACTGTATCCAGTCTTGATGACGACCGTGAAAATAAGTTTGTTTTCAATACTATCGATTATCGACCGACATTTCATTGCCGATTATCGATAGTAAAAATCACTATCGATACCCAGCCCTAACGCTGTATGGTGCAGAAAATAAAGAAGTTAAACCCTATTCATTTAATTTAATATTGATGTCTTGGATTTGAAAGATTTTGAAAATCAAATTGCTATATAAAAAATTTTAAAAATAGATTTTTGTTTTGTTTTCAGGATTGGCCCATATAGATGCTACTGTTGCCGCTTTAGTCAAGATTATCCACGCCTTTACAATGTGTGATTTGGACTGTCTTAACTTAGCTACTAAACATTATGTCAAACTTTTATTATCAACTGTAAGTATCAAATAAGCGTAAAGTTATTGGATTTTGTAATAACTTTAAGCTATCATAGTTAACTGCTTAAAGCAATTATTAACATCTTTCATTTGATATTTGTATAAGTGTAACTGTAAATAAATTTCAATCCATCAAACACAATTTTGTGGTTTCTAACTGAAGATATTTTGTGTATTTTAGGACCCTGTTGTTAGTTTTGCTTGTCGTCAAGCAATGATAAATGTCTTACGACCTAGACATCGCAGACGCCGTGTGTTTATACCATCACCCCCAAGATGTAGTTCACCAGGTATATTATAGCTACTATCAGATATACGTTTTGTATGAGAAATGAAAGAAATTATTCAGATAATAATCAATTGTGGAGTTGCACTCTGCATGAAAATATAACATCAGTACTGCTTTGGCATTTATTAAACAGAATTAAGAATTTTTTTGGGCTGTTGTTATACATTTGTTGCACGTAAAAGAACCCTTGACAGTTGGAATTCGAAATAAGAGTAGGCCATAGTGTTGCTGTCTAGGCAAAATTTCCCTTTTAGCACAATGTCTTCATTAGCACAGTCGGAGCAGAAAAGTAGGACATTAAACCCCATTTCATTGTATGTATTCATTTGTGTACAACCATGGCAGCTCAGAGTATGGTGCTAACTTACCATAATGCATGTGTTGGCCATGACAATTCCTCAGGATTATTCTGCCTGGATTCCCCTTGTCAGTGATGCAGAACATAGGGCCTTGCAAGGAAAAAGATCTAGTTTTTTGGATGGTATGGAAAACTGGGGTTCAGCTGTGTACTTGTTGATGTGTACATGAAAGAAAACCATTGACAGTTGTTCTGTGATGATAATTAGATGGTGAAACTGCTGTCTAGGCACTGCATGCTCATCTTCATAAGTCTGGTTGTTGCAATAGATTTTGATGTTTGTTAAACCCCATTTCATTTCTGTACCCACTTATGTGCATTAATTTGTTTGATTTTGAATAAATGTAAAATAGTTCAAAGTAAATGTTATATAATAGGTGATGGAGGTGATGACGATGATGATGAAGATGATGATGATAGTCCAGGTAAAGGTGACACACCAGATACACCTATGACAGAACAACCAGAATTAGGACATGTAGAACCACCAGAAATTGATCCAGAGTCGGATGAAATGTATGAAGTTGTGGTGAGTAGATCAGTATACCAGCTCTCTGATTACTCATTTTGCCTGGTCTCTCAATCATAATATACCATTCAAAGAAAGCAGGGGACTATTAAAATGGGTCTGTCCGTCAGTCTGTCTGTCCGTCCGTCACACTTTTTGGGACACAATAACTCTCCTTCTAATTGAGCTAGAATGTAAGCAGAGATAAGCAATTTGATTGGTTGATGCTTTGGAACACAATAACTTGAGTTCTGATTGGTCAAGACTTTGGAACATAACAACTCTGCTTTTAAACATGCATTATGCAAGAGCTAAATCTGATTATTGCAAGTCTTAATTTAGGCTTCAGATGTTATAGAAATTATAAATTAGATCTTTATTTAAACAACAAGACCAAAATCAACTCTGTAGACCCACGGATGGCTCGGCTACAGCTCGAATTTAAATAGGATTTCACTAATTGATTAAATCAGATAAGGGGTAACCTGATGAAAATACGTCAGTTAGATCGAGGCTAAATGATAGAGTGTACTTAGCGAGGCCGCTGTAAAGCGTTTCCGTATGCCATTGAAAACTTTACTTGATAATCGATATATGTAGGTGGAGTTAACGCCTGTCAATCAAACGTTCGGCGAAGGTGAAGACACATTTCGCTACCATTTCTAGGCAAATATTACAACAATGTTCAGAATAAAGTAATTTGACTGAATTTTTCAATATATTCTTCTTTCATCATCTACTTTTGAACTGTTATAGCAAGAATGGCCAACTCTCTATAAATATCTCCCATAATGTATCTTTAATTGAGGTAGAATGTTTAAACTTGATGTTGATGTTCATTAGGTGAATGTCTTGACTGAGTTCAATGATTTACATTTCCCGCTAAACCTAAGCAAAGCGAAGCAATTTCTTTAGCTTTGATTCTATCTGATAGAGCGTGATGAAACTTAGTGTATAGTTGATAATCAGTTTGATTGCTCAATACTTTTGAAAAAGATAAATGTGCAATTAATTAATATGTGTCATCTATTTATTTTTGGATTTCATCTGGGGACATCAGCCTCACTGTTGACTTGTCAAGCATGGGGGTGGGGGAAAATGATTGACGCGTTGGATCAGAAGGTCTGGCATTGAATCAAATGGCGTGGTTTCAATGTGGGTTTTCTTTGGGTCCCTCCGGTTTCCACTCACTGCTAAAAACCCTTACGCACAAGTGAATTATTGAAATAAAATTGAACCATATGTTAGTCCCGAAATTCAAGCATCTGCAACATCCTTTTTTTACAACAATTATTTTCTATTTAATATCCACAATGGATCCTTAATGATATGTTCCTTCAAAGTTACATAAGTCATGTACTGAATACTTATTTTCAACTAAAAGTATAATATTTTTTATGACCTAGAAAAATTAAATTATTCACTGAAAAAATGATTAATAAGCTCACAATAAATAGAATAAGAACGAAATCATTAAATGTCAACAGCAAGTTGGATAGATGAGTCATGTAGCTTCTATACACATATTTTGAGTCATTTTGACTATTGCTAAATTCTTTTAATGGCTTTTAGATATGGTTTCCAATTCCTATCTTGCAAAATATCATGTTTTTAGTAACCAATATGTTTTTCTCTGTAGTTTGAATATCTTTTCCATTCAATGGTTGTGTATTTAGTTTAGGCTTTTGATTGTCGAGGATACCATATGTCTTTAAATGTGAAATTAATGGCTTGTATGTAACAGTGTTTTAATTCTGTATATAATAGTGTTTTGTTTCTGTATATAACAATGTTTTGTTTCAGTGTATATTAATGATTGTAATATTTGTAGGATAATAATGAGGAGGTACAAGCAGAGGCTAATGTGAATGGAGCACATGGTAATGCTATGCCTGTAGGATATGATGGTTTATGGGGTATGGATGGTAATTATGCTCCTATGGTTGAGATACCACCTGATGCTGATGATGAAGCTATGGTTGAACTAGCCATAGCACTTAGTTTACAAGATCAGGTAAGACATTTTGAAATAGAACAACAAGCTGTTATCACTTTTTCACCTCTTAAAGGATAAGCTTTTAAAAATGTTCACTACCCTTAGTGGAGAAAATGCTTTAAAGTAGTGATGGTCTGTTATGACTGTGAAATATATCGGCCGATACAGATACAATTACCAATAGTGGTGGATATAAAACTATTACACATTAAAATGTCTCGAATGGCATGATAATCTATGTAGATATATATCACTGTTATTTGGAAAACGCATGGTAGTATTTTACCTCGGGAATCGAACACGAAAGGCTGTGTTTTTAAGGTAATAAAATTGGGTCACGCTTCCTACGCAATCACAAATACAGTCTATCTATTATGATCTTGATTATTTGCTGTATCATTAATGAATAAAGTCGAGATTATCATATTTTAAGTGTTGATTACAATATGATTGAGGCCTTTTGTATAATATAATATATATTGAATCTGTGTTTTAGTCTGGTAATGCACCAGGAGAACTCAACCTTCAAGCTCTAAGTTTAGATAGCCAGGGTCAGGTAAGCCTGTGTAATATTTACTGTGCCAATGGATCTTTTCTTGACAAGGACTCAATGTTTCCTGCCATAAATCTGCCCTTGAATATTTTACCATATTTATGACAAAAGCAGTAATATATATACTCATTTCTCTCCAATATTTAACATTTATATATTTATAATACTGTTATATTTACCTAGCTCTTGTTTATTGTCTTGTCTGTAGAGTATATCATCTATGGAGTTAGAAGAAGGACCATTATCAGATACTACGGCCTCAGCACCAGGTAGTGATGATGAGATAGGTAGTAATGCTGCAACAGATGGTTCTAATCTACGGACATCACCGGCAGAACATGGTGGTAGTGCTGGTTCCGAAAGTGGTGGCAGTGCTGTTGACTCTATCTCAGGTATTTAGCTTAGTTCAGCTCAAAACATGCTTAATGTCTACACGGACATATTATTGACTTGTATGAGCTGATCCACATATATTTTGATGAATAAAACTGGTTATTTCTCTGTGAAATGCTTTGATGCTAGTCATGTTTTACTATTTGAAGTTCTGTCATAGTTTTTCAAAGAAATATATATAAATGGTCAGTTTGACTTTAATTCTAAACAGGTTTACAAACAGACAGCGAGAGTATTGTGTAGATAATCTGGTCTATAAGTACTATATGTATACAAACCAGTGATTGTTTTACTTATAAATTGTGTTGTGTATAAGCCTTAGAATGGTAGTCACATTTATCAAATCACATATTGAATATAAGCACCAGCCATAATTCGTTATCAAATTTTTGTAATCCCTGTGAAACAGTTTTGGTTAGCAATCATTTCTGATTAGATTATTTCTTTATATTTTGGTATTTGATGTAAACCTATGTGTATCAACTGATACCCGGTGAAATTTGTGCATGCTGCTTTTAATGTTGATATAAGGTACGTTAGTAAGAAAGTTATTTATATTATTATAGTAAGTGGCAGAAGTAGTGCGTATGGTTATAATACACATACAACAGGTGCTAGAAGTGAAACGAGTAGTGTTGGTGGACCTAGTGGTTCTCTACATCATGAAGGTGATTTATCAGAAGCAGACACAGATTATGATACTAACTGCAGGTAAATAATAATTCATATTGATTAAAGTAGCCTAAAATGAAATGTACTGGGGTTTAACAAATCAGGCTAATAGCTTGAAGACAGGTATATACCAATGCAGTGTTCCATGGTAGACATGTTGCCTTTGCAGCAGCTTCATAGCCTACTCTTTTTTAGATTTCCAATTGACAGGAATCTTTAACATGCTGGCCGTGATGTATATGGTTTTCTGTCCCATCCAAATAACTAAATGCTTTTCGTTGCCAGGCCCTCCATCCTCCGAACCACCATGGCTCCCCAATTCTAGCACATTTTTTGCTCAAGTTTTAGTCAGATTAATGGATAAAATACTGCAGTTTCAACACCTACTTTATAGGTAAAAAAACTTAAAGATGCATTATGTAAGATTTAAATAAAAGAACTGGACATTCTTGTTATAATAGTTCAAAAATGAATAATGTAAAATGAATATATTGAAAATTTTGTTCAAATTACTTTATTCTAGGCATAGTTATGACTGCTTGAATATGTAACGTAGATCATCCTTTATCATAACAACAACACTTGACAATCAAGACTAAATCTCAATTATCCATTTTATCATTAAATTTTAAAATCTCAAAGGTATTCAAACCCTTTTAAATCACAACCATCCGATGGGCTAGAGAGTTGATTATCAGCTTGCCATGTGAATAAATGTATAGAATTTGAAGAGAGAAAAAAGACACACAATAGGCAGATTTATCTCTTACATAATGCATCTTTAATGCAAATAATTAGGTTGATTGTCAAGCATGAATATTAATTATTTCTATGAAATTATAAAATATGTGATTATATTTGTTAGATTACATGCACTACGTCTACAACTATTAGAAAGATTATTACAGTATTTACCTGACATAAGAGACGTTGGTGGAGTTAGAGCTATACCATTCATGCAGGTACGTAGTCAGTTTATTACACCACTAGGGGGATGTTTGATTGAAAGTTCCAGAATGAATTCTCTCAATCACTCTAAGATGACAATCCAGTAAGCCGTATTTATTTGGGTGGCAAGGCAGGAACCATCTGAATACAATATCTTCTATAGTCATAAAGACATGGATAGTTTTTTTTGTTAGATTATTGTACTAGCACTACATTTAAACTAATAGAACCGTGATGCAACTCAATTCTGTCTTGTCAAGTTATAATTCTGTCAATTCATAAAGATAAGTGTATTGTATTTATATATTGTAACAGGTGGTATTAATGTTGACATCAGACCTGGATAGTGAAGATGATAAAGATAAAGCGGCATTAGATAATCTATTAACTGTTATATTAGCCGAGTTAGATTTTAAAAATCTGGTAAGTGATGGTTTATTTTATATAAATCATACTGAACTTAACAAACAAATCAAATTGACATTTTTGTGCTCTCTGAGAAATCCAACTAAAGTGTGAATCAGTGGCAGAGAATATTGAATGAAACAACGTTGAGTGTAGACTCCTTGGAAATGTAACATTATCCTTATAGTTGTGACAATTATTGATGTAATAGACACAACTTGAATTCACAAAAATAAAGTTACTTAGTGATAATTGTCTGTCGACTTGAAGTGGAATGTTCAATGTTGGTTTACATGTTCGTTAAGTGAATGAGGAACATTTTCTGCTCAGTAGAGATGAGTGATTTGATTTGTCTATAATTTGTGATATAATCATCAATTTTTGATTCTAATTGCCTTAACGCAGTTCAATGGGCATTTTCTACTCATGGAAATAATCAGTATATTTTGGTTATATCAGTATATCCGCATCATTGTTTGTTTATCAAGTTATTTTAGAAAGTGATACAGATATTGAATTTGTTCATTATATTATTTTAGAAGGTGATACAGGTATCATCAAGAGGGGAGAGAAATGAAGTCAAGTTGATATTACTGAGATTATTGAGTGTGTTGTTATCAAGAACCAGAGCTGGTACTAAACCATCTAATGAAACTTCATCATTTACCAGTAATTGTACTGGTACAGCTCTGTTATCTAGTGGAGCAATAGAATACTGTTTATCCATTCTTACTAAATTATTACCATTCTGGAAAACAAACACCATTCTAGAGGTAAGTTGTATATAAATATTACATGTAAAAACAAAAACCATAGATATATCTGTATTAATATCATGTTTAACCCCCTAACATTTGGTACATGTAAATATTGACCAAACCAGAAAATTCATGAAAAGTGGTATATTAATACTGGTACATCCTGAAACCTTCCAAAACTGCTGTTGCTTAGAACACATCAAACCACCCAAGATATGTGAATAACCTTCTATATTATAGAACCATGCACTAGTTCCTGCAAACACCACAGCTGTGCACATGTCAGAAAGCTTTGCAGTGGTCTAAAGAACCCTAGTTAGGGTGGTTTGGGGTTGTCTAAAGGCTCAAAGATTAAGAGAAAAAAAGACATTTTTCTACAAAATAATTACAAAGAGAGAAATAAGCCAGTAAACAAACAAATTCTAAATCTGGCTAAACCTTTTAATGTATTTACCTTGCATGTGTATTTGCTATTTGACACTAATAACTAATTAGTTGATCAAACTTTTAACTACACTATACAGTGGACTCTGTCACATCCGATCTCTGATCACTCCAGATTGCTGTGACATCCGGTATGATTTTCATGTCCCGATATATTTCCTTATTACTTCAGCCAAAAAATCGCTGGTAAATCCGAATTCTGTATGTTCCGGATTCCGAAATCAATCAGCCGTCCCGTCACATAATTTCCATTTAATCGACACCGTATAATCCGTACTTCAAACGGTGGGTGTGAAGCATCCAATTATCGGTGAGATTAAAACACAATGGGTGTGAAGCCAGAAAAGATTAACAAGTAATCACCAATCAATTATCGGTGAGATTAAAACTCGAAAGAGCCGGTCTGTGTTGATTACTTTGATCGGTAAAGCACAAGCAGTTAACCCGAGATGTTTTAAGGGAGTGGACAAGATCAACCTGCCAGTCAATTGGTCGGCCAATCGCAAAGCTTGGATGACAGGTGCCGTTTACTTTGATTGGCTTGAAAAACTGGACATAGACAACAGATTATAAATGAACACGTAACAGAGTGGACAATTGACCGAAGACAGGGACGATGAAGAATATACATTAACGACAGACTTGACCTATTCAAAATTCCTACGCATTCTCAACGACATTAAACACTTCGCACAGATTAAGGGCGAAAAGATGATCGCAACAATTCATTTGTTAGAAGATGTTGCCCAGGACTCCGCCTTACGATATGCTTTCAGTAATCTTAAGCAAACTACTTTAAACGATTACATGCATTGATATTTATAATTATATTGTACGCATGCATTGATATTACATGTAAAAGATTTTATGAATATATTGTACGCATGCATTGTTATTGTTAATTATTTAATATAATAAAATTTTGAAAGAACAGAAAAGTTTATCATTTATAAGGGGAATAGCATTCTGGTGATTCAAAGCTACAATATAAAAATACTTCCGGTTTTTGAAGTTACAGTATTTCCGGTTTTGGAGAAAGCTCGGTATTCCCGAAACGCTGTGTGATCCGAATTATTGTAACGATCCCGTACGATGTCGGATGTGACAGAGTCCACTGTACAGTAAATTCTACTCTTAGAATACATTTTCTCAGTATTTACAGAACAAATGTAGCTCATGTAAAGTTTAGGGTTCATTAGAAATGAAATAAAACCAGGATTACATTACAATTTCAATGTTTACTCAAATATCACTTTGAAATGAATGTTGCCACCAAAATTGCTCAGAAAAGGGGAAAATGTTTGTTGATTTCTGCTACTGCTCTTTGATTCTGTAAATATTCATTTCTCTCTTTATCTGATTATTTACTTGTTTTTACAGGAGGAAGTAGGTACTTCTCCAGGGCAGCTATTAAAACCACACCCATGTTTTCCTCCACCAGACATGTCTCCGTTCTTCTTACGACAATATGTTAAAGGTCATGCTAATGATGTCTTTGAAGACTATCCGCAACTGCTAACAGAAATGGTTCTTAGACTACCATATCAAGTAGGAATATTTTGCTGAACTTTATATTGTAAAACAACTTGAAAATACTGTATTGATATATAATGTGGTATAATAAAAGTAATTTAATGTTTGAAGATTTTTTTCTGTTAAATATCATTGGATAATTCCCGAGCTAAATATTGAAATGCTTGTTTTTTATAGTTAAAGAAAATATCTGATTCTGATCAAAGAGTTCCTAATGCTGTGTTTGATCCCAGTTGGAATACTGTACTATCAGAGGTACTGATTATAACATAATTAAAACTCTTTACTTTGTGTGTGGGGGGTGGATGGCCAAATGGTTAGCATGTACGCGCTGTATCATAAGTCAACTGGCGTGGTTTCGATTCCCCGGTTGTTGGTGACAAGGAGTAGGGTTGCCTGTCCAACTTTGTGGGTTTTCTTCGGGTTCTCCAGTTTCCTCCCATTGCTAAAGACCCCTAAGTGCAAGTGAACTATTGAAATAAAATTAAACCATGTGTTATAGTCCCTAAATCACCTAGTTTGTTGCTGAGTGGACATTAAACTCTCTCTCTCTCTCTCTCTTTCTCTTTACTTTGTGTTTGACCTGATTATTTCATAGATTTACATGTTTTATATTCATCTGTTTAATCACCAAGTCACCCAACAACTGTCAACATCTGGACAAAAGGGGGTTAGAGTTATATATAGTTCAGATTTTACTATAATACACAATTAGTTTCATCTAATGCAAAGTAAATAGATGCTTTTATTTGCTTTCTTATCCAAATTATCTCTCAAAACTGTGCAAGTAATGTTTATGAAACCTTGTGCGCATATTATTTTTGTAGTTGTGCATTTTGTTAGTTAAAAATTTCTTATATTTGATAATTTCTGTGTTTACTTGGAAACAAAATCTCACTATATTTTTTATATTCAATGCCACAGGATGTTGATAAATGAGTCCTCTTGCTTCAATTTCAGTATATGATGACCCATCAGACACCCTTTGTAAAAAGACAAGTGAGAAAGTTATTACTGTTTATTTGTGGAAGTAAAGATAAATATAGACAGTTACGAGATCAACATGCTATAGGTTCTCATCTTAAAGCTGTTGTAGAGATATGTGAGAAAGGTGGATTAGATACTACTACAGATATTATACCTAGAAGTGTTATACTGCCATATGATACCCTTTTAACATTGGTAAGACATCTTTCTATACATAGAGTTATAGATAATACCAAAATATTAAGATTTATAAATCGAATATAAATTTTGATTTTCACTTCCGGTTTAAAAACTGAAATTAGATTGAATCAGCTTTCCACTTTACTAATGAAATAATACGTCCAATATAACATTCTATATAGAAATAACTGCTTTAATGTATTCTAAGAATTTATCTGAATATCAACTCTGTCATACTATTAATTAAGTTTATAACAATTTCAGATTGAGCACTTGAAAAAAGTATGTAGTGAAATTGCCTCTAATAGAGCCTATAATTGGCAGATATACTGTGAAAAGGAACAAGGTAATTTTTACATTTGATTAATAATGTACATTCTTAATTACTTACGTACGAAGACAGTTTTACTTGACAAGACAAGACAAGACTAGAGTAGATTATGCTAAAGTGTTGCCCCCTATGTTCCAGGGGCCTATCAAGAGTAAATGATGTACCTGAACTGTAGATGTAAGAAATGTGTAGACCCCAGGTGGGCAAAATCAAGTACATTATAATGTCCACATAAAAATTCATTGAAAATTCGATAAACAAGAGCATATCAAGATTTTATTCAGTTCTAATTTTAATATCTCTATTTTCAGATACTGTAGCGTTTTTGGTGAAAGCTAGTATAGCATTAGATGAAGGTGTAGCCCCTACACTACTACAGTTATTACAAATAGCACTGTGTGGATCTAAAGCTAATCATGTTAATCCCTCTATAGTAACATCTAGTAGTTCTACAGGTTCACCAGTTAAACATAAAACTAAAGACAAGGATAAACATGATGGTAGGATAATAGATCATTTATACCACAAATAACATTTTAATTATCTCAGAATACATTGGGATCCTCAATTGTTGGTCGGAAACATTTCAAATTAACGGAATTGCAACCAAATGACACTGAATTGAGCCTTGTCATGGCTCTGTCAGTCCCGAAAACAAATATGTGAGGAGAATCATGAGGAAATCAAGTGTTTCAACCAGTGATGGGATTTTGCCCGTATATTCCGGACTTGTCCGAATCTTTTTTCCAAACGCCCAAAATTGTCCGACCGGGAATATGCCCAATCGGACATCAAGACATGGTGAATAATATTCAAAATTCCGAAATTAATATAGTTTACTGAGTGTATAACTACCACTCAACCCGATTGTTTTCGATAATCCGCTGGGTTTAGTAGGTAATTAAGTGATCAACGTATTTATCGTGTTATACCGTCAATAGTATAAACCTACCTTGATTTAACTACTTAATCTGCCTTGATTGACTGACTTAATCCTTTGTCGGACAATTCATCAATCTAATCTTAAACAGAAGTCATTACTTTCCTTTTGCCGGACTATTCATCAATTCAATAAGAATGATTATAAACCTCGTGGTTTCTCATTTGTCGGGCATCTTAATCGCATTGATGTGAGCCGACATCATCTATAATAAACTAATCATAGATGTCACATATCGTAAGAGTAAATAACACCCTAAATCAATGGACAGTCATTTTGTCTACGATATCTTTTACGTCTTTTAAGAATCCATATAGAAATTCTCATCCACAGTGGCACTTTCCCTTGATCTCGAGCGCGGCACGAATATTGCTTAACATATTATTAGGCAGTGCTTACTATGAAGCCGTGTGATGAGTCACGTAGGCTATTAGTCTCTATTATCCAGAAAAATATTCTACGAATATGTTGAAGACTAGGAGTTTCTGGGTGACCGAGACTAGTATGCACCCAGCAAAATAACAAAAAAGGGAGGGGCTACCAATAGCTATATGAGCAGAAATTCTTACGTATTTGTAGGCATCAATCATTCTGCTGTGTTGCCTATGATGCCTGTCACTCTGTCGTGACTATCAAAGAGTGTTATTCGCTGAAGTTAGCTATGCCTGGTTACAAGTGATTTAACTATTTCGGAAGTTCTGCATTCATTTGCTGCCGTATAAACGAAGACACGTAATTCTAAAGGAATATTATGGTTGTGAATTTGATGCCGAAGCAGGATCGGCAAGCTTTCATTCACCATATCACGAAAATGCTTAATTTTGTAGGACATTTACTGACATAAATTTGAATGCCGTACGGGAATTAAGTGTGAAAAATAGCGAGGTCACCAATTTTTATTACGTACGGGATTTGAATATTTTGTTGACATGTGGTTTTTAATTGTGGTATGAATTGAATACTGTACAGGAATTAAATATGAAAAATAGCGAGGTCCACCTATTTTTAATACGTACGGGATTTGAATATTTTGACATGTGACTTTTAATTGTGGTACGAATTCGTCTGCTTAAATAACGATAAGAGTTATGCCCCTTTATTTTCTGTAAAATGTCCGACAAGTAAAATTTTGAAATCCCATCACTGGTTTCAACTATGGTGCTTAGTCAGGATAGTGTTCAGTTGGAGCATGCCTTTTTGTTCGAAATTTTCATGTTTATTCGATTGATACCTTTGGAAGAATTCGACTATCTTGACCGTCATGATTTCTGACAAACAGATCTTAAAATTTGTATATCTACTATTATATGGGATTTATTCCTCGAAATTTTATTAAAAATAACCAGTTATTTTCTGTTAGCAATACAACATATTAGATTTTAATGCAAATTTTGAGTTTATTTGAAAGTACTTACTGTTTGCAGATGGAGAAGAGAGTTATAAATATGATGAAGGATTGTGTATTAGATTGGTTAAACTGTTTAATAAAGTTCTAGATGAGAAATTATTTGTCAAGTTTGTGAGAACATTCTTATTAGAATCTAATCAAAGTAGTAATAGATGGTTAGCACATAGTCTAGTACTACAGTTATACAGGTTGGTTTTTCTTTATTAAATCTATCATTAAATCTACCATTATGGTTAAGTGCTCTAACATTTCTTATTATCTAGATAAGTGGGAACTCCATTTTTTATAGGCCCATCTTCCAACAAAATATGTGTATTTTGTCTAAAACTTGTATGTAGAATGCACAGCATTTTTCAGTACGGAATCTAATTTTCTAAACCCTACGGTTCTTACTTGGACTATTTTTGTCAGTTACTAACTGTATGGCATTGAAATTGTCCAGCTGAGAAGTGCAAACTCATGTCGTTAGGTTGAAATGAGGAGCCAAGTTACTTTATTGATATTATACATGCACATAAAAGATACCCATGGCAGTTGAAATGTGAAGGACAATGGATGAAAATCCTATCCCAGCCAATTTCTTACTTCACTTACTTGACAACAAAAATATCTTTTGTTATAATCGAAGTATCCAAGTTGATTTTTGAAGAAAAAAAAAAGACTTGGACATAAAACTGTTGAATAGTTTGTGTCAATGTAATTTTTTTCTCCAATATTTTCATTATTTTGTAGAAATTCTAGCCTGGCTGTACAAGAGAGTATGTTGAATCTGATGTGGGGATTATGGTCTGAGTTACCTATATATGGACGTAAAGCAGCTCAGTTTGTTGATCTGTTGGGATTCTTCCTTCTTAAAACACCAGAAATATCTGAAGCTAAGGTTTGTATCAATATATTAATTCCTTGATATTTTCCAACATACCTTTGCATTTAAAAGTTTTGCATGTTTTAGCAAAAGTACTGACTTTTTATTGTTGAAGTATGGATATTACCCTAAGTTTTAGTTCTTGATGAATTTTCACAAAAGTTAGATAGTAATCGTTATTTACAGTAAACATACCAGATTATATTGTGACAGACCATGAACCAACTGTTGGGCATGTTTTACCTTGCTTTAAGAAATGTTAAGTAAAATTGATATTATATAGCTGGCTTGTATATAATATACAGACAATTCTACTTACATATATGAACATTTTCCTATGTTTATGTATTATATGTGTATAATTAGGTACAAGAATATTTGATGAAAGCTACATCTGTATTAAAAGAAGAAAACCACATATTAACAAATCATCCTAATGCTCCTATTTACAAGTAAGTTTATTCTCAACATCTGATTTCTATAAATTTTATTCAAGATTATTATTTATGTTTTAAATATCTTACTATATATCCAAGAAATCAAATAATGTATGAATTCCTCCATCTGTAAATTTACATCAAATTCTTTTTTTATTATCACACTGATGAATAATGGTGTTGAACAAAGAGAAGAACACATTGGTAATAGTCTCACTGACAAGGTTGATATAACGCTCCAGTATTAATGAAAATAGAATAAATGAAATGAAATGAAATGGGGTTTAACGTTCTACTGTTCTGCTCCGACTGGCCTAATGAAGACGATATGCTTTGAGGGAAATTTTGCCTGGACAGTGTCGCTACGGACTACTCTTATATCAAATTCCAACTGCCTAGCCTCGTTTTTTGTCCCATCCGAATGACTATATGTTGCCCATTGCCAGGCCCTCAGTCCTGACCACCGACAAGAGAGAACCATGCTGGAAAATCCCAATGAACTTTCTCTGCCAATGCAGGAATCAAACACATAACCTCCAGGTTAGCGAGCTAATGTCTTACTCACTCAGCAACTGTGGCTCCAAAAGATTAAATAACCGTGTTTGTGAGGGGATAAACAAAAAACAATTAGAGGTTTTGTAGGTATGATACCCCACTTTGTATCATATATATATTTCAGTATGTTACAAGGACTAGTAGATTTTGATGGTTATTATTTAGAGAGTGATCCATGTTTAGTATGTAATAATCCAGAGGTTTCATACACTGTAAGTTTTTATTATATTAAAATAAGGTCACCTTATTTGAGGTACAATTTTATCTTGGGTCATTTGAATATCTTGTACCCCATTTATCAGGAAATTGATCAGTCTTAGTTATTGATTGTATTAATTGAATGGATAATATGTCACCATGGAAATCCAACCAGGGTTTTGGAATAGTATAAATAAAAAAGCCGGCCATGTGAGTTCAATCAGTCTGAAGAGTTCAATACGAACGAAACTAGTCACTGGCACCTGGGATAACCAGGTCTTCATATAGCCACTATTATCTCTTATACTATCTCGCTCTCTGCTTATGATTACCAGTCACCTCCCCCATTCCAATTTCCAAGGCATTTTAGTCCAAACCTTGATTGCCATACAATTAAACTATTTGGTACTAACCCGTACCTAAATATATTAAACCCCTTGGGTGCCTGTTTGAATTACACAGGATTAAACGTTCAAAAACCTCACTACATTATGGAATCAATGACTTGGGCACCACAACCCTTTTTTTTACTTTGAATGGATAATTGTATAAAATACATATTTTTAGGTACAATATAGGTATCAAGTACATTATACTTTACTTTCAGAGCCTCAAGTTATCAGCTATTAAAGTAGATTCAAAATTTACCACAACAACTCAAATTGTTAAACTAGTCGGTAGTCATACTATATCTAAAATAGCTCTACGTATTAGTGACTTAAAACGTACCAAAATGGTAAGTAACAACAAATTTCTGATGACATTGATTGTTAATCCTATTTTGTAAATTACACAAAACTTTACTTTGAATTATGTTTACTAAAAAGGATCTTTTAAAAGTTACTGGTATTGATTTGTCTGATACAAGTTGTGTAAATGTTTTTATACGCCCACATTTTCATGTGGACGTATATTGTCGTCGCCCCTGTCCGTCCGTCCACATTTAGTTTGTGGACTCTCTACAGGTCACAATTCTTGTCCGATTTTGACAAAACTTGAAATATAGGTTTATCTCCAAAAGATCTCGGCTGCTGTCGATATTAGCATGTATCAGATCGAAACTTCATGGATTATGGCCCCTGTTTGTACGAAAAATCACGTTTTTAGCTTGTGGACACTATAGAGGTCACAATTTTTTTTCGATTTCGTTGAAATTTGAAATGTAAGTTGATAACCCAAAGATCTCGGTTCCTTTCGATATTTTTAGCTTGTTCTCTATCCTTCTCTCGAAAATGTGTGCGTATCCTGCCTGGCAGTCGCTGATTAATATCATATTTATATAGATATGTATATGGAATACATACATTATACATACATGTATATTACAGGTACGAGTGATGAATATCTACTATAATAATAGAACTGTACAGGCTGTTGTTGAACTTAAAAACAGGTAAATATATATATATGTTTATTATTATTGTATTAGTTGTTTAAGGATACCATTGATTATTCTTTAATTTCATTTATTAGAACATTACACTGTCAGAAGAGTTGAGTCATTTTACAATATTTTCTGAAATGTTAATGAGTGGCTTGATAGTCCAAGCGATTAGTTACTATTATAACCTAGGAAAGTATATAGAAATTGCTGTCTAGACACCTTAGGATTACATTGAATTAAATTTATGGATGTACTGGAGGGTACATTTTATGGTTGATATAAAGACCTAAAATTGAAATTCAGCATTATATTCTCCAAAGATTAAGATGGATAACTGAAATTCTGGTTATCTGGATGTACTGCATAAGCTATCTGGTCAGATACTGGATAGTAAAGGTATTGATAATTCATTCAGGGGCCTGTTTCACAAAATTTTAACTAAGATAAAATCCAAATTTTAGTAATTTGATTGGATAGTATTAGGTTGATTTTAGTGCTTAGCCAATCAAAATTGAAGTATCTACTAAAATTTGGATTTTATCTTTAGTTAAAATTTCGTGAAACAGGCCCCAGATTCTCTAGGGAAATTTGGCAACTTATCGTCAACTGCATATGGAATCTAAAAGGTTATATTTCTGTGAAAAAGTGATATAGATCTAATGATAGTCTTTCACAAGGAACAAACACATTTTATTCCCTGAAATGTATCTGGGATTTCTCCTTTAAAAAGTTTTTTTGTTTTATATAATTCGTTCTCATATTTCCCATTATAGACCAGGATTGTGGCATAAAGCAAGAAAGGTAACTCTAACAACGGGACAGACAGATGTAAAGGTTGAGTTTCCTATACCTATAGTAGCTTGTAATCTGATGATAGAATATGCTGATTTCTATGATAATCTACAAGCTACATCAGAAACATTACAATGTCCACGATGTAGTGCCTCGGTACCAGCTAATCCTGGAGTATGTAGCAACTGTGGAGAAAATGTCTACCAATGTCATAAGTGCAGGTAAGATTTGTTCATTTGTTAAATAAATAAAATGCTATAGAAGATTGACATTCTTTAATTGATATATTGATATATATGTTAAAATATTGCTATGATCTTCTATGTATTTGCATGTACATTTACACACTGCAATTAACTTTCTGGGTTTTCACTGAAATCTCCAATTTCTTCTCATTTCTAAAGACTTCTTTGCAGTCACAAAATAATGTTGGCATATAGGGAAGGATAAACAATATTTCTTTGCATCCTGTTTAATGAAAGCTTGTACCAAAAAAATAAAATATGTTAAGTAATTATTTAGTATTTAGCCCTGTATTTTCTATGTTTACAGAGCTATTAACTATGATGAGAAGGATCCTTTCTTGTGTAATGCATGTGGTTTCTGTAAATATGCTAAGTTTGATTTTAATCTGACGGCTAAACCTTGCTGTGCAGTTGACCCAATAGAAAATGAAGATGATCGGAAAAAGGTAGTCTATTTATATTATGTTTTATTGTGATAGTAGCAGGCATATAATACTCCTTATTATTAAGATGATGGCATTATCTTTTTTCAGGATTTCGAAAAATGCTAAAAACAAAAAAGAAAATAAATCACATTGTAGCCGGAAAAATACAATTAAACACATTAATTTACATGTATTGATTTATATTATTGGAAATGTAGAAAAACATTATGAATGGAGTCTAATAATTGCTGGAGCCTACATGTATCTATGTTTCTTTATTATAGGCTATAACAACGATAAATACTCTGCTAGAGAAAGCTGATAGAATATATAAACAACTACAATCACATCGTCCAGTACTAGAAAATCTACTCATACAAGTTACAGAACATGGTTGTGAAAGACTTATGGTAATTATTTTTGATTTCCTTTAATTATATGATTCATAAACTATTGGTTTATTTGATCACATATATGGAAATGAACTGATGTCGGTCGCCATACTTGAGCAATGAAAATGATCACTTTGAGGTCCATGATATCTTTCACTGGCCATGAATTTAGCATACAATCAAGTTACAAAAACCATTATAAGAAACTGCTAATGTTGGAGCATGTGTGTGTAATGTTTATATTATTTTGTGTATGTATACAGGATGATGTAGGTACAATAGCAAGTGGAACCGGTGTACCAGCTAGTAATGTTAATAAAGCTATACAACATCTAGCACAGAAATACTGTGGAGAATGTAAATCATCATTTGATGAACTCAGTAAAATAATACAGGTAAATACTTTACACAAATCTGCATCATTGACCACCATCTATTCGTTACTTCAAGTTGGAACAACATGTTTTATGATTTGTTCTGATATTCCAATCAGACAAGTTCCAATTGAGGAAATTGGTTGCGTAATTCCATTGAAGAAATTGGAGAAATTGAATAAGAAAACATAATTTTATAGAGGTCTACTTTAGTTTTGATTAGATTTCTTTTTTATATGTGGAATGAGTCCTTACATTAATATGATATTAATTATACTATTGGACTCAACTACTTTGGGGAATTTCATGATAGCTTTAATTAGATATTTTCATAAACCATGTATGGTTTATATAATATTCTTGTAAAATATTATATATTGTATGTTTATATAGAAAGTGATGGCATGTCGTAGAGAACTGGTAGAATATGACAGACAACAGAGAGAAGCTGTAGCATCTAAAGGTCAAGCACCAGGAACATCAGTGAAATCTAAAGAAACACAAGCTCAAGTTGTCCCCAAGAAAATCCTCAAGGAAGGGTGAGTTGAAATAAAGATAGGTGTTAGTGTTGAGTCAGTGTTACAGATAATTATATAAGGGTAAGGAAGGATTCTATGGAATTGGGTTTCTTTCAGGTAAAAAAATCAATGTTATCACCTATGCTGCAATGATGTTGAAATAATATCTGGTCCATGAAATTGTTTTATAAAGACATGTTGTAAAGTTGTAGGATAGCTTCTGAATAGGCGAAAAAATCTTTTCTTTAATAATGGTTGATTTTTATGAAACTATCTATGATTAAGAGACAATGCAATACTTAAAAGTGTCAATTTATATACTTTGTTAACAGCAGCCATGGTAACAATTTTTTTTAAAAACAAATTGTGTAAATCGTAGGTATGTAGATTTCAGAAACTAATAACACATATTTTCAGAATTTATTAACATTAAGTACAATAAACAAAAACACTGTAAGACATCATCTTGGACTCAACTATTCCCAGCATATTGTTAGTCTCGTAGTCATATATGGGATTAAGTGTGGTATACACCATACTATAGAAAAAGAACAAGAACTATATAACAGAATGGCCTAAAATTGATTGATTAATAAATTTATTTTTCAGACCAAAATCATCTAACTGTTATGGATGTGCTAATGCTGCTGTAGAACATTGTATAACTTTACTTAGAGCTCTGGTTACCAATGGTAACATGAGACATATTCTTTGCAGTCAGGTATTTTATTATGTAATATGAGTTATATTTTGGTACAAGATTTGGATATCATTTTTCTTTCACATTTTTCTTAAATGTATAATAAATACTAAGTTGTGCCAGTACCCTGTCTTTTAAAAGTGGGTTATGTCAGTTGGTGTTGAATGGTCAAACACTTTGAGATGAGATCAGAGATATGTCACCCTGCAAATTGATTCCATGAATGTAGTTCCCCGGTTCACCATGGATGGCATGGATAGAAATTTATTGAATCTAAAAACCACATGTGAGATGTAAAGTAGAACTCTCGTGAGACGTGAGATATTGCAAGAGATGGCACATGAAAATTAAATAGATTATATTTTGATGGAATTTTCGAGCGTTTATGGTTATATTTTGAATAGGGGTTATGTTTTTTAGACAAAATTTATACATATGCCCGGTATATATAAATATAATTAGAAATGTCAACAAATATTTTTTTTTGAATACTGTATGTAGTTTTAGATGATAGTAAAAGTTTGAGCGTTTATGATTATATTTTGAATAGGGGTTATGTTTTTAAACAAAATTATACAAGCTATATATATTTAGAAATGTCGACAAATATTTTATTATTGGAATACTGTATGTACTGTAGTTATTGACGACAGTAGAAGTTTGACTTGACCGTACGACTACGAGTGCTATTATTTAGTGGACGATGTTTATTATCATTTATGTAACCAGAATGACCCCTTACATGCAGTTATTGATCTTCAGAACCATTTCCTATACATACAAATAATCACTCTCATTAATATCAGATCACTCTCCTTAATTTCTAAATCACTCTTCTTACCGAAACTGGGAGAGCTTTTTTAGGGGAGTGATTTTTTTCAATTTGTTCATTAAGGGCAGCTTTTTTCGGTTCTCCTCTACTTTTTAACTCAGCAAGCATGAAAATTTACTAAGTAAATATATATGTTAGTCCTGAAATGACAGTGGTGTTAAATTCCAGTCTAAATTGTTATTTCCTTTATTAATTAAAGGGAATGATTCAACAATTAATTGACTTTAATCTAAGACATGGAGCTCTACCAGTGAGAAATGAAGTACGATCTTTACTATGTCTGCTAACTAAAGATGACAGACGCAGTACTGAAGAGATGAATAAACTTATCATGAATAGAATTAAAGCAGCCATTAGAGGACATCAGTCAAATCCAGATCTGGTATGTATAAGCTTACACAATGTTTCATTCTGTTATTTCTTAAAACAGAACTTGTTTTTTTATTTTTTGATTAAAGTGAAGTGAATTTAATTAGATTTATGATACTCTAAATGTTTAAACATATTTATAGGGATCGTCAGTACGTCACGAGATATTATTATTATCAACATCACTACAACAAGATGATATTTGTTGGGAACAAAGAGTTAGATGTGGTTAGTATTAGTTTTATAGTTAAATTATATACAATAGATATAGTGAACTGAACCCTGTGGGGTAAATTCTGTGTGGAAAACTTTTAGAAATCTTTAAAATATAGATGTGATGTCATCCTTTGATGTTAGCATACATTGTTTTATACTACATGAAATATTGGACTCGCGTTATGATTGTATTTAAATGAATATGTGGGATGGTGTCTGCATTTTAAGTTGTTTAATGGTTTCGAGCAAGACATTGTGTAATATATATGAAAAATCTCGGACTAGCTCTCGGCCTCGATTATTAAACCACACTTAATTAACCTAGCCCTACACAACTATCTGAAGGTTCCATATGATGAATGCAATAAGCATACAAATAATAGGCTAGAAATTAGACATTGTTGAATCCACGGTTTTTGAAGCTTTTTGAGATAAATGATACTTTATTATTACTAATTTTGTTATGTGTTATATTTTGTAGTGATGAGACTGTTTCTGATAGGAATGCATCTACATAGCCCTATTATAATGGATAATATAACTCTACCATGTCTCCGTATTCTACAAGGTTTAGTTAAACAAGATACTTCTCAAAAGAAGGCTAAGGTAAACAAATGTTTATTTCTTGTTGAATGACAGTTTCTATTTCTATATACAAATGACAATGTAGAACTAGTAGAAATGGTAAATCATATTTATATGGTAATGAAATATTTCTAGGATTCTGGAAGTGATGGTGGAACAGAGAATTTGTTACCAGCTAAATTCCACATGGATGTAAGAAAATGGCTGGCCGGTGATGTCAGATATTCCTACCAAAACTTTAAGAAACATTTGCCAAGAAAAGGTAAGTAACCACTAAACTATAACACATACTTATGGAAGAACCATAACTATTTTATTTGGGTGACAATTTGAAGAAGAGTATCCTCTGAACATTTTTAAGCTGACAAGACCTCCCAATAGAGGACACTACAACATCTTCATGTTGATGACTGATAATCATTTAGAGGCATTTAGTAACTGAGTAGAGCAATAAACTATAACACATACTTATGGAAGAAATCACTTTATACTATATGAAACATACAGATATACTAAATTCATTGCATTCTATTTGTGGATGAAGAAGGATAAATATATTCAAGACACTATACCTCAATTAATTTCTATATTCCTGATATAGTTTCAGTAGAAGAAGAAAAGAAAAGTGAAGAAAAGAAGGAGATAAGAAAGAGATATTTGATTGAGAAATATGGTACAAGATGGCGACAGAAGATGTGGAAGACACCTGCTATACCGCTGAAACTGACACAATCAACATGGCTGCAACAAGCAATGTTTTCACCAAGTTCCCGTTCAGCACGACAAACTGCTTGTAGTATTATAGAAGCTATTGCACAAGTACCAAGCAGACGGAAAGAGGTCATTGACATGTTGACAAGGTCAGTAATCATGTAATTTCACGTTTGCTTGAGTCTCAGAAAATATAAGTCATTAGTAGTTTTCATTTAATTTTTTTATTATTATTTTTTTTATGTTAAGATCAATCACATAGCTTAAAATTCAGACTGCAAGACATTTAACCTTGGTTCCTCAGACAATTCTGTGCGACTGCACAGTTTATTGAAAAAAAACATTTATTTTGATTATCCAGATATTTAGATGATGTTGGTAAAAGTGGTGAAAGTGCTTGTGAGTTTTTATCTCTATATAAGAAATTGATCGGACCTGATCACTGGAAATATTACCTAGCTATTAAAGGTGTTCTACTGCATCTTGGAGATCTTGTTTCTAAGGTTGGTCTTCATATTTATGGTATTTTATTTAACAAATCCTAACATGAAATTGAAGTGATTTTAAGTTTATGAGCGACATAATGCACAAGTAGTATGGATCCAGGAATTTCAATAAGTTTGATTGCAAAATGAAAATGTTGACAGGGGAGAAAAGCAGTAATTGTGCCCAGCTTAAACTCCCACATTTAATGATTGATTGACTTGAAATTAGAGTTAGAGTTAATAATATTTGGTAATATTTTGATTTATTTATAATTATTATTTTGTTTTTGTATAGGAAGTAGATAAGATATTACTTCTAGAAGATACAACTCTAAGTTCAGATTTAGCTCAAGGTTTTGCTCTTAAATCTCTCACAGGTAGGTAGTACTTATAGCAAATAGGAGTTTTCAGTAAAGATACAAGTCAATATGTAAATAATATACTCTATTAAAAAGTAGGGTACATTTCTTTAAAATATTATAGAACATGCATACTGTACAGTTGATGTAGTTAAATCAAGGGGAATCTATATAAACTCTGTGGAAAATGACTATGTTATATTTGACTGGGTACATTGCCTTCTATATATATACATTATATTGTGGTGTCTGAAGTGGTCATGGCATTGGATTCTTGACTCCTGACAGAATGTTCGGGTTGTTGGAGTGGAATACAAACTAACCAGAGTATTGTGTTGTATTTGTTTATTTGTATATTTTCAGAGTTAATGTCCTTGTTTGTAGAACAGGATAGTTTAAAACATCATTATAAGAATAAATTAGTTGGTTATATATTAAATGGTTATCTTTCATTGAGAAAACTGGTAGTACAGAGAACTAAACTAATTGATGAAACACAGGAAAAACTCTTAGAATTGTTAGAAGAATTAACAACAGGTTAGTATCCAAAACTAGTAATAAAATAAAAATCACCGCCAAAAAATGACAATAGTGTTTTGTACCAAAGTATTGGAAAAAGTTTACTGACAAGAAAAGATATATTATAGTTATGCATATTCTACACATCATGTAAAAAAATTAAATGTTTTCATAAAAATATGACAAAATGATTGAAATTTTGACAACGTGGTGTAATACCAGCATGGAGAAACTATAGCTTACACTGATTAAACCATAAAAAGACACTCACAAGAATAAATTTGTGATAGAGAGATATGTCATGTAACTCATCACAAATTCAGTTTTATGAAAATCATGGAAGTTGCCCATACATGTCTAACAAAGCATCTTTTCTCAGTAACGAGCATGATGCAATCACAAACATGACCAAAATTAAATAAACTTACCGACATGAAGCAATACAAGAAAGATCTATATATGCTACTTATATTATTAAAAAAGGTTACTCTTGGATAAATATTAAATAAAAACTGGTTGCATTATGAAGAGTTCAGTTACCTTAAATCAATTTTGTATACTGGGGGTCAAAATGTTTTTATGAAATCTTTTATATTTTAGATAGGGTGACTGTTACACACTTTATATGTCCCTTCCTTAAGAGTTTTGCCTTTCTGTCCAGATTTGAATTCCACTCCATAACTTTCAGAATATTGGGGCATACATTCTTCAGTTTTGTTACTGTTGTGGGTCTTTAATTTGTATTAATATTAAATATATGTTATATTGATAGGTACTGATTGTGAAACTAAAGAGTTTATGTCTGTATGTGTTAAAACAGTGGAGAAATATCCAATGGAAGACAGTCGATCACCTGTATTTATATTTGAGAGATTGTGTAGTATTATTTATCCTGTAAGTAATGTTATTCTTTGTTATAGTCCACACTGTTATTATTATCACAAAATATTATATAGCATAGTGCTGTCTTCCCCAAAGTGCTTCGATGCACTTTACATACAAGTAAATGTAGACAGAATATCTGATTGAATGACAGTTGATAGAGAGTACTAATTGCTATAGATCAGATTAAAAAGTAAGTGATCACAGAATCATAACATGAAAATATAAATTCTACAAAATTAGGAGTAAAGGTATATATAAAGATCTAAAAGTAAGTGATCACAAATCCATAACATGCAAATATAAATCCTACAAAATTAGAAGTAAAGGTATATCGGTATATGTATAAAGATGTAAAAGTAAGTGATCTTGGATCCACAACAAGAAATTATAAATCCTAAAAAATAAGGATTAAAGGTATATGTATAAAGACTCTGCAGATACAAATCATTTATTAGTATAATAATATACAGCTAGCAAATTAATAACAAAAAATGCTTATATACAATTTATATATTTTGATTAATGATAATCTATTAATTAATTCTACAATTTTGATTACAACACATACAACAAACACACAGTTACTTGATTTAAAGATCCTTTATAACTTCATACCGAATCATAACAAATCCCATTACATTCTAGCAATTTAAGAATAAACTGAGTTTGATATTATATATTATCAACCATACAAAAACAGAAGTTTTAATTTTAGAAATTTAAATACACATTACCTATCTAGTACAAACAAAAGTAATTACACTAATTACATCTTATATTTCACGATTGCTTTAATTAAAATAACTGTTCTGTAGTTTAAATTTATTGATTATTATTTATATGTTAATTGCCTGCCATGACAAATATCTCTCTTAAAATGTACACATTACAGTCCACGAATCATCAGAAATATTGCAATGTAATGATATAATGATTTGATTATTACAGGAAGAGAATGATGTTGGTGAATTTTTCCTAATATTAGAGAAAGATCCACAACAGGAAGATTTTCTACAAGGTAGAATGTTGGGTAATCCATACAGTACAAATGAACCAGGACTAGGTCCACTAATGAGAGATATCAAAAACAAAATTTGTCAAGGTATGTTAAAAAATTTGACCATCAGTTAAAAATTTTTAAATATAAATGTGATACTTCTTCGAAATACATATCATATATTGGGGACAAATATTAATGACAAAAGTTGACTTGTTATATTTTTATGTTATTACTGTCAAATAATTCTTTTTAATCTTTTTATATTATTTTGTAGATTGTGAATTGATTGCCTTATTAGATGATGACACAGGAATGGAGGTAAGATGATATTTCAACTACTTTTTTAATAATGTTGTCTACATTTCTTCTTAAGAAGTAAATCTTAAGTAATATTGTGTAAAAAATTAAGAAATATTTTAAATGTATGTACCCATAGTTATTGTATTGATTATGCCCATCTTCATTAGCCCAGTCGGAGCAGAACAGTAAGAGATTAAATCCCATTTTATTCCATTTATTAATTGTGTATTTTCTAGTTATTGGTTAATAAGAAAATCATAAGTCTAGATTTACCAGTGAAAGAAGTATACAAAAAGATATGGCTACCAGATCATGGAGAGGTTAGTACAGTCATATATACTTTGGTGTAATCAGTCTTTTATTTGTTAAATATAGTTACTTTTATGTATTTTTTTGCACAAAGTATTAAAATAATATTTTAGTTGTTGGTTGGAGACTAACTTTGATTATTGTTGTTACAGGGAGAACCAATGCCTATAATATATCGCATGAGAGGTCTTCTAGGAGATGCAACAGAAGATATGGTTAACTCACTTGTGTCTAGTTCAGGTAGGCTCACTTGTGTCTAGTTCAGGTAGGCTCATCTTTCTTATCAACATAACTTTATTAAACTTGCACAAAGTATAGATTTTTGATGTCTATAGTAATATGGCGTGTTAAAAAATTGATTTCCACTAACATAATGTTATATTTCTCTCTTCAGAAGAAGATATTGATAAGGAGGAAGTTTTTAAGATGGCTGCCGTTTTAGCTGAATGTGGAGGACTAAAGGTCATGCTAGAAAGGTATGATTTATTAGTTATAAAAGTTTCGCATACAGAATTTGAAAAAATTTTGGTATTCAACCAGTGTTTGTTTGCAATGAATAAGGCTAGTATTCGGCCTGAAACAAAAATTAGGCCTGATGTTTTTTTTTTGTCCCCCGCCTTTCGAAGAAAGCAGAAAATTAGGGTAAGCAATTTGATTGGTTGATGCATTGGGACACGATAACTTTAGTTCTAATTAAGTGAAGAGTGAGGACACTTGGTGTATAGCTTTATTACATCAATACCTTGACTAAGTTCGATAATGAAAATATTCTGCTGAGGGTGAGCAGAGCGGTAAGCAATTTGACGGGTCGAGACTTTGGAACACAATAACTCTCCTTCTAATTGAGATAGAATGTAGGTGTTCATTAGGTGAATGCCTTGATGGAGTTCAATGATGAACATGGTCTGCTCACGGTAAGCAGAGATAAGCAATCTGATTGATTGATGCTTTGGGGCACGATAACTTTGGTTATAATGAAGTGAGAGCGACGAAACTCAGAATATAGATTCATTATATCATTTCCTTGACTAAGTTCGATTTGGTACATAACAACTCTGCTTTTAATTGAGGTAGAATGGTTAAACTTGATGTAGATGTTCATTAGGTGAATATCTTGGCTGAGTTCAATGATTAACTTTTCGAGCTGAAGCTAAGCAGAACTAATCAATGTCATTGGTCGATGCTTTGAGACAAGATAATCTTGATTTTATCTGGTAGAGAGGAATAAACTTAGTGTGTAGGTTGATTGCTCGATACTTTTGAAAAAAATAAATGTGCGATTAATTAATGTCATCTATTTATTTTGGAATTTCGGCGGGGACATCAGCCTCGCATTTGGCTTGTCTTCTTAGATTTAGACATAGATTAAGATCTGGGCACACCAGGGCTTATTTGTCACTGACAGCCTAATTTCTAATCAGTAACATTTTATAAGGCAAAGAATACAGTGGGCACAGTCACCTTCTTTGTTATGGCAGTTTTATTTAACACCCATACACTAAATATAGTGAAATCCTTGGAAGGCCTAAACAAAATATGCTAATATCAAATGATGAATTTTTGTTACAGAATGGCGTCTATAAAAGATCTAGTATTAGGTAAACAACTGATGGAAGTTCTGTTGAAGTTATTTGGTTATGCTGTAAATGTAAAGGCTAACAGACAGGAATTAATAAAAACAGAATTAGATGGAATCAATATCATGTTAGGAGCACTAAATCTCGTATGTTTATACATTAATATTTATCTTTTTTATATGCCCACATTTTCATGTCGACGTATATTGTCGTCGCCCCTGTCCATCTGGCCGTTCATCTGCCATCCACAATTTATTTGTGGACACTCTTCTACAGGTCACACTTTTTATCCGATTTTGACGAAACTTGAAATATAGGTTTATCGATATTGGCATGTATCGGACAGTAACTTCATGGATTATGGCTTATGGACACTCTAGAGATCACAATTTTTTTTTCCAATTTTGATGGAACTTGAAAAGTAAGTTTATAACCCAAAGACCTTGGTTCCTTTTGATATTCACGCATATCGGACTGCTACTTCCTGGATTATACGAAAAACCACGTTTTTAGCTTGTGATCCCCCTAGAGGTTACAATTTTTATCTGATTTAAAAAAAAACCATTCAAATATGTCACCGTTACATCATAATGAAATTTGGATCAAAACTGCCGGACAAAATTGTTGCTCTATGTACGCAAATTGTGTTAAATTATGTAATATCAAGGTTGTGGACCCTCATAGAGGTCACAATTTTGATCCGATTTTGATGAAACTTAAAACATCTGGGTTCCATTCGATATTCGTGCATATCGGACCTTAGGTTGCTGGATTATGGCCCCTGTTTGTACAAAAGAATCACGTTTTTAGCTTGTGATCCCCCTATAGGTCATAATTTTTATCTGATTTTAAAAATTGCTTCAATATATCACCATTACACCCTGATGATGATTGAGTTTAAATTTTGTAAAAATCGGACTGAAACTGCCTGACAAAATGGTTGTTCCTTGAACGCAAATTGTGTAAAAGAATACCAAGGTTGTGGACCCACTAGAGGTCACAAATTTTGTCTGATTTTGATGAAACTTAGAAAAAATGTTTATATCCCAAAGATCTCAGTTTCTTTCGATATTCACGCATCTCGGATCGCAACTTCCTGGATTATGGCCCCTTATTGTACAAAAAATCCAGTTTTTAGCTTATGGACCGTCCATATCCGATTTTAAATGACATTTAAGTTTGAATTTCGTGAAAATAATACCTAAACTGCCCGAAAAATAGTGTAAAAGTATGTAATACCAAGGTTGCGGACCCTCTAGAGGTCAGAATTTTTATCTGATTTTGTTGAAATATATGTTTATATCCCAGAGATTTCTATTCCTTATGATATTTGTGCATATCGGACATAACTTCCTGGATTATGTCCCCTGATTGTATGTAAAATTGCTTTGTTTTTGTCCCCCGCCTTTCGAAGAAAGCAGGGGACTATTAAAATGGGTTCGTCCGTCTGTCTGTCCGTCTGTCTGTCCGTCTGTCTGTCCGTCTGTCCGTCCGTCTGTCTGTCCGTCACACTTTTTGGGACACAATAACTCTCTTCCTAATTGAGCTAGAATGTTCAAACTTGGTGTATGTGTTTATTAGGTCAATGCCTTGATGGAGTTCGAAGATGAGCATTTTCCGCTTAGGGTAAGCAGAGATAAGCAATTTGATTGGTTGATGCTTTGGGACACGATAACTCTCTTCCTAATTGGGCTAGAATGTTCAAACTTGGTGTATGTGTTGATTAGGTCAATGCCTTGATGGAGTTCGAAGATGAGCATTTTCCGCTTAGGGTAAGCAGAGATAAGCAATTTGATTGGTTGATGCTTCGGGACACGATAACTTTTAATTGAGCTAGAATGTTCAAACTTGGTGTATGTGTTTATTAGGTCAATGCCTCGATGGAGTTCGAAGATGAGCATTTTCCGCTTAGGGTAAGCAGAGATAAGCAATTTGATTGGTTGATACTTTGGGGCACGATAACTCTCTTCCTAATTGAGCTAGAATGTTCAAACTTGGTGTATGTGTTGATTAGGTCAATGCCTTGATGGAGTTCGAAAATGAGCATTTTCCGCTTAGGGTAAGCAGAGATAAGCAATTTGATTGGTTGATGCTTTGGGACACGATAACTTTAGTTCTAATTAAGTGAGATTGATGAAACTTGGTGTATAGTTTCATGACAGTAATACCTTGACTAAGTTTGATAATGAGCATTTTCTGCTCAGGGTAAGCAGCAATTTGATTGGTTGATACTTTGGGGCACGATAACTCTCTTCCTAATTGAGCTAGAATGTTCAAACTTGGTGTATGCGTTGATTAGGTCAATGCCTTGATGGAGTTCGAAGATGAGCATTTTCCGCTTAGGGTAAGCAGAGATAAGCAATTTGATTGGTTGATGCTTTGGGACACGATAACTTTAGTTCTAATTAAGTGAGATTGATGAAACTTGGTGTATAGTTTCATTACAGTAATACCTTGACTAAGTTTGATAATGAGCATTTTCTGCTCAGGGTAAGCAGAGCGATACGCAATTTGATTGGTCGAGACTTTGGAAAACAATAACTCTCCTACTTTGATTGTTAGACTATAAGTAAAGATATACTGTTTGATTGTTCAATACTTTGTAAAAGATAATTTGTGATAAATTTATATGTGTCCTCTAATTATTTTCCTATTTCGGCGGGGGACATCAGCCTCACTGTTGGCTTGTTTAGCTTGTTTTCTGTCCATCTCTTGCAAGAAGTGAACGTATCTTGCATGGCAACCGCTTGTTTTACATTATGTATTAATTTTTTTAATTTAAGATAATAGATATAACAAAAAGTTATGATCTAAACTAATTATTCAAATCCTCAAACTTTATTGAAGGAAACTTAGAATAGTCTCAGATCAACATTGTATGTTTTCCAATTTTGAGCAGTTTTGAAATGATCTCTAAATGTTGAGTTATTTAGAAATGATGTGTAGATATTGAGCTGTTCAGAAATGATCTCTGAAATTTTGAGCTTTTTAGAAATTATCTCCATAATTGCTTATCAGGATTATGTATGTAGTGAGTGACTGAAAATTATGGTACATTTATAAACAGTTATTTAGTTAGTACTACTGTACTACACATGGTAATCACTAGTAGAACTTGTAAATATGTTTGGTTAACTTTTTTATAGGCATTATGGTCAGAACAAGAGGGGGCTTCAAGTGCAACGAAAGGTCAAACTACAACTGAACAGATACTACATATAATGGAGGTCATCTTATTAGAAGCTAGTCAACAACCTCCTGAGAAATATACGGTTTGTTTCTACTCAATCTTATATTAAAATTTGTGTGATCTGTATCATCAAGTAATTTGTCATGTTAAAGAGGACCAATCATTGAGGACCTATATGTTTTCATGTAATATATATATATATATATATTTTTCAGGAGTTTTCCAAGTTATGTGGTGATAAGGATCAGTTGATGATATTATTAGATAGAATTAACAGTAGTTTTGTGAGAAATAATATCAACGTTCTACAAGCTCTGATGAGACTGATACCATTCTTAGCATTTGGTGAAGAGGACAAGATGACTGCTTTACTAAATCATTTTAAACCCTATATGCGCTTCAATAAGTTAGTACTTATAAAAAAATTTTATACCCTTGATTGATAAACTACATTTAATGTGATAACCAATTAAAACACCTATAACCAATTTAAATATTGTCTAATCTCCAGTAGAAATGCCCATTACAAACTAAAATGATCCTTTATTGAGCCTTAAAGTAAAAAAATAAAACCATTGTTTACCCCTTGTTCATATTTCAAACTGTAACTTGAACTCAATTATCAAGTATGCAACCTTCATAAATGTTAAATTGACGAAAGCTAAAAGGCACTGGAGAATAATAAAATGTTATTAGGGAAAGGACTACATTTCCTTTTTAATGCTTGTAAATTTAGGTAAAACAGAATTAGTAATTATATAAATAGCATGTAAATGATGAATAAATGAAGAACCTTGATATTTGATGTTTGCAAGAAGATATTTAGTCACAGGGATCAATGACAAACAAAAAAGAAAACCTCACTCCCACATCAGATTTTTGGGAATAATTGTCCGAAGACCAGAATTTTTTTTTTTTTGTATAGCCTTATATATTAACAAATAAAGAAACTAAGAGTACCTTTTTTTCCAACTAGAACAATTTGAATATTTTCTTTTTCTTTATTAGGTTTTGGGGGGTTGTGTGGGTCAAATGGGTGAACATGTGTGCTTTAGATCATAAGGTCTGTTATTGAGTCAAGTGGGGTTATTTTGATTCCCCACTTGTGCATGACTAGGAGTAGGGTTGCCTGTCCAACCTCTGGGACTTGTTCCAGATCATCCTGTTTCTTCCCACCGCTAAATCCCCCTTATCATATATTAGTCCTGAAATGATGTGGTTTGTGTTGACTGGACATTAAACCCCATTTTCTCTCTCTCTCTCTCTTTATTAGGTTTGATACTGAACATACTCAAGATGAAGAAGTTCATTTAGACAGTTTCTGTGTTATAGCTTCTGGTATTGAGGTTGGTGTATTTCCATTACATTAAATCTAATTGTTTTGACTTGAAAACTCCATCAGAATATATAATTTTTTCATTGAACAAAGAATTTTCATAGATTTATCAGTGCCCCAAAATCTTTTTAACAAAATATTCTGCATTGTTTGGTGTTTAGATTTTGAATTGTATGTATATATATATATATTATTTGTTGATGATATATATTATAGAATAATGCTAATGGAAGTCGTTTAAAAGATATGATAATAGAACAGGGTATCGTACTGTCATGTGTGGAGTATATACTAGAACATTCTCCAGCTATCAAAACATTACTAGCGTAAGTTAAACATTTTATAATCTGTCTTTTGTCAATTTATACATTGTCATTTTATCTTTTTGGTCTTTATCCTGGTCCCAATGATATATAGATGGTGGGGCTTGTAAAATGCCATTTAAAGAAAGAACTATATACACTTAAAAAAATGTAAAGTCATGGGTATTTATTTTGTATGTGTTTAATTTGGGCATGTTTCATAGCACGGTTGCTCTCTTTACAGAACTGATTCTGAAGTATGGAAAGAGTTTTTAACCAAACCTGCTTTAGGTTATATCTTGCGAATATTGACTGGTCTTTGTCCGGGACATAAACCAACACAAGTAAGGTTTTACTCTATTATTTCACAGTTTATATCTGCTGGAAACTATCAAATTCTGATATCAATGCTATTTTCAGTGGACTAAATTAAAAAAGATTAAATATTTAATTCAGTTTTATATATTATGATATATTAGCAACTGGTTTGTATTGTATTATAAGTCTATAAAATAGTTTAGTTTCTTCAAATAATATTATTTGTTTTTTGGGGGGGTTCTTTTAGGGATTGATAGCACAGAAGTGTATACCTATTTTACATAAAATGGAACAAGTATCATCTGATAAACATATTGGTACACTAGCTGAAAATCTCCTTGATGCTCTTAAAGAGAATGAAGAAGCAGCTAAAAAGGTTTGTAAAGAAATCAGTTGTTGTAATCAGTATTTATTGTAAAATTTAAATGTGTGATAATTTAATGTTTTAATACATAGTATAAAAAGTTTATTCATGAAAATCTTTTGACTTTATATATATATATAAAATCATATTTTATGTAAATATAAAATATAGAGTATTATATATATTGTAATGTTTAATATTGTTAATTGTATAGATTGAAGATATAAGAAAACAGACAAAGGCAGAGAAGAAAAGGTTAGCCATGGCAGTTAGAAAGAAACAGTTAGGAGCTCTGGGAATGACTGTAAGTACTCATAATTTTTGTCTAGTTATTCATAATAGATTTAAACATTATATTTTTATGTCTTAAGTGTTTGTCAATGGCAATACATCAAAAAGATCTCAGTGATTTTTAATATTTTGTGGGTTTGTGCATGTTGGGCCAAAAGAAGGAACTTTATTAAGGGGTGAAGCTATCCGAAAAATGCTTTCTGAAATTCTAAAGCTAGTGAATTGAAGATGGCACAAGTAGTTAGGAAATGTAATAAACAAGCGAAAACTAACATTAAAGATAAGAATAAAAAATTTGTTGCCAGGGTAACACATTTTTTTGGAAAAAGTATGAAAAACGTAGGTACACCATATCTCTGGCACTAATAAAGATAAATGTCTCATTTTCGGACTGCTTATTCTTTTAATGATAACCCCAAAACCAGACAAAGAGTTTTTCTCAATAATTTTTATAGTTTCTTGGAAAATGGTGTTTAAAACATTTGCCTCATCACAATATTTTGTCTTTGGAGAAATATTTCGGTAACTTTTGAAATATTAATGATAATTTAAATTGCTTTCTGTCTGTGACTCTCCACCTCTTAAAATTCTGAATTTTTGCACACAAATTTTGGGAGTTATTTCCCTGTCTACCAATGAATTTATTGAATTTTTTAAGACATTTTTGCTATGATCTTAAATTTCGAAGAGTTTTAAAACTTGCTCAGTGCTGTTTGTTTTGCTTTTGGTGAGAAGCTCCTGTCTGTTTATTGCATGCATTATACTGCTTATTAATAATGGTACATGTATTTATAGACTAATGAAAAAGGTCAAGTAACAGTAAAGAGTAATGTACTAAAACAGATGGAAGAATTAAAGGAAGAAACAGGTTTAACCTGTTGTATCTGTAGAGAGGGTTATAGATATCAAGCACAAAAGGTAATACAGTATTTCACATCTTTCTCTGTTAAACTGCGCCTCTGATCTATGATTGTAGTTACATAAGATTTAAATGTGGATCTATATGAAAAATGTTGGGACACATTTGTTTTTCAGAATATTCTCCTGTGTTGAATATATTGTTTTTTATACGCCCACATTGAAATGTGGTCGTATATTGTCGTCGCCCCCGTCCGGCCGGCGGTCTGGCGTCCACAATTGCTTGTGGATGCTCTAGACGCTAAAGCTAATATCTGATTGACTTTAAATTTATACACAGTGTTTAAGGTCTTGAGACGAAGAAGCCTATTGATTTTAATATCCAATTGACCTTAAATTTATACACAGTGTTTGAGGTCATGAGACCAAGAAGCCTATTGATTTTCAACGATTTCCAATAATTACTGCCAGAGTTATGGCCCTTGATCACTTCAAAAACTCTTGTGGACGCTCTAGAGGCCAAAGTTAATATCCAATTGACCTTAAATTTATACACAGTGTTTGAGGTCATGAGACGAAGAATCCTATTGATTTTCAACGATTTACGATAATTACTGCCAGAGTTATGGCCCTTGATCACTTCAAAAAATCTTGTGGACGCTCTAAAGGCCAAAGTTAATATCCGATTGACTTTAAATTTATACACAGTGTTTAAGGTCATGAGATGAAGAAGCCTATTGATTTTCAGCGATTTCCGATAATTACTGCCAGTGTTATGGCCCTTGATCACTTCAAATAATCTTGTGGATGCTCTAAAGGCCAAAGTTAATGTCCGATTGACTTTAAATTTATACACAATGTTTAAGGTCATGAGACGAAGAAACCTATTGATTTTCAACGATTTCCGATAATTACTGCCAGAGTTATGGCCCTTAATCACTTCAAAAAATCTTGTGGATGCTCTAGAGGCTAAAGTTAATATCCGATTGAGTTTAAATTTATACACAGTGTTTGAGGTCATGAGACGAAGATTCCTATTGATTTTCAACGATTTCCGATAATTACTGCCAAAGTTATGGCCCTTGATCACTTTGCAAAATCTTGTGACGCTCTAAAGGCTAAAGTTATCATCCGATTGACTTCAGATTGATACACAGAGTTTAAGATCTTGAGACGAACAAGTATATTGATTTTCAATGAATTTTTATGACTTGAACAGTTAAATCCATGATATTAAAAGCTTTGCATACAAAACGTTAGCATGGGGCAGAACTTTATAAAAACCAAACAAATTCTAATAGTTTTCTGATAATTACTTTGTGAGTTGTTGCTCTTAATCAGATTTTAGTGTATTATTATAAATGTTTCATTACCGTAAAAATATGCGACAACCCTTGTTGACTGCCCGGACGATTTAGTTGCTGTGGGTGTATGTTTTGTTGCCTGGCAACCTATCTTGTCTCTTTAACATGTCATGAGAAATAGATTTTGTATTTGTATTCTAGGTTCTAGCAGTATATACCTACACTAAACGCTGTAATCTGGATGATTTTGAGAATAAACCTAGAAAAACTGTTGGATATACAACCGTATCCCATTTTAACGTTATTCATGTTGATTGTCATAATGCTGCTGTCAGGTCAGTATTTCTACACGTATCTTGTGTTATTTAATTATATCAATTGATATAATTTATAGTTAAAGTATTTTTAATATTGGCAAAAGAGGGTCTTTTGAGAGATACTGGACAGAGGTTAAAATCTTCAAAGAAAAAATCCTACCGAAAAGTTTATGTTCTTTATTTATTAGGATGTTTGATTAATATTAGTATATTTGTGTTTTCAGACATGCTAGAGGTAGAGAAGAATGGGAAAGTGCTGCTTTACAGAATGCTAATACTAAATGTAATGGATTATTACCAATGTGGGGACCTCAAGTACAAGAATCAGTGTTTGCTAGTTGTCTTGCCAGGTCAGATAAAAAAACAAACTTTATTTCCGAAAAGGATTGATTTATAATTATTTAGAATCATAACTATTTTTACATCGCTTTCTTCACCAATTGGGCTAATGATGATCTATTAATTTAAAACAGTTACCATATTTAACACTAACTTTCTATAAAATGGATGCCCATTTCCTTTTGGTCCCTTAGTTTTCAGCTTATTTTCTGAGCGTAACATGAATTGATCATTATTTTTGTAATTGGTAAATTTCTTTCTATTCTGCAACATTGGGTTTGTGTTCTTTAGAGTTTGTGAGAATATTTTCTATTTTTAATTTGAAAATAAAAAAAATCCCCCGCTCAACAGTAGTGCAAACAGATTTGTAGTTGCAATAAGAAGTGGTTTATTCTTCATAATGTTTTGGGTGATATGACCCTTTTTCAAATGATAAATTAATTAATCCAGTGTCACCTTTATATTCACAATAGTAGTGACGTCACAGGATTTTCAAATTTATACGATATACAAACAATGATTTTTAAAAAAACAGAAGATTATTAAAATTAACAGAGTAAAATGATTAAAGTAATCAGGGTGTTTACAATTTTTAGATTGTAAAAATCGAAATGAAACTGCCCGACAAAATGGCCGCTCTTTGTATGCAAATTGTGTAAGTATGTAATACAAAGGTTATGGACCCTCTGGAGGTCACAATTTTTATCCGATATTGATGAAACTTAAAACATAACTTTATATTCCAAAAATCTCAGTCCCTTTTGATATTTGCGCATTTCAGACCATAACTTTCTGGATTATGGCCCCTGATTGCACCAAAAATCGATTTTGTTTTTAGCTTGTTCTCTATCCATCTCTTGCAAAATGTGGGCGTAACCTGCCTGGCAGCCACTTTAAAATAAATCTTGCCATAAAATGATGTATAACAGTTTATCGTGGATTTCTTGTGAGATTTCAGATTATTTTTTTTCCCTTTTTTGGTGCTGGCTTCGATATCTCCTATTTTTTCTTCTTTTTATCTTTAAATAGCTTTATCTGTCTTTCCAATAATCAGCAAATATAGGTTTTTGTTTTTCAAATATGTAGCAAAGTGTTCCCAGAGTATTAAAACAAATTTTAAGGAAAAGGTAGTTGTTAGTTCTTCTGGTATGGAGCGGTTAAAAATGAAAGAATTTAGGAAATAGATATGTTGTAGACAAATATATGTAGACCCGTGCGTATTATCTGGAAGCTTTTAGGGTAAGGGATAAAGTTCTATGGTGGAAGCCAGTACCAGTTGGTGGTGGATACGGCAATTTAAGGATCATTTACAGTTTACTTCTTAGGAGTTGAAGTTGTCCATTAAATTTGATAAGGTGAAGGAAGTTGGCTTGAAATTTAAGAAAATCTTTAATTTATATTTTCATATCACAATTTATTTATCATTTTTGATACCATTAATTTTTAGAATTTATATAATTAGCTTTTATATTCCCCCATGGAATATGGAAGAAGTACATATTCTACAGAATTTAAACTCTATACTATCTGAAAGGTATTTAGTTCAAAAGGTGAATGAATGACTAAAACTTTAAAAATCATAACAGGAGGTGACGTCATTGACGAAAATAGACCAATATTAGACATCAAAGGAAACTTTTTTGTTTTTCAACCAATTTGAATGCGGTTTTCACCAATATTTGTAGTTGTTCATATGTCTTAACTTTTATGTTGAGACATTGTGGCCTCTACGACGCATGCGTATGGCTCAATTTTAAGCCCAAAAGTGAAAAGAGTGAAAATCTTGAGTGTAACTTTTTTTATTTTTGAAGATTTTGACTTGAAACTTTCAGAATACATTACAAATGGGTGGATTAAGCCAAAATGTCAACAAAAAATTTCTGATTATCTTCAACTTCTTTAATTTTGCCTTATTTAAAAATATTTGTAAATAAGAGTCGTCTATCAACTTTTAAGAGTAATCTCATCAATTTAAAATTCACCATAAGTGCCACCATCTTCAAAATCCTACTCGTCCAACAATTTTTTCAATATTGTCATATTTTTGGAAAGCATTCACAATTCGCATTCAATCAGAGTGTTTAGAGTTTTGATGTTTGACGTCATAAAGGTTTTTTTTTTTTCAAAAAGTGTAAGACTTTGAAATCGGGTAAAATGTCAATGACAAACGATAAATTAAGTCATTTGGTGCTTATTCTGAAAGTTTTATCAAGATAAGTTTTTAAACAAAGGTCCTGTGCATCTTTTGAAAAATATTAATGTGATAGATTATGGCACAGCACCTTTAATATTGTTTATGTTTAATTTAAGGCAACACAAATAAAATTAGTTGTTTCTCGGGCACCGCCCGCACGCAAAATTGGTTGCGCGTGCGGCCTATTTATTAGTCTTGATGAAAAATAAAAAATATGTAACGCCCGCCCGAACATCGATAAGCAAGTCATAAAAAGAATATGCCGCATGTATCGACATGCCCCATACGTGAATATCCATTCAAACGTATTAAACTGATTTAGATGCAAACGCTCATTTACGGGTCTTTTTTATTGATATCGAAAGAACCTCCATTTTTGTATCACGTGATTTTAATTACCTCCCCTTGTGAACTAGAATTTGATTCGTGTTAAACACCGAAAGTGATTGACAACAATGCAATGTATTTCAATCATTCGATCTTAATCGGCTCATTATTGCCGGCTTCAGTCGGTCCATGTTTGAAAAAATCCTACTTATAAAACAATGAATCGTAGAACAGGTTAATTATTATAACTTGTGGCTACGAATACGATACGATAGTCACCATACCTTAGTCAGAATCTGGGTCATTAGCACATTTAACGCTAGTTTTGATAATGCGGAAAATAATAATTGGATTACACATTTGATGGTTTTACTGACCAGTTGTTAGTTAAATTTAAATAGTCATTCGATATAAACCCCAGATAGAACACTGAATATCCTGAGAAACACACCGAATATCCCGAGAAACAGTCATTTCCCGAATCCCGATGACACGTGACATGCATTGGTTGGAATTAGGTCAATCATTATAAACCAGCGAAACTAGATTTAGATCTAAGTGTCGTTTACCGTGATGATTATTTTTGATACACATGCTGACAGAGGCTTACTCTTTAAAATATTGTCGTTATTATGGACGTCTATTAATAGTCGTACGGAATTTTATTTTAAGCCAATTTTAATTAGACTTGATTTTTGGGTTTATGTTCTAAGTATGTATAATATATAACTGAAAGCAAAACCGTAGACGAGTAATGACTTTCTCATTAAAAAAAAAAAAAATTACAAGGCCGCCCTCCCGCCCCAACAATTTTCAACAATAGCCAAATTTTATTTTGCACCATCCTCTAGCCAGAAATGAGGTAAAAAAAAAAATAACCCGCCCTCCCCCTTATAGTTTCAGCTGTCAGTTGCCCGAGAAACAAGACATTTATTTTGTGTAGCCTAAATGTTTACCAAAATATGTGTTTGGCTTCTACAGTGAAAATAAGTCATTTGAGTATGTAATTGTTTGTCCACATATTTATATAACACGTCTTTTGTCTACATGACGTCTTCATTGAATACCATTAAAACTAAGCTCTCCTGTGCCGCTGTTTTAACCTTTTTGAAAATCTAATCTTACTTTTATTTTTCAAAAGAGCCGTGGTGGCTCAGTGAATAAGGCACTGCCTCGCTAACCAGACGGTTAGCTACCGGTATTTCCTGAGACAGTTCCTTGTGGTTGCCTCATGTCCCTGGTGCAGATTGGAGGGTTTGGCAAAGTACAATGTTCAGTGGTTCAGATGGAACAAAAATTGCAACAAAAGAAACCCGACAGAATAGCTACTCGCTCAGTGTACACAAATAGTGTAAAAGTGTAAAACCAAGGTGGGCGTATCTTGCATGGCCACCACCCTGTTTAAAAAAGAATGTCTAACTTTGAAATTGGGTAAACTGTTGATGGGAAACGATTAACTAAGCCATTTGGTGCTTATTCTGAAAGTTTTACAACAATCCGTCTGTAAACATAGGTTATGTGCAAATTTTGCTTGCTGAAATGTTTTTCCTATAATATAAGATAGGGACTTTTTGACAAACTGTAATAATCCTTTTTTCTTTAAGATTCTTTAAAAAAAAAAGATAGGACAACAAGACATATGAATCTATGAAACGTTTCGACAAGTATCCTCTTATCGTTATCAAGCACAATAAGAGAATACTTGTCGAAACGTCGTGCTTTTAGAAATAAACTAGTGATTGTATCCCATAAAAACTGCGTTCTATTAACATATTAATCTACTAGATATTGAAATTAATGTAGAAGTGTATGATTGGGTTGTATAAAAACTATCAAACCTGATTCAAGAACAGGTCTAGTTTATTCTATTATTATTATCTCTAGTCCAATCTAAAAATCGTAAACACCCTGATTACTCTAATCATTTTACTCTGTTAATTTTAATAATCGTCTGTTTTTTAAAAATCATTTGTATATCGTATAAATTTTAAAAATCCTGTGACGCACTACTATTGCGAATATAAAGGCGACACTGGATTAATTAATTTATCATTTGAAAAAGGGTCATATCACCCAAAACATTATGAAGAATAAACCACTTCTTATTGCAACTACAAACCTGTTTGTACGTACTACTGTTGAGCGTGGATTTTTATATTTTTATTTCCAGCAGCTACACAGATCTACCAGCCTGTCCAGCCTCTGCTACTCTTTTAAGGGATTGTTGCCGTCCCACCTCTATTTTTCCTGCTGTTTTTAATTTGTTTTTTATTTCTTCTAGACATAACAACTATCTACAAGAATGTACTGGTGTACGTGATCCTAGTTACCCATTTACAGTACATGATTTAAAACTACTATTACTAAGGTTCGCTAATGAGAAGTTATTTAGTGAGGATAGTGGAGGTGGTGGTCGACAGAGTAACATGCATCTTATTCCTTATATGTTACATATGGCTCTGTATGTTATTAATAGGTATGTAACATCTAATAAATATGATCTTATATATTATGGTTCTATATGTTACATATCAACAGGCATGTATTATCTTCTATATGTTACATATCAACAGGTATATATATGTATATGTAGCATACTGCTACCTATGTTCTTAACTGATATGTAACATGTTATTTGAATATTTCAGTACAAGGTTTACTAGTAGAGAAGAGAAGAATATTGGTAATTACCTTGATTTACCCAAAGATAAATGGATTGAAAATTGTTTTGAGGTAAAATCTTTACGAACATATATGCTATGATTTTTGTAGTCTACAATGATGTTACCTCGCAAAGAAAGCAGAGGACTATTAAATTTGGTCTGTCATTTCATGTATCTGTCTATGTGTTGCACTCTGTGGAACACAATAACTCTGCTTCTAATTAAGGTAGAAAGTTCAAACTTGGTGTAGTTTTTCATAAAGGTGACTGTCTCTTCGATGATGGCATTTTCTACTTAACCTAAGTAGAGATAGGCAATATAATTTTCAATGGTTTGGAACATGGTAACTTTAATTCTACTTGAGTGAGGGTGTAGTTTCATTATAACAATATACTAAGACTATTTAACAACACTTACAGAATGATAATTTTTTGTATTGAAATCATACAATTAATTCTTTTTTGTTTACATTTTTATTTATTTTTTATTTTAACAATTTATCATATAGATTTTGACCATTTTATTTGAAATTGCAGACAGAGGGTCCATTGTACTATCCAGTTCTAGCTATGTTAATCTTTACTTCTGATAAATGGATGGAGAATAGAATGAAGTTCCTGGAACATCTAGTAATAGCATCACATGTTAGAACAGTTTGTTCTATTGGCGCCAAAAGGTAAGGTTTACAAAATTTGAAAAATCTATGCTGTAAAATTCGGTAGTAAATATCATTTTGCTTATGGCTCAGTAATCTAGAGGTCCTGTGTTCGATCCAGCTGTTGGACGCGAAATTCCCTTCAAGACTTCCAAGCATGATTTCCCCTTCTTAGTGGTGCATAACCAGTGTAGTGCAGGATCAGAATATAGTCATTAGGATGGTATGAAAAAAGAAGTTGTGTGTGCATGATGGCATGCACATAAAATAACCCATGACAGTTGGAATATGACAATGAGTGGATGGAAATGCCACTGTTATACCCAGCCTTGTGTATATAAGTAGTCAGTCAACATGTAAATATTTTCTTTCTTTTATTGTAGTATACCAGATTCCAGTAAAACATTGAAGGAATATTCAGTCTATAAACCAGTTATAATATTCTTTGGACTTATTAATAGTTTATTCCTGAAACTATTTAAGGTAAACATCTTTAGAAAAAGTATATCATTTAATGTCTATTATAAAAAAAATGATTTGATTATCATGAAAATATATTTCTATATTCCTACGTCAAATTCCATTTAAAAAAAAAAAAATGTTTTGAATAGATATTATGGTTGTTGTTTGTTTTATTATAGAAAGTAACTGTACCACCAGATGGAACATGGAGTAATAGTCTTGCTGATTATTTAAGATTTAATGATAAGATTGTATTAGAGACATGTGATCGTGTTTTAGCTATTTATCAAGAGGAGATCATACCTTGTGAATCTATCACAGAATTCTTTGATGTTATGGGTATGTCAATTATCACCTTGTAATAGTCAAGTAATGGATTTCATGTAACATTCACTCAGTACAATCGTCAATTTCCAAACATTCTATAGGCAATGATCTTAAACTTTAATATTAACGAGTTGGACACAACTTATTTGCTGCAAAGATTCCAGTTTAGTTTTGACAAGCACATCGTCTGAGTGATAGAAAAGCTGATTTTTGGTTAATCAGATTATAAATCCATCCCAATCAGCATACCTTGCCTAGCGTACAACACTTGCCATTACCATTGCTTAGCTTATTGTTCAGTTTTGTCAAGGTTAACTACACCTCAGTCACCTGTTATTTTCCGATATAGTTTCCCCTTGTCAGTGGTGCAGGACGGAGGGCCTGAGAAGGAACAGGTTCCAGTTGTTCAGATGGAACAGAAAATCACTGCATGGCATATACCTGTCTTCATTCGCCCAGTTGGTGCAGGAAAGTAGTATGTTAAACCCCATTTCATTTCAGACACAGTCAGGTCTCTAGCCTTTTTCCTGTCTATTTCTATACGCCCACATTTTCATGTCGTCGCCCCTGTCTGGAGGTCTGTCAGTCCATCTGTCCACAATTTGTTTGTGGACACTCTATACAGGTCACATTTTTGATACGATTTCGAGGAAACTTGAAATATATGTCTATCCCCCAATGATCTAGGTTCCTTTCGATATTGGCATGTATCGGACCATAACCTCATGGATTATGGCCCCTGATTGTACGAAAAATCCTGTTTTTAGCTCTTGGACACTCTAGAGGTCACAATTTTCATCCGATTTTGATGAAACTTGAAATGCATGTTTATATCCCCAAAATCTTGGTTCCTTTCAATATTTGTGCATATCGGATTGTAACTTCCTGAATTATGGCCCCTGATTACGAAAAACCACATTTTTGGGTAGTGGTCCATTCGAATATATCACTGTTTTACCGTAATGTCGGTTGAGTTCGAATTTGTGAAAATTGGACCAAAACTGCCGGACAAAATGGCCGCCACTCATACGCAAATAGTGTAAACATATGGTCCCCAAGTTCACAAAGCATTCTCAGGCTTAAGTTGAGAATTTACTCAACTTTCAATCACTGTTTATGAGAAATATAAAACTTTGCACATAGTTTCTTATTGACATATTTAATACATTAAAACAACAAAAGTTTTATAAAGGGCTATATTTTAGTTAAAATGAGGCGAACAATTTTGAGTAAATTCTTAACTTAAGTATGAGAATGCTTTGTAAACTCGGAACATGGTATATCAAGGTTGTGGGCCCTCTAGAGGTGACAATTTTGATCCGATTTTGATGAAACATGAAATACATGTTTATAATCCTAAGATCTTGGTTTCTGTCGATATTCGCACAAATCGAATCATAACTTCCTGAATTATGTCCCTTGATTGTACGGAAAATGTGGTCCCGCCTGAGGTCACATTTTTTATCCGATTTAAAAAGCCATGTGAATATATCACCATTACACCCTGATGATGGTTGAGTTCGAATCTCGTGAAAATCGGATCAAAACTGTTGCACAGAATGGCCCCCCTCGTAAGCAAATAGTGTAAAAAATATTGTATATCAAGGTTGTTGTGGACCCTCTAGACGCCACAATTTTTATCCGATTTTGATGAAACTTGAAATGTATGTTTATGTCAAAAAGATCTTGGTTCCTTTTGATAATCGCGCATGTCCGAACGTAACTTCTTGGATTATGGCCTCTGATTGTTCGAAAAATCGTATTGTTAGCTTGTGGACTCGCTAGAAATCATAATTTGTATTCAATTTTAAAAACTGTTCTTTTACAACACCATTACACATCAATGAAAGTTGAGTTTGAATTTTGTAAAAATCTGACCGAAACTGCCAGACAAAATGGATGCTCCTTGTATGCAAATAGTGTAAAAGTATGTAATACCAAGGTTGTTTTATCCGATTTTGATAAACTTGAAATGTTTTTTTATAATCCAAAGATTATTTGCGCATTCCAGACCGTAACTTTCTGGATTATATGGCCGCTGATTGTACGAAAAATCGCTTTTGTTTTTAGCTTGTTCTCTATCCATCTCTTGCAAAATGTGGGCATATCTTGCCTGGCAGCCACTGGTTATAGATGTTTTTATAATGAATATATATTTTTACTTTCAGGATTGCTGGAAGATGTATCAAACCCAGAGGCTCATTTCACTTCTTTATTAGCTTCACTACCTTAAATTGTATACCTTGCTTATTGAATAACTATTATTTATTAGCTTCACTACCTTAAACTATACTTTGCTTATTAAATAACTAGTGTTTATTAATTAGTGTCATGATTTATTGTAAAATGTCTTAATTATGTACATCACTGTCATTTCAAAAAAAAAATAATTTAAATTTTGGATTAATTGAAACATTATTCTTAGGACTTGGGACATATTTCTGAAATATCCCACTTTGATATCATCATGATCCAAGATATTGTAGTCATTTATACTGATAGTGACAACTTGGAATTATAAAAATTTATTTTGGGGCAAACTAACATTTAGATTAATAAGAAAGTAATAGTGTAGCCACTGAATATATGTTTTCAGTTAGTATTACCTATGTTTATAGGTCCGTGTTGAGTTTCATCTCAGATAAAAAGAGATATAATGGTTTATTTTGTGAATAAGTTTGTTTGCACTAAATGTATAATATGTCAAGTTTTACTATATTTCAATATTGGCTTAAAGAAAAGTTTGCTATTTTTCGGTTTGATCAGGTAATAGTATGGGTAAAATTATTATTAATTAAAAGTGTCTAATTTCTATCAAATCTGGATAAAAAGAATTACATGTATCTAAATTTTAGTATTGATTTTCTTTTGTAATTTATGATTTGAAATAGGATGTGCAAGTCACATTAAAAATTCTATATCAATACTTTTACAATATTTATTATTATTTTTTAATTTTTGAAAACTAATTCTTTTTTCTTTGACTAAAATGATGACATGTATAAAAGATTATGCAAGGTCATGTAATAATTTATTTATAGATTGTTCTTCTCACCTATTATTTGCTTTATTCACCTTGGTCTGATAAATATATATTGATTGGTATACCAATATAAACTATGATCGATGTTGTTAAATAAGACTAAACTGCTTTCAATGGTATATGTATCTGTGTTATCCTTTCAATTCATATACTAGTGTTGATGGCAGATCGTGCCTTTTCAAAGAGGGGTGGGCAGAGTGGAATTGATTATTTGAAAGTGAAGCAAGCAACTGTTGATAGTGGATCTCCAGGAGACGAAGTGACATCGGCCGTCTGGAAATGTGGAAATGGTATTTAGTCCATTGAAGAGTACAAAAAACAAGTGGTTGCCATGCAAGATATGCCCACATTTGGCAAAAAAAGGTGGTTGGAGAACAGGGAAAAACTGTAGTCTCTATCGTGTTCACAAGATTTTCAGAAGAGGCGATAACTTCTGAACAGAATATCAGGGATCACTGAATATAGGGTTCGCGCTCTCATGACCTCAATGATACACACCAAAATAAGAAAAAATACCATTAAAAACTGTAGCCTGTAGCCAGTTCAGTAAGTTTTCAGCAAAGGTGCGTAATTCCGGAACATGAATATGGATATGATTCGAAATCTTATAAACCTGATGCTGCACATCAAATCTGAAAAAGATTGGTTTAAAACTGTGATTTCTATCTTATTCACAATGGGGCATGGACGGTAAAGATGCCTGAATAGCCTTAGAACAGAGATAGGGATAAAGCGTTATTTTCATATTGCAGCTTAATAGGGATAAATAGGAACGGCCAGAGGACAGCGTCCGATCAGATACTGTTCCAAAAAGAACCATCGAAGAATATACATTTATAGGGAATCGGGAACACGTTGGATTTAACCCCCAAAAGATTTTTTTTTTTATATTTATTTAGATTATATTATCTTTAGTCAAAATATTTTAGTTGGTTGGTGATTAGTGTCCTTTTGCAGCATGGACAAAGTCTTAAAGGAACCAAATCCACATGATAGGATTATTCTATTTCAAGTCAATATGATTATTAATCATTGAAATTAAAGTTCAATCGGGAATCTTCGAATATCATCATTTTTTCATATAAAAGGATGTTTTATGATTATAAGGATTCTTCCTTTGTCTTGAAGGACAAATACAATCCACTAAAACTTGAGAAGTCGGCCAAACTCGCCATCTCCCTGGTCATTCCATTTAATTGACAGATGTGGGTTGTTTTGTCATAATTACACGATTTACAGGCATCTGTCTGAAAACAATTAAGCGTACAATGACTGACACTGTAAGCTTGAAAACTTCTAAAAACATGATTATTCAGCTTCCCTTGTTTGGCTGTAAATACGTTTGGTGAAACTGCAATAAAAAAAAAAAAGAGTTAAATTTTATAATTTAAAACTGAGTAGACAATTCCTTGCAGCAGAAATATCTGCTTACACCCCAACATCAGATGATGATATGAAATATAATAACCTGTAAGACCTTTCAGTTAATATTTATAATGGTTGATTGGAACTTGAAATATATAAGACTCCAATGTGGAATACGGTTACTGTTTATTACTGATAGACGATTCGACTAATCTTTATCTAGCTGCACTGGTCCGAGACTTGAACTAGTCTTATCAAGCAATGATAAAATATTTAATGTAATGGGTATGAAAACAATACTTAGTAAATATGTGATGAACAAAGAAATTATTAATATCGAAATTAATAGGAAAATAGTTATGCATATACCGATAATTTTCTTCCCGCAGAGTCCATGGATATCAAAGTTAATGCAGCTTATATCACGTAATTTATATCCCGTGTTGTCAAGTTGCATGAACAAACAATTTTCTTGAGTACCCCGATCTGGCTGACCGTCGGCAAAATTCAACCACGATACTTTTTTGTCACCAATTGCTAGCCATGTTCCTTCAGTTTGTAAATCTGTTATACCAACGTATATCCTTGTGTAGCCCTTACTGAAATGTATTAAAAAATACTACTAATAATCATGATAGCAGAAGGACAAAGACTAGTGTGTCAAATTTATGTTAATGGTCCTTGCCTCTTACGCAAAATGTAAATTGTGTACAAAGATTGTGGACCCTTTAGAACCGACAATTATTGACCCGATTTAGATGAAACTTAATATTAGGATCAGAAGATCTTGTGGGAGTTCAATTTGGGTCTACACAAAACAGCAACTTCTTTGGGGCTAATCTCCAAAATTGACAACTCAGATGTCGAAAAATGTATGAAATGAAATGAAATGGGGTTTAACGTCCTAGGCTACTGTTCTGCTCCAATTGGACTTATGGAGACGGGTATACGTCATACAGTATGCTATGAAGGAAATTTTGCACAGGACTTCGGTTTTTCGTGCTATCCGAACGGCTATGCGTTGACCTTTGCCAGGGCATCTGTCTTGCACCACTGTCAAGGAGGAACCACGCCGGAATATTCCGATGAACTTTCCCGGCCAACGCAGGGATCGAACACGGAACCTTTAGGTTAGCGAGCCAATGTCTTACTCCATCGTGGCTCCGAAAAATGGATGAACCTTTTCAAAAATTTCTTTTGATTTAGGTAAATTTTTAGTGCCATGAAGTAAAGTGTGTGATAGAATAAAAACAAAAAAGCTATCGTAACTTACAAAAGGTGTGTGTTCCGATTGTTGTAAATGTATTGTTCCATCTCTTGACTACGAAAATATGTCAACTTGCCTCCATCGTTCTCACAATAAGATTTAACATCATCAAAAGATCCAGTTTGGTCTGTAGTCCAGAAACAATATGTATCATAGCCGGCTCCAGTACAATAATTATCAATTAAAGCTGTATCACCTACAGAATAATTTAGTAAATAATATTAATTATCTCGGGTATGTGTCAACAAACAAACGAAATGGGGTTTAGCGTCCTACTACTCTGCTCCGACTGGGCTAATGGGGAAATTTGGCCCGAACAGCGGCGCTACAGCTTACTCTTATCTCGAATTCCAACTACCATGGGATCTTTTACGTGCACGCCAATTTTTACATGGGACCTTGGTTTTACGTCCCATCCGAACGACTAGGCAGTTGTCCTTGTCGGGCCCTCCGTCCTGCACCACTGACAAGGGGAAACCACGCCGCGACCTTCACCCAGCAACTGTGGCTCCCATCTCAACAGACATGCTTGTGTATACAAAGCACGAGTTTGCATGGAAATGGTTTGAAATGTTTATTTTTAAAAATATAGAATTTTGTTTTATTTTTAAGATACTGTTTCATGCACAAAATCAACATTTTAAACGAAATATTGACTTTATCTTTCACTTTCAGCGTTTTATCGGTGACATATATATATCATTAATTATTAAAATTTCCGGCATTTTATGAGTAATATTTATATATCATTAACTGTGCCTTGTTGTGTTGACATTAATTTAATGCAACGATGAAGCAAAAATACTTAATAGTAACAATAGGCCTACAAATAACTTTGTAATTTAAAAATACGATGTTATTTGTGGCATTGTGAAGTTAGCTCGATTTTCGTTTTTCGATATTGGCAAATGTGTAGCACCATGGGTCGTCTGTCAGACAAGGAGAGCGAACACGCGGTAAAATCCGATCGCTACATCCGGCGTATAACCCATGCACTCTTTTCTTACTACATATCTTGGAACAACCCTTAATCGTCTAGTAATCATCTAGTAATTATGATGTAATTAATCATGATGCTATTTCTCCTTGTTTTTTTTTATATTGGCCAATCTGCGATTTTGAGATTGAAGTTTGAAACGAAAAACGAGTAGCTCGTTTTTCGACATTCGCCAATATCAATAAACAAGGAGAAAGAACAGTTTTTGTGAGAATCCACTGCTCAGGCATCTCATTTATGATATTTTTAGTTCGTTTTAGAAAATATTTTAATCAAATGTGTTTTGTAGACATTCTGTAGATATACATCCATCAAATCTGCTTTTTTGAGATTCAATTCTAAATGTCGAAAAACGAGCAATCTGATTAAAATTCCACTCTATATTACGTTTCGTTTTTTTATACTCTCGATGGTATCTACTACATGAATATCTGACCAGTTCTAGCGGAAGGTCGCGTCAGAGGTCATACGAGCGGCTTTTGATCCAATGACGTCAGACATTTGAATAACCAATCAGCGTTGATTCTTCTAGTGGATTACTCACAGTCCCGTGCACCTCACGCCCAAAACTTGCCGTAACAAACTGTTTCATTGGCTAATCCTTCACATTAACCTGAGCACGTGTTATATAACAACCCATCCTGATCCTAGTGTAAAGACAAGACAAGTATAACGAAATTTTAAACTATAAATGGATTTGTGTTTTAATCAGATTGAAAAACGAGTAGGTCGTTTTTCGGCATTAGCCATTATCAAAAAAACAAGGCAAAGAGCATTTCTTGTGTAAATCCACTGCACAGGCATCTCCATTTAAGATATCTTTAGTTCGTTTTAGAAAACGAAATGTGTTTTGGAGACATTTTGTAGATAAACATGAATAAAATCTAGATTTTTGAGGTTGAAGTCTGAATATCGAAAAATGAACTACTCGTTTTTCGAGATTCGCCAATAAATAAATTTTTAAAAAAAACAAGGAGAAAGAGCAGTTTTTGTGTGAATCCTCTGCTCAAACATCCTCATTTAGAAAACTTATTTAATCAAATGTGTTTTGGAGACATTCTGTAGATATTTGTTTTTCGTTATTCGCCAATATCGAAAAACGGAAAACTAAAATCGAGCTAACTTCACAAAAAGGAAATTTGAGCTAACTTCACACTGTCGTTATGTGTTTACTTTTTCGCGTCTTTACCAATTAGACCTGCACAATTTTCAAATGCTGGTATGGCACAGATGAATGATGTTGTGATTTAAATGGAATCTATTCGTTGTTGTTTATTTACTTACCTTTTCTGTCGAGAAATCCCCCTTGTTGGGCCTTATTAACGAGACTAATCTATAATTTGTATCAAAGTTGTACACATACGCTAACGCCCTCTGGTGTAATAATGTTGGTAATTCATTATTTTTACTTGACACGTACAGTTGGTATTCCAGATTTTTGTTTAGCTACTTTCACAAACTAATGAATTTATTTCTTTGTGGAATAAAATTAAGAAATTATTTTTCATTTTTATTATCTAATGATATATAAATGTTACCGATAAATCGCCGAAAATGAAACATAAACATAATATTTCGTTTGAAATGTTGATTTTTGGCATGAAATGTTGACATATAAGAATGTAAACAGCACTCTCCTACGAAAGCCCAGAAGGCTCATTCCAAATTCCAAATGCGAAATTCCAAATTCATGTTTTACCAATAAAATAGCAAATTGGCATCTCCCCTCAATTAAAAAATTAGAGTTTAAATAAATTGTAATTTTACACAACTAATTGGTGCTAGTTTACCTATACGAAAGCCCAGAAGACTCATTCCAAATTCCAAATGCGAAATTCCAAATTCCAAATGCGATCGTATAATGTGGTCGTATATTGTCGTCGCCCCCGTCCGTCCGTCCATCCGTTTGTCCGTCCGTCCGCCTGCCCGTCTGTCCGGCGTCTAGAGGCGGGGGGGGGGGGGGGCGAATGGTTAGCTAGTGCGCGCTGTATCATAAGGCCTGTCATTGAGTCAACTGGCGTGGTTTCGAATCCCCAGATGGACGTCTCAAGGTGTAGGGTCGCCTTCCAACCTCGTTGGTTTTCTCCGGGTCCTCTGGTTTCCTCCCCCACTGCTAAAGACCCCTACGCGCAAGCGAATTATTGAAATAAAATTAAACCATATGTTAGTCCCGAAATGACCTAGTTTATGTCGAGCTGACGTTTAGCCCCATTTCTCTCTCTCTAGAGGCTAAAGTTAATATCCGATTGATTTTAAATTTATACACAGTGTTTAAGATCATGAAATGAAGAAGACTATTGATTTTCAGCGATTTCCGATTATTACTGCCAGAATTATGGCCCTTGATCACATCAAACTATCTTGTGGATGCTCTAGCGTCTAAAGATAATATATCCGATTGATTTTAAATTTATACACAGTGTTTAAGGTCATGAGACGAAGAAGCCTGTTGATTTTCATCGATTTCCGATAATTACTGCCAGAGTTATGACCCTTGATCACTTTGAAAAATCTTGTGGACGCTCTAGAGGCTAAAGTTAATATCCGATTGACTTTAAATTTATACACAGTGTTTAAGGTCATGAGACGAAGAAGCCTATTGATTTTCAACGATTTCCGATAATTACTGCCAAAGTTATGGCCCTTGATCACTTTGAAAAATCTTGTGACGCTCTAGAGGTTAAAGTTATTATCCAAAGTTATGGCCCTTGATCACTTTGAAAAATCTTGTGACGCTCTAGAGGTTAAAGTTATCATCCGCTTGACTTCAGATTGATACACAGAGTTTAAGATCATGAGACGAACAAGTATATTGATTTTCATTGCATTTTGATAACTTGAACAGCTAAATCCGCGATATTAAATGTTTCGTATACTAAACGTTAGCATGGGGCAGAACTTTATAAAAATAAAAAAAATTCTAATGATTTTCTGATAATTACCTAACGAGTTGTTACTCTTAATCAGATTTTAGTGTATTATAAATGTTTCATTACCGCAAAAAGTAAAAATTATATGCGACAACTCTTGTTGACTGCCGGACGATTTAGCTGCTGTGGGCGTATTATCTTCTCAGCCATGATGATTGTAATGTCACGTGATTGTGTCGAATTTGGAATTTGCAATTTCGCATTTGGAATTTGCAATTTCAAATCTAATAATTTGGAACGGGTGTTTATCCGGCCCAGGCATCAGATAGGTAAACTAGCACTAATTAGTTGTGTAAAATTTATTTAAATTCTAATTTGTGTTATTGAGGGGGGCTGCCAATTTGGAATTTGGAATTTCGCATTTGGAATTTGGAATTTCGCATTTGGAATTTGGAATTTCGCATTTGGAATTTGGAATTTGGAATGAGCCTTCTGGGCTTTCGTACTCTCCAGTTTAAAATATTGCTTTCGTATATAAAATGTTAAAAATGTGACGTAGAAACACAAATGCATGAATATTGTCCAATTTCGTCTTCCATAAGAATGAAGCATAAGGATATTTGGTCCCATCTTTGTTGTCATTTTTAAAACGCCCATATTCCAGCCTGGGCGTATTATGTCGTAACCCTGTCCGTCGGTCTCCGTCAACTGGCTTGTGAACCTGACAGAGGTTACTTTTGACGGATTCCTTTGAATTTCTTGTTAAGTATTGTGGTAATAGGAGAGCGACTTTCATCTTTCCACGACCTCGAAGTCGCGGTTGCTCAGTCTGTAAGACGTTGGCTCGCTAACCTGGTGGTCCCGTGTTCGATCCAGGTGTTGGCTGAGAAAATTCATAGGGATTTACCGACATGGTCCCCCCCTTGTCAGTGATGCAGGACAGGGCCTGGCGAAGGACAACGTATAATCGTTCCCGGGGACGAAGAACCGAGGCATTTGGCATTTTTCAAATTTGGCTTGAAGCATTTGGGTCTTGCAATGAAGAGCCCTGTCGATATTCAGCATTCTGAAGTTATCCCCCTTTTGCCGAAAATCTTGTGAACGCGATAGATGCTACAGTTTTTGACGTTGTGTGAAGAATCGAGCAGATTTATGGTTATTCCTAGATCTGATTGCAAATTTATCTAAGAAATGTGTATAGAAATGATTTGCCCTTGTTGAATTAAATATTTTAATGGATCAAATGTTTTAAGATCTATATTAATTTTAATGTTTCATTTAGATAAAAAAAAAGGTTTTCTTAATCTCTATAAATCCATAAAGAGTGGA